TCCCCTCGGCGCGAACGCGGGGGTGGATCTCCTGGAGCGATCCTCTCGACGCGAGTTATCCGCGGATCCGATAGAGACGCTCTCTCGACGTCGGGGCGCCCTTTGTTCAATTTTGTCCTTTTTCAATCAACCCGTGTTCCGCCGCGGCGGGGTTCGTTCCCGAGCCCTCCGTCCCTTTGTCCCTCGCGCTCGTCGACGACCAAAGTCGAGGAGGGCCGTCGAATCGAGTAATGCGTTTCGATCCCTTATCGAGGCTCGGGTAGGGAAACTTTCCACCCCCGCGTCACATCCCGAAGACCGGACGGCAAGGAACGCGCGATCGGTTTAATCGAGCGGACGTTCCGCCAGAATTCCGCCAAGCGGTCTTTTAAGGAATTGTCCGAGGACGCGAGGAAATTCCCCCGGCTGGTAAGTGCGTATCGCTTGGCGGATTCCATTATTTAAATGAATGTAAAGTGTCAGTTAACCCTTCGCTCCGCGTCGCGACCACCCCGGTGACCTCCCTCTCCCTCTCTTCCCATACAAAACAGAATTCCATTCCCGGCATAGGTGCGCGCCCTCAATTAGTATTCTGGGCGCGAACGCAACGCGATAGTCGCGGCTGAATATAATCTACCCGACCCGACCCGACCCGGCGCGACCCTGCCATCCGACTCGACCCGTTCCCCTTCCAGCCTGGGCGAAAAAACGCCCCGCGCCGAGACAATCGGGACGCGAAACGTCCCCTTTCCGCAACCCTTTCCCGCCTTGACACTCCTGGCACCCTTTAAAGCCCCTCCTCCGAGACCACTTCAAATTTACGGCATTCCTCCTCGCGTAGCTTCTGTATTTCTAATCGCTTTTAATTACCGGAATGCCTGGAAGAGGTGTAAATCGTGACAAAGGAGAGTGGAGGAAACCCAGAGAACGGGGCCGAGTTATCGGGTTATCCGTACCTCCGTTCCCCAGGGTCCGATAGGGTGCGGGGTCGCGGGAGAGCCCGTCCACTTTCGATACCGAGCCTTAAATCGGAATACGACATTTCCAGAGGATAGAGGGAATCGGGGTGCCGAGAAGAATTCCATCCACGGTTCCTCTCTCTCTCCGGGTCCTGATTACCATCGTATTAGATTTTCGATTAGACTCGGTCCTCGACCACGACTCCGGAACCCGGCTCCTCCCCGAGGAAAAGCCACCGTCTGGATCGGGGACACCTCGCGAATAGATTCGAATCGATCGTCGAAACTCGGGATCCACCTCGAGGTTTACACCCCGGGGTAAACGGCGCGGCTTAGCCGTCGCTTTACCGCGGACTGGGGGGCGGTTTAAATATTCACGGGTCGTATGCAGTTGGTCGTCTCGACCTGGACTTTGCGACACCTCCACCCCGTGATCCAGCGCCAAGGACTAGGGGTGTCTCCCGAAGAGGACCCCCTTCTACCCTTCACCCCCTGGGGGACGTAAAGACCCCAGGAAACGGGAAAAACCTCCACGCCAGAGATCGATCGCGGATCTCGGGGGGTGTGAAGGAGCCGCGACGTACTTACGTCCTTATCGCGTTATCACTGGCACGGGTCCAACCACCGTGGTATCGCGTCCCCGCGAATCCGGGATCTTCGGATGGAGGGGCTCGAATAATTCTTCCCCTGTTTCTCGAGTCGCCGGTCGAGGAACTGGATGAGTTCCAGGGAGAGGGGAAGGGGATCCATCGACAGGGGTTGTTGTCACCGCTGCCAGTGATACCGTTCCCGGGGGAGGCTTTTTCCGAGTCTTTCCCGCCTCGAGACGGGTACATGGATACGCATGGAACGTTCCTCCAGGCAAATGTCCCGGGCGCGAGACGGTAGATTCGAAGAGTCAGGCATTGTCCCCGAGATAAATGCACGTCCTGCACTCGCCGGGTAGGAAAGGTCGAAACGGGGAGGAAGAAAGTAACTCGGGGTTGATGGCGTCGATTCCAGGTCACCGTGCAGACGGTCCGATGGTCCCGGCTCAAAGGAGAGGGCGGACTCCATCGAGAACCGACGAGTCGGTCCCTCGACCGAGAGGCACCCCCGAAAGTGCAACCTCTTCCCTCATAGGCGCCTCACCCCTGTGCCCACTCGGCCAAGACGTATGGTCCGAATCCATTACGGCATCCTTTAAGCTTCCTAGGATTTATCGCGACCCGATAAGCCCGATTCACTCGGCGAGTGCCCTCCCTTTGCGCCGGGTGCTTCGCCACCCCTTTCCTCGGTGCCATCTCTTCGGCAAAGAGACGCTCGAGCGGTTTCCGCGTATCGCGATTAATGGTTCGACCGGATATATCCTCCTTCCGCGTTCCTTTTCCCGGCACCGAGGAGGGCACGCATCGAGTCAAGGGAGGGAAAAGCGGAAAAGATCGCGGCCACCTGTTCTTTATACCCTGACAACGCCGAGTGGATTTAAAGCCATTCACTGGCGAGCTGTTTACCGCAGGTCGGGCAAATAAAGTGGGACGCGGTCTCGGTTTACTCTCCGGGGTGGATTTCCAATTTGCGTGGTCCGAGAGCGATCCGGAAGCTGGCCAGGTGGACGCGGGCACGCACGGCCTAAGAGGAGGAGGAGGGCGCGAAAGAGGAGACGCCCGCGGAAATTGGAAGCGTCTCCCACGGCGAGATCGAGCTCCGGCACTCGCCACGGGAAAATTGAGCCTTTGGGGCCGAGGGAGTCGAGCTCGAGGAAGGATAAGGTAAACGGTTTAAAGGGGGATATAAAGAAAAGCAATATCCGCCCTGGTAGATTGGTTGGTATTCGGCGAGACTCGCACTCGAGCTGGAACCGCTCCCCGCGATTCGCCGGAGCGAGAGAGAGGCGCACCTCGTGGACGCGGAGACGCGAGAAGAGATTAAAGCGACGGTATCGTTTGCCCACTTTTCGGCTAGCCGAGCAATCCCATCGAGGCCTAAAACGTTTATTCGAGGGCCGATGTCTCTTCCTCCCGGTTCGATCCGCCGCAATGGCGACCTCTTGGTCACCCTCCCCCCGAAGAGGATCCCCCGAAAGCGCAACCTCCCGGGAGACGCCTTCGGGTCGAAAATGACGTTTTCCACTTTGGGCGCGTAGGAAAAATCGGAGCAGCCGACGACTCCTAGGAGAAGTCTCTCTAGCCATTCCGCGATGGCGAGGTCGTTCCGGTCCGCGTTTCGGGTCGTACCTCGGTGACTCCCTGACCGATGAGAGGGGCGAAAGTTCCTCGCGAAACTTTCCTCCCGGAAGTGGTCGGCTCGGTTCGCGAGGGGTGCCTTTAAGGGGACTCTTGAGCCGGTCGAAGGGATCGGAAGAAGACGAACTGGCGGGCGTCGAAGAGATTTAGCCGGGAGGGGGGATCCGGATCGGCGGGGGACGCGAAACGCGGTCGTAACGGCGGCTTTACGATGCTCCCGATCTACATATCCCGCTGCGGTCGCTCGAGGGAGAAGAACATATTCTCGGAATTATGCGAAGTTTACGGTGACAGCCGCGATACGAGAGTGCGAACGCGAAGCCTCGCTCGGGGCAGTAAACGCGGCAGCGAGAGCGTTCTCGGCCAACCCTGGATACGTATTAATAACTGCGCGAGTTCGCCCCGACCGCCTCCAGCGGCCTCCAGCACTGCCAAACCGCGCGGCGAGGGCGGAACCCTCCCGATCCACTTGGTCTGGCCATTTGGCACGGGAGGGAGCCCTTACTTAAGGCCGGACCAGCTCGTTCCGATGTTTTTCCATCCATCTCGAAGGGGTTGCTCGGTCCAACACCTCCGGACGCGTCGATGTGCCAATGGTCGCCGCAGAGCGCGGAGCCCTCTCGGGCGTCCGGCGAGAAGGGATGGACAGCTCTAATGCGAGGCCGACGAGCGATCCCCAGGGAACCCGGACCGCCTCCCGTGGGCCTCTGCCCAAAGGGAGTCCCGGTTGGGTTTCCGAAGGGCGCTTCGCCGACGACCGATACTGGCTTTGATACCAGCTTTGATTCGGCCTCGAGTTCCGGTGTCCCCGTCTCCGCGCGATCGATAGAGGGGGAGGCGAGATCAAAGGCTCGTTATCGCGCCGACAGTCGGAAGGGAACGATCGATCGATCTCAACGGGATCGTCCTGGAAGCGCGAAGGGAACGGGCCCTAATCGAGGGGATTGGACGAGGGCTCGGGCCCTGGGATACCTTCGGCCGGGATTTCTAGTTCCATCGAATCAGCGGAACCGGCGAGGGGAGGGACATTTATTCCAGGAGGAAACTAATAAGGGTGCAGGGACTCGGGTGGATGGCGCGGCGTTTTTGCCGGACGATTTGCATCGGTTTTCTAGACGCGGCGAGTCCGTAAGAAGCTTCCGTGTCCGGAGACCTGAAAGGCGATGAAAAACGAGGAGCGGGTCCGGAGAGATTCGGCTCGCCGTGGAATGAAGCGGTGGAAAAGAGATAGGGAAGGAAGTGGAGAGGAAGATAAGCCCCCGAGGACCGGAGCGAGAGGAAGATCGATCCGAGCCTTTACGGGCGGGTAATGTCGGACACCTTCGCCTCGGTGCGTCTCCGTCTTCGAATCATTTCCTAGCCATTCAATGGGACGACTACGTGGCCAATGGCCCCTGCCGACTCGACGGGAAGAGCAGAAGTAGGCGCGATTATCTCCGAGAATTCCCCGCCCTCCACCCGCCCGGATAGATGGATCTCCCTCTCCCTCCGGACCGAGAAGCGCTTCCATTAGGACTTCCGGAAGCGCTTCTCGCGCGGTTCCGCTGGAAGAATATGCCACGAGTCCGTTCCCACGGCCCGGGAACTCGGGTACCTTTCCGGGGGCGAGAGACCCCCCGGGGCACCCCGTCTCCCGGACTGCCACCTCGAGGACGACTTCTCAATTCCTTCCCGACGTTGTTGTTCCAGGTGGCCGTTCGAGCGTTCCGCGGAGGAAAGGAGTCCCGGATGTGGCGCTAGGATGACGAGCCGTGACCGACAACCGAGGAGACGGCTTCGCTGCGTTCGGAGCTGGGGACCCATCGGCTCGCTCGGCAGGTCGATCGATATTAGAACTATGTCCATTTCGACGGCGCAGTTTTCTGCCAATCGTCGCACGTGCATTTTATGCACCCCCGACGCGGCCTCGCGTTCGGCCGGGCATTCGAGCCGTGGTTACGGCTCCTTTTATCGCGTCGAACGTCGACGGATCCGAGTCGAGAACTCGAAGAGTAGAGGCTCGAAAATAGGGAGGCAGGGGAGGAGGACGTCGAGGAGCCGTCGAATCGGCGCCTCCTCGACGTCGGGTGTTGGAAAGAGCGCCTCTGGTCCGCAGGTGGTGGGTCGGCGTCCTGAGCGTCCTGGGCGTCCTGACGCCGCCGGCCGTTCGAGCTCAGGGTGCGGAATGTCCGCCCCCGGAAGCCATCCCGGGATGTCCCTGTTACAATTTCGAGGACGGCCTGTTCCTGGAGTGCGCTGGCGCGACCGATGCGACCCTCAGGACCACGCTCCTGGGAGTCCTGAGTGCCGGAGGTGAGTGCTCTCGTGACGGATCCGGGGAAGGACGTCTAGGTATGACGGGGTAACGACGCGTTACTTAGGCGTAACGAGCGTGTCGACGTGTTCCAGGTTCAGGAACGGTGGTTCAGTCGTTGAGCGTGTACGAGCTGGACAAGGGAATAGAGGAACTGAAGGCCGAGGCCTTCCCGGTGGGAAGTCAAATTCGACACCTGCAGGTGTCCCACTCGTCCCTGAAGGAGGTGAGCGAGGACGCCTTCGTTAACCTGAAGGAGAGCCTGGAATCGCTGGCGCTGGTCTCGGGTCGGCTGACGCAGGTGCCCCAGAAGTCGCTGGCCGACCTGCACAAGCTGGCCGCCCTCGACCTGGAAGCGAACCTGATCCAGGACCTCTCCTCGTACTGCTTCTACGGGCTCAAATTGATCAAGCTGAGCCTGAAGGGAAACCAGATATCCAAGATCTCGGAGTACGCGTTCGCCGGCCTCGAAGATAGTCTGAGCGACCTCGACCTGGCCGAGAACAAGCTGAAGAACTTCCCAATGGCGCCTCTGAGGAGGCTGGAAAGTTTGGCGTCGCTCAGGCTAGCTTGGAACGAGATATCGATGCTGCCCAACGACGGCTACTCCGTCCTGGGATCGTTGCTGATCCTGGACCTGAGCAGCAACAACTTCGACCAGCTCACGGAGGACTGCTTCAGGCCTTGCCCCATTCTGCACACCCTTTCTCTCTACTACAACGCCATCGAAACCGTGCACAAGGACTCGTTCGTCTCTTTGAAGGACCTCGAGTCGATCGATCTCAGCCACAACAAGATCGTCTTCCTGGACGTGGCGACTTTCCGGGGCAACGAGCGACTGAGGACGATAGAGCTCAGCCACAACCACATCCACTACATAGGCGGGGTGTTCGCGAGGCTGCCCGAATTGCGAGAACTCTACCTAGCCGAGAACAACATCCTGGAGATCCCAGGAGACGCGTTCACCGGCAGCGTCAGCTTGGCCGTAATATACCTGCAACAAAACGCGATCAGGAGGATAGATGCCAGGGGCCTGACCACCCTGACCCAATTAACCCAATTACATTTGAGCATGAACTACATCGAGAGAGTTCCCAAGGAGTTCCTGGAACACTGCGAGGCGCTCTCGTCGTTATCCCTCGATGGCAATAAGATCAAGGAACTGCAGCCAGGAACTTTTGACCGGCTTCATCAGCTGAGAGAGCTGCGCCTGCAGGACAACCGCATCGCCGCCGTCAGGAGGGGAGTCTTTTCTCCCCTTCAGGCGCTGCTGGAGTTGCACTTGCAAAATAACGCCATCGCCGATATGGAGACCGGGGCTTTGCGGACCCTGAACAGTCTGCAGCACGTCAATCTTCAGGGGAACCTGCTATCGGTGCTCGGCGACGTCTTCCAGCTCTCCGCTCCGGAGGCGTCGTCTTCGTCGCCGTCCGCTTCCGGAGGAAGCTCCCTGGTCTCCATTCAGCTCGACAGCAACGGATTGGAGGTGCTGCACAACGACTCCCTGAGAGGACAGGCGTCCGTCAGGATCATGTGGCTGGGGCACAACAAACTGACCCATCTGCAGGCCCCGCTCTTCAGGGACCTCCTCCTGGTGGAACGCCTCTACTTGACGAACAACTCCATCTCCCGGATAGAGGACGCCGCCTTCCAGTCCATGCAAGCCCTCAAGTTCCTGGAGCTGAGCATGAACAAGTTGGGCCACGTCACGGGGAGAACCTTCTCCGATCTGAACGAACTGGAAGAGCTCCATCTTCGGGATAATGGACTTCGGAGGCTGGATCCGTACGCGTTCACGGCCCTGAAGAAGCTGCGCGTCCTGGATCTGGCGAACAACCTGCTGACCGTCATTCGGGATACGATGTTCAAGGAAGACCTGCCGATCAGGACCCTGAACCTGAAGAACTGCTCCATCTCCAGCGTGGAACCTAGCGCCTTCGATGGCCTCGGTGGTCTTCTGGACCTCAACCTGGAGGACAACTTTTTGAACGCATCGGCTTTAGGCCATTTTCGAGTGTCCGGTCTTCGCATCCTCGCGGCATCCGGGAACAACTTCAGCCAGGTGGACCGACGCAGCCTGAATGGATTGCCGTCTCTTCAGGAACTCTCCCTGGTGAACGCCAGGATCCTTCAGCTGCCGGAAACCGTGTTCGCCCTGAACAGGAACCTAGCGCGCCTCCACCTGAGCGACAACCTGTTAAGTTCCCTGCCACAAGGAATCTTTGAGGGGCTGATGTCTCTCCGGGAGATTCGGCTCGATCGGAACAGATTTACCGGTCTACCGTATCCAGCGTTATCCGGGGCGTCGAATTTGGAGATCTTGTCCTTAGCTGGCAATGCGATCGTCACCGTGGATGCCGCCAGTCTGGGAAGTCTGAGATATCTGCGCGAACTGGACCTGGCCCACAACAAGATCGAGACCATGTCGGGCTTCGCGACTGCGAATTTATCCAGGCTCCTCTCGGTGGACCTCAGTCACAACCACCTGAGCGCTTTGCCTGCCAACTTCTTCGCCCATTCCTCGATGCTGCGCCGAGTCGACCTGTCCGAAAACAAATTCCGCCAGATACCTGCAGTGGCATTGTCAGGGCAGAACCTGCCGGGCCTGGCTTGGCTGAACCTGACTCGGAACCCGCTGCATCGAATCCATGACCTACCTTCCGAGGCGATGTACCCCATCCTGCAAGAGGTCCATATATCAGGAACGAACTTGAGCATCGTCACGTCGCAGGATTTCGAGGCATTCCCGGCACTTTTGCACCTGTACCTGGGCCAGAACTGTATACTGAGAGTCTCTCCGGGAGCATTCCGTAGCTTACCGAACTTACTTACCCTCCACCTGGGCATGAATAGTCTGGAAATTCTGCCGAAGGAGAGGCTCCAGGGGATGGAGCACCTCCGCGTATTGAACCTTACGCACAACCGACTGAAGGAACTCGAGGAGTTCCCCGCGGACCTCAAGTCGTTGCAGATCCTCGACCTGTCCTACAACCAAATAGGCATTGTCGGCAAAGTCACTTTTAAGAATCTAATCAGCTTGGTGGAGCTCCACCTCTACGGGAACTGGATCAACGCCATATCCAGCGAAGCGTTCAAGCCTTTGAAGAAACTCCGGCTGTTGGACCTCAGCAGGAACTACTTGGAGAATTTGCCCCTCAATGCATTCAGACCGCTGGAGACGCAAATACGGAGTCTGAGGGCCGAGGGTAAGAGTGATAAGCCGTTCCTCGACGTACACATACCGTCTTACTTTCCGCTCTCTATTCCCCGACAAACGCAAGTTTACTTATTTCTCTGGCCGAACTTCCGTCCTCCTCTCCCGGCCGCGCTCTTTCTCTCTCTCTCTTTCTCTCTCTGTCCCCAGAAAACCCTCTGCATTGCGGCTGCGAGTCCCAGGAACTGTGGGAGTGGCTGCGGGATCATCAGAAGCTGGTCGGCGGGGTTGGCCGAGGTGTCGGGGTCGGAGAAGTCCAGGGTGGACTTCTGAGGTGCGAGCAGCCCCCCGAGCTCCGAGGACTGGTCTTCCTCGACCTGGATCCCCACGCTTTCTGCTCCGCTCCTTTGGTACTTAAACTAGCCATTCAGGACATTCAACCCTTCTCCGTCCTCGTGTCCTGGCAGAGCAGGAACCACTCCGGGCTGCACGGGTACCAAGTGGCCTACCACGCCCTGGACAACGTCGACGAGGTCGGTCCCCGGCGAACGCGTCGTCCTTTTCCTCGTAAGAAGTGCCGATGATCGAACGTTTCCTCGACAGGTCCGAGGGAAGCTGCTGGATCCGAAGGCGAGGTCTCTGAAGCTGACGAAGCTGGTCCCGGGAACACGATATCTGATCTGCGTGCTGGGCCTGGGGAACTGGGGCACTCCCATCCCCGATGACGTCAACGGCTGGCAGTGGAACGCCTCGCACGACGACGTGATCGAGGGCTCCGCCTTGCCGGTAATGGTTAACTCCCCCATGAGCAGATGCACCGAGGTGACGACCCTGGACTCGCCGGACTCGGTGGACAGCGACGGCGCCATCGGCGACAGGGGCGGCTTGGCGAGCATCCTGACCAGGAGGCTGGGCCTCATCGTGGGCAGCTGCATGGGCTTCGTCGTCTTCGTCGTCCTGATCTCGGTCCTGGGCTACATGAAGATGAAGAAGCAGAGGGCGGCCGTCAAGCGAGAGCAACCTCTGGCCCCGAACCCTCCGGAGTACATGTCCTACAGGCACTTCTCCTTGCAGAGCGGAGACCGTCCCGACAACACCTGTCCCAGCTTCATCGGCAACATCGGCCCCATAGGTACCACCACCTTGAACTCGTAGCATAAGCTCCAACGGGGCAAGGCATCCCGTTCGGAAAGCGAACACGACGTGGAAATGAGAAGCGTATCCACGTGCACGGGCATCTTCGGATAAAGCCGTTCCTCGACGGACCGGACAGAGATTACGACGCGATCGTCCGGACCTGCAGTGTCACCGAGAGGGGACGTCGCGATAGGGACGCTGCCGAGATATGCAGGGACCTCGGAACGAATCGAGCCGAAGAGATACGACGTACCTAGACACCTGGTCCCCGTTCCCCGCTGACGTCTCCCCGAGGAAGGACGAAAAATCGCGATCGCACGTAACGAGGTGCAACGAACGATAATCGTAACGCAAGGATCTGGACCTGGACCAAGGGCGTCTGCATCCATATTCCTGCGGTCACTGTTTCCCAGGAAGGGATCCTTGGAATCGAGCGCAAGTAAGAGGGAATACGTAAGCATTGTCATTTCCTTTTGACGAATAAACGCGAAGATAATGTTATCTGGACAGCGACTTCTGTGACGAATTGTGTACCGAACAACGATCCCCAAGACCTCCTGACTTTGCACACATCGAAGAAGTGGACGATGCATCGACTGGCGGTGCATCCGGAGAAATTAAACAGGTATATACCTCGAAGAGAGTACGAGATTAGCGAGTTATCGCAGTCGAGACACGTAGGGTCCGGAAGCTGACTTAGTAGGCCTATCTCGGTAGAATTTCTCTAGGTGTAGCGAACCACGCGCGCGTCTCGCTCGAAGACTGATTTTTTAATCGTTTTTGGTAGAACATTGAGGTCGGTGTAATATAGACAGTACTCTGTAAATACCTCCGAATGTTAGTGGGTAAAAAGTAAGCGCGTTCACGCGCCGCGAAGCAATATTACTCTGGTGTATAGATAGAGAATCCTGTATCGCACCTTGTTTCGTTTGGCGAGCCCTTTTCTAAAGGGCGCGAGTGACGCGCATTGAATAATAATTATTCACTGCCGTTCGCTCATTTTCGGCAGGGAGAGGAACGAAACCCGTGCCGAGGGAAATCATAACTTCGCGGGGAAAACGAAATCAAAAGTAGGTGGATTACGTGGAGGCGTGTATTCCAGTCGGAACTTCATATATAATTCCTGCCAGAACAGGTACCTAATTTCAAGTTGCCAAATGCACGTACGAGTCGTACGCGCTACGAAAGTACGCTAGAGTAAAGGGAGGCTGTACATATACGAGAAATAGGGAGAGACTGTATGATATACGTGAAACGTACACCTACGTGTACAATATCTTACATTGTAACTTAGGCTTTCGGATAATAAAACACCAACGAGTCGATGGACCTCTGCGCAAATTTCATGATACCGGGCACTGTACGATTAAGTCGGAATTAATTCCTCGCCCCTCTCCACCCCTTATCAGGATTTCAAATGGACTCCTTAGATCCTATCGCATGGACAATTAGATCCAAGCCTGATACAATAGGAACTCAATTCGAAGATCAACAAATCCGCATTTAGCCCTGCATTTTCCCTTCTCTTCCTCCCGCCGAAAAATGAAAAGGTACGTGCCTGGAATAGCAAAATCCGATTGGTCGAGCATAGATATTCCGAAAAAAAAAAAAAAAAACGAAACCCATCGTTCGAGATACGTGCCACGAGCCGCGGAATCTGTCACGCGGTGCCGGACAATCCGTGTGAAAAATGATAACGCGGTGACACGGTCCGAGGCATTTCATTTATTTCGATAACGACCTATTGAAATTACGCGCATCCCTCGGCGCATTAACGATGTCAATGATTTCCCCTGGAATTGAAATCCAATCGAGTTTCGGGTAATGCCCTTGATTACGGAAATCCAGCGGCATCGGCTGTTTCGCGATTGCCCTGCCGGGCCGGCGAAACGCGTAACGAGAAATTTTCATTTGCCACTTCTTCTCTTTTTTTTTTTTTCCACCCCCTCCCAATGTTCTGGCGAGGCCGGCGGTCGGTTCGGAAAATGGTCCACTTCCACGGCCGGCGAGCGAAAGGTCGCGAAAAATTCGAACGTTCCCTCGATTCGCGAAAATGGAGCGCCGACCACTCTCGAGTATTGTCTCCATCTCCATTGGTAATGTAAACCGTATCGCGTTAAAAGAAAGCGCCTCTCGACCGATACGCGTTCCCTTGGACGTCCCAGAAAAGTGCAATCCACTTTCGGGGATGACGTCTATGAATAATGGTGATCAGGAGACCCTTTAACGAATTTTCCTTCGGTCCGCCGCGGGTGGAGGGATCTACGAGGCACTCGTAGACATTTAATTACTGTCGCCGCACGTGCGCGCACGCACAAATCTGCGAAATGTAGGAGCCATGCGTCTTCTTTAAGCCGCGATCGTTACACGGAAGAACTGGCGTAACGTCGACGGTATGCGGCTCGTAAATTAAGCAGGATACTTGCCGTTTCGAACCGAGCAAACGGCTAAATCCGCGAGCGGCAGTAAACCGGCGAAGCGCATGCCCCCGATCGGAGTGAATCTCCGTAAATCGGCGATAAATTCGCAGGAAGTAATTTCAGGGGAATTCTGGCTCCCTGCGTCGATAATAGCGACAACGGGAATTAATCTTAAAGCATGGCCCGAATCGGTCACGAAGTAACGAGTTCCTCGACGGCCGAGCGGTTAAATTGACACTTTATCGATATCGGCCGCGGGGTAAAAAAAAAGAAAATATATGGAAGAGTTCCCTGGAACGCGATTTTATACACGCAAGGACGACTTGAGCTGAAACATCTTTCTCCATTACAGATATAAATCGCGCGTCTCTTCTGCCCCGTGTAAATCCCCAGACAGGAGGGAGAAAAAGGATCCGACGAACCAGAGAGCGGTGGTAAAACGGACATTCGCACAATGGACCCATTCTCCGGTGCCAAATATATTTTACCCGGTGGGTTCGACCGGCTCGTAACCGATCGCTCGCGATTTCCCCACTTCCTGCCTTTATCCAGCTGAGTTAAAGGTCATTAAAATAATTGGCCCCCTCCTGCACTTTCCTACAGCGCGAACCCGCTGGCACGCGCACCGGAATGGACCGGCTGAAATACAATAATGGCATTCATTGTTTTCTACCACGGCGGCTTCCTAATTCGAAGAGCCCAACATGCATCGTCCACAGGTCAGTGCCCAGCGTGATAATGTTCGGACTTCGCCCAACCGAAGTACGAATTCAAGATAGACCCAGATAGGCATTTAAGCGTCTAAGTACTACAAGCATAAATAACGCATTAATTAAATTAATTAAATTAAGGGAGTGGCCACCATCCTGTTCCCGTTGTAAACGCGGACGATCGGCAACTTCATCCATCGCTCAGATGTACTTGTAACTGTGGGCAGGATAACCCTTTACATTAAGGCCAGTTATTCGAAACGTGGACCCACTGTCCGGATAAGCCCTCAATTGCTCATTCGTTAGAGCCCTTCGTCCTGTAGTTACGAACAGCTCGTCCAAGTTGCGGCCACCCCAAGTAACAGAACTTACTTGCTCGGCACCAATTGGAACCGACATCAATAATGTACCGCTCTTTGGGTCAATAACGATCACCTGGTACCCGCCGTAGCAAGCAACCCACAAGTTCCCATTAGTGTCGATGGTCATTCCATCGGGAACCCCGTTGACTCCTTTTTCCGTGAAGTTGAAAACCGTCCTTCTATTACCTGCCACGTAATACCGCGGGTTAGAATAATTTTCATAAATCGAGATTACGCTATTATCTGGCTTGAAAATGCGTCCGGTAAATAATTAATGAACTCACTAAGTGGCTCCCAGGCCGATTCATCGAAGTCAAACTTGTCCACAGTTTTGTCCCCAGAGTCGATGTAATACATGGTTTTGCCATCCTCGGTCCAAGCCAGGCCATTCGAAATCAACAGATTTTTCAAGTGCGATATTATCCCAGTACTCGGGGTGACACTGTACAATTGGCCCGTTCTTTCCGTTATCACATTGGGCACTCGCTCTGGACCCATTGTACCTGTGCACGAAATTTCCTTCGTAAACAATACCTCGTTTTTTGCCCGCGGCCCCTTCGTGCGTTACGAGGCCGGTAATTGCGCAATTTGGTTACTTGTCACTGACGATTTAACTCGCCGTCGTAATATAAAATCACGGTAAACATTCGGGTGGTACCTTTCCCTAAATGCAATGCTTACCAGCCCAAAGTCTGCCGGTTCTGTCAACCTTGGCATCGTTGAACCTGGACCCGTCAGGCTTCTGCAATGCCGAATAAATGATGGAACTATTTGCGGTCGAATTATTCGAGCCATTCCAAAACACGTCCCTGACGTCCAATCCAGTAGAAATGACAAATTCGTCCGTGGTTCCTTCCACGGGGATCACGAAAGTTACGGGTTCACCGTCTGAAAAATTGTAATCTCGTTAAAAAAAAAAAGAAGAAATTAAGAGCCTCACCGTATACCGCATTCTCACTTATCAATGTACTGTTGTGGGCCCCGGTTTTCGGGTCATAGAGATTAATCGTGCCTCCGGCAATGTCCACGAAATAAAGGATCTGATTTTCCGCGTTCCAGTGTGGACCTTCCCCATGTAATACCGGGCTCGATATTGGCTTAGACGTGAAGCATTGCCCAAGTGCAATGACACTCGCCAGCACGTACACTCGGAGCATGATGACGATCGCTTCTCGACGGTCCCCTTAATTGAGAGAATTTTTTAATTTCATCTCCAGAAAGACGAACGCGGTACTTACCTCTCCTCGTTCACTCCCGGACTGTTGGATTAAGTCTCAGAAGCTGCAATTAAAAACTGGAGCACTTGGCACGTAGACGTTCACTGTCAAGGTCTCTTCCGCGTCCGCAGCTGAAGTGTCCCTCTTTCAGCAGATGTGAAAATAACGGTCAAACGGGTAAAACCTGGCAGATAAAGAGCACACGTTGCGCGTGCATTAGTTCAATGACGCATGACTACATATTTTCAAATAATGGTAATTACTTGATAGAATGCATACTTACCGCGAACAAGACGACTAAGACCCACGTCCGCGTGGCGGTCTTTCTCCAAACATATGTGCTTATATCGCTCGGCATGCAAAGCCAGCAGTCATACTGCGTCATTGCTTACCATTCAATGGCCATGTACATATATAGGCGATTTGAAAGTACTCCGCGCTCCAGAGTCTCTCGAATGCTGGCCAGACCAATAAGAAACCTTCCACTCAGGGTCGCCATCGGATTGCTGAAAAAGAAACCGAGGACTATAGAAGAGGATAAATGCCGGGGATATTTAAGAAAACGTGCTCCGCAAATTGTGGAGATTTTAATTAGTAATTTTTTTTTTAAGGAAAGGATGTACCTTCGTTAAAAAAAAAATTAGATACGAGATGGACCAGCCATTGACGCCGTTAAGGCAAGGTCGGTGCACTCCACCTGATGGTCCCTCGCAGCAGAGGACCATCAAAAAGTCTCGGAATAAAATATGAATGGATGGAGAAACGTTTCATGCCTTTGCTCCAAATTAGAGACCGTTCTCCGGCGCTCGGCACCTGCGGTAAAAACGGGAACCGCTTACAAAATGGCGAGCACTTCCATGGTCGATAAAAGAGCGAGGAACGGAGTATCGTCCCATGGTAAAACTATGAGCCCATTTCCACGGGGCGAGAAGCTCCGTAATCGATAAGAAGGATGGGAACGTAAGTGAAACGCCACCCAACTGTGGAGAGATAAACTACCGGCAATGGTCGATAACACCCACGAGCGGTAGAGATGAGAGTTCGCTATTTTTAAAATGTGAACTTTTTCAAACGTATGGAATACTTCTATTTCCATTTTTATCGAGAATAAGTAATGACCCCCGGAAAGTATGCCAATGGCGCTGTGAACTGTAATTCAAGTTTTCTCCCCCGTATCGTCCGATGTGGCGGCGAATACGATATTAAATCTATTTTGGAAACGGCCCGATCCCCTCTTGAAGGAGACGTTTATTAGCACCAAAGGGTCTCATATTGAAGTTCTGTTCGCCGCGATGCTTTCGGCGCGTCAAGTGACATTACTCCTGACCCTCGCAGCTGTCTTGCTCGATTGCACTTGCAATACCGAAGGACCCGTGCAAGAGGCCTGTAAGTTGATTTTCAACGCAAACCGGAAAAAAAAATTTATCGCGAAAGTATTGAGGATCTTCTTAAAAAATTCCCTAATTTTTCGCGCTGGATTTTAGCTGGACACGAGGTGAAGCGAAACGGAAGTGACGTCACCGAGACGCATCATGCAACGTGTACCATCTCGACGGAAGAATTAGTCGCAAAAGCTCACACTACGTTCACAAAGGTGCTTTCGGGTGCTTGCAATGAACGTAAAGATATACATTTTTGTATTTACGATCCGGAACAAAAATTGGCGATCGAATTTGATTGCAGAATTAATTGTCGTTGCAGGAACTGTGCGCGAGCAAATCGACGACTTGAAGGAGGTCCTGGAAGAGCAGTTGGATGAAATTAGAAAAATGCTAAGAATAATCATGAAGCAGGAGAATGTGAATTTTCCTCTAGATCAGAAGGAAACCTCTCATAGGGTGAAACTCGAAAAATTTGAACGAACCTCGTCTGAAAACTCTGAAGGCAACGAAAATGCATCGAATCGATACGCGTCGCCTCGACTGAGAGAGATCAAGAAGTACAATAACACGATACAGCAAATTATTACAGAAAACAAGGGTTCGTTACATTCCCCTTTATTTTAATGACACTTCCGATATGAAAATACGAATGATATATATTTATTAAAAGTTGCCTAAAAGGGGAACTTATCTACGGGAAATGCAATCACGTCGTCTTTGGTTATTGTCGGTAGAAAATTTTCTTATGAAAGTCGACCATTGTTTCAACAAAGTGAATATCAAGCGTGTACGTTCCACCGCCCTGCGCGACATTTTAAATTGAGTGAACTCATGTATGCGTTTTATTACATTCTGCCTCAGAACCTGTCAAAATGTTCTCCTGGTACTGGCGAGTATCAGACTTATCGAAAAAGCTGTCTCAGTGGGAACTGGGCCGATCACAGCGCAGCCCGACATTTTACGTAAATTCTGCTGGATATGCTCTGTATCTGAAAATTACCCCAAGATCATTCCTGGATGAATCTCTTTTCGTGACAATGGGGGTGACTAGGGGACGACACGACCCTATCCTGAAATGGCCCTTTCCCCTTAAACTTCGCATTGAGGTAATATTTTTAAAACGGAAGAAATGAGTAGACAATAAATATTTTCACTTCTAGACAAACGATATGGAAAAATCGTTTTTATCTTTCAGATCCTGGATCACTCTACGGAAGGACGTCGGGAAGATCGCACCTCTCCGATTTGGGATCCTCGAGAGTTTTGCTCCGAATATTTCTGGACGCGGCCTAAAATTACCGCTGAACCCGACAATCCTGATTGCCTCGGACTAAACTTGCCGAGGAAAGTACTTTTTACAAAATCTGCCCCAAAACGCAGCAAGTACGTATGGGATAATAGTTTAATAATTAAGCTATCAGTGTATCTCTAAAAGTGGCAAAAATACCAATGCAAATCGGTACCTAGATTTGGATATACATATCTTTATGTATTTATTTTTGTATATATCATTTCATTTGTGTGGGTGGGGGAGAGAATGAAATCACGAAGTCGATGGCAAATACGTAGCTTATTAGTCAAACATGGTTAAAATGAAAAATATTTACGTCCGCGGGATATTTTCGAAATAATTCCCTCTACATGATCCGCGAGCCAATAATTTTTATTATATATAGGTTGAGCTAATACAGTTTATAGCATCTTGTGTACTTTATTAAATAAATTGAATAAACAAGTCGCAGCACTTGTTCGATCAAATATTTGTCACAAAGTGATTAAATCCATAGTTCACGTTAGGAATCGATACTGTAGTTTTTTTTTTTTTTCGGTATTAAGTGCCCTCATGCATAAACTTAATACAGTGCACACCGATCAATTAATCACACCTGATAAATACTTGCTGGAATGGTAACGCGGGCACCTTTTGAAAGACATCATTTGAGAAATGTACAAGGAGGATTATTATTTCGAAACGATGTTCGTTTCACGATGAACGGAGAGATTTGAGTATTCTTTTAATAATCACTCCATTGATGGAGTGGGAGTATCGGTTGAATTTTAATATCGTTATTAATTGGACTAGGTGGACACGATTAACTGTCATATCGATCGCGATTTATCATCTTCCTAGCCAATGAAGAGATGTCTTGTGAAACCTCCTGGACATTGCAGTCATCTGATTGGCAATCAAGATTTTCCCGTATTTCTGGAGAAGTAGCCCTTAACAGTGCTTTAAACAATGGTACCGATAATCGAATGCTCTGACTATTATCACCCTGCATGCCCAAATTATATTCCACGGAACTCCTCTTCCTTCCGCAACCTGAAATATTAAAAAATGGTATAAAAGGAAAAGAAGATAATTGGAAGCTCCAGCTAATTTCCTCCCTGATAATTAGTACTCACCAGTGAACGCGTTACAAAATGGCCTCTTCATTTTGTTCGATTGATCGGGTTCGATATTTTCCAGAAACTGAGGATCGACCTGCGAACACCCGACCCTTCATTTAACATTTAATTCAAGTGCATAAAATCAAGGTGAAATCTTAATCTTTATTTTACATATACCACGAAGCTTACGAACTTACTCTACTTCGGAGGCTTGCAGAATTTGACATGACTTGCAGAGAAACGAAAACCAGAGCACAGTAGACGTACCCGTTCACCTAAAAAAAAGAAAAATACGAAAAGTATCCTCATTAAACCAAGAGATCATGCAAGTATACAATCGCTATTAAATAACCATTAATCGTTACGTCTCGATTATTTTCGTTTCCCTTATAGTTACCGCGAGTTCAAGTCCCCAAGCACAAAGCTCATTAACTTTTTACGAATTTACGTTGACACGGAAACCACCTGCTCGCGTATCATTATTACCATTACCGATGATTATCACAGTTGCATAACGACAACGAAGTACTCGAGGATACGTTGCAGCCATAATCTGCTTACGTTGACGATTAGTTTTGCATTCCGTTCGGTTGGTAATTAACGGCGTCATTTCGCCAATGGTATCGGAGAAAGTGCATAATGGTAGATTTAACATTTTTAACAGCCCACGCCTTCCAACGCGTCATAAATTCGATCAGGATATCCAATTTTCTATCAATGTATAGTGCACAGACTAGGAAGGCAATTTTTTCGCCGACTAGGTTGTCACTGTCGTCACTCGACACGGGAGTAATAACGTTATACCTTTAAATAGGAGTTTCATTTTTACACTGATTCGTCGGAAATCGACCCAGCGCCTTGATAAAAGCCGTCAAAAGCACGGATTAATTTTGTTAGGAGTATCAAAGGCCACGCGGAAATTTAAACCCTGCGAAATAGTAGGAACGATTTTAATTAAACCCTCCTATACATTATTTAACACTCATTACGCAATTCCAAACCGAATGCTTCCGATTGCATACCCATTTCGGGATTTTTCCTAGGAGGTCTTCCGGATAAAAATGAGAAATCCCGAAATAAGAGCGCAAAGTGACTCAATGAATTTTTCCATCCCTACGAAGGACACGCACCATCTCACTGCACTTTCAATAATTTCCTCGCAGGCGCCTAAAATTATCCCGATTTACCGAGCAATTTTGGAAAATGGAGAAGTCCCTACCTGGCGAAAACTTCGCCCTGGAAACCGTGCCCGTTCGAGGCTTTCCTCCGAAAGTTCGTTCCACAATCTTCCCCCGAAATTCCGTGAATTAAGCAACTTCCCAAAGGGGGGGAAAGAAAAAAATCCCGGGAAAGGTTGGCGGGGAAAAATGCTTACCTTCATCGCGAACCTTTGCGGAACTCGCGGGAACAAACGAAGTACTTCGGAGGCCTTTTTCGGGACTTTAATCGCCGTTTCTTTGACGGATCCCGAGACCGCGAGACACTTCAGGAACGAGCACGAGTGGAGGCACGCGCGATGGCCGCTAAGGGTTGTATTTGATGGCGAAATAGCGCGCTCAGTCTTGAAATACATCCCCCTCCAAGGTCCAGCAGCCACGCTAAATACATGCGCCCTGCTCCGTGCCGAGCATATGACGCTTACGGTTCTCATTATTACATCTACGAGAGGCAGTCCGTAGTTGGCCGGTTCTTTTCGCAGTAAACGTCTCATTATTAATTAGTTTTCCCCGGAGGCCTCTCCACAGGCCTCCGCACCCTCGAATATTTTCCCTCTTACTCCGACATGGGGTGGTTTTCTCTCGTGAAGAAAACAAATACTTGGAAAAAGAAAACCACCACCTACCTCCAGAAACCCTCCGAAAAATGTCTACGTATCAGCCTCTACCTCCGGGTGTTTCCAAAACCGCTCAGAAATTCGAAATCCATTTTGGCGAACGCGCAAAAAATTCACTCCCGACCGTATCGTCCGAAGGGTGGCGAGGCCTATGAAATGATCAGAGTGGGAAGTAATTAATTCATTAAAAATAGAGTTATTAGATGCTCTACCGACCTAGAATTATACAGATCTATTTTTTCCGTAGCCACTCCCAGGGTTTCAGGGGACCGAACATGGCAGGGAGGTTTGTAGCTCATTTCTCTGCCCCGGAGAACACGGGGAAGGTCCAAGGCTACCCTTTCCTCGAGTTTCCCCGGTGACACGCACGTATGCAAAGAGCCTGCTGAAAATGACTGGCGTAGAGGGAAAGAGGAAGGGTCGTCGGAGGGAATCATGCCCGGAAGTAGGGTGTAACGAGTCAGCCTCTAACGGTCTGTATAAATCACAGAAAAGCAGTTGGGGCTAAGTACTTACACCGTTCGCGCATCAGAGCCCGCTGCGCCTCCATAAGGTCGTTCACACCTTACGAGATGCTGGGCTCTGTCTTTTTTTCTTCATCTCCCATTCCTTCTTTTTTTTTCCTTTTTTTCAATTCGCCCGTTCGATAAAACACGGTACACTCGGCAGCACTCGCATGGAGACGTCAGACTTTTCTGCGCCTCTGGGAAAATGTTCTCCGGGCAGAAGTACGGTCTTTTCCTTTTTGGAACTTGTGCATATACCTGCTGGAGAACCCGCGGAAAAAGAGGGAGAGAGAGAGAAGATTCTCCCCGGCGGTAAAACATAAACGCCGTTTGTACTTTCCTAATTGAGAACACCTCGGGGGAGTAACCATGTGTACTTAACATTAGCGGGTTTTCCGCGCCGTCTCGTCTAGATTCTTTTGAAAATTTCAACGCCTTGACCTTCAATTCCTGCCGTAGCCCACGGAATTTCGAAATTTGTACCTCGAGCAGTGATGTCGATAAGCAAACGGTCGACGTAACATATCAATTATGTGATGACGATAAAGAAAGTAGTGGATTTTTATTAAATGCGATTGAATCCGACTCGGTGCAGGATAATCAAAAGGTCCGTCCCATGTTCGTACTCCACGTTAGACTGCTTCAGACAGCATTTATTATCTTACAGGCTCCTCGGTATAAATCGTAATTCTACCGCCAAGGTGAACAGGACCAAGACTTATGAATAAGAGATACGCGGTATGTAGAGTGCCCTCGTGAACCTCTCGGCATAAAACTCTTAAACACCTCTTTATTTTCATTTTTCAGTAAATAAAACTCCTCGCGCGCCGAGGTTTCAGCTATATTTTTTTTTACATTAAACGAGTAACGTAAAAGGAAGCCCCAGTCTTGCACTTCTCTTCCCTCTGATAGGACGCACAAGTTTTGAGAGAATATACATTAAAACTGAGAAAGGAGTCGTGAAAAATATGAAATTATTAAAGACGTACTTATTCACAAACATAACCGTGAGTGCCTGGATAGCTCAGTCGGTAGAGCATCAGACTTTTAATCTGAGGGTCCAGGGTTCGAGTCCCTGTTCGGGCGACCTTTTTTTTTTTAAATCAATACAAAACCCTAACAATTCCTCATTTACAATATAGTAAATGTAACAAGCAAGATAGAATCGGTTTTTTTCTTTTTTATATGAACGTTATTTAATTCAGTGAATTTGACAAAAAACGATGTACACGTCACCTTTATTTGATGTAGCCTTAGAAATATTAAAATATATATGTATATGTATCAAGATGTACAAAGGCTATATTTATAAATACGAGAAATAGTTATCCTTGCTATGGATGGCAAGCCGAACAGTCTCATTATTTGCTTCACTTAAATGCACGCCTTAACTTCTCTTTGAGAACATGATTTAATTATTATTTGCAATGCTTTCAAAATGGAGTGGAAACATTTTTTTATATTTCATGATTGTTCCTTAACGCTGCCATCTGCCATTCCAAAGAATGCCTTAGAAGCCATTTTAACAAACAGACCGGTTTCTACGATTCCAGGTATCATCGATATTGCTATATTAATTTTCTCCCAGTCAGAAATATCGTGAGGAAAGTGCCAGTCCAGGATGAAATTACCGCTGTCTGTTACCACAGGTCCCTGATATAAGGAAAGAACCACAAAAATTATGTAACGACACATATGTATTCTATCCAGAAGAACTGAAATAACGAAATTTACAGCCTTAGCTACAGCCATCCTAATTTTTGCTGACCCTCCATAATTGTCTTCAATTTTTCGCTGTACAGGCACATACGCCATAGGAACGACTTCTATTGGAATCCCCTTTTTGTACTGCTCGCCAAGTTTCTGTGAATTTTTCCTGAAATTTACAGGAAATTTTAAAATATCCTAAACATGCAAAATATCCTTAACCATTAGGAATCAGCTTACGTATAATCAGCTATTATAATTAATCTATCCGCACATGAAGCAACAATTTTTTCTTGAAGCAAACAACCCCCTCCACCTTTTATCAGATTCAGTTCCGAGTCGACTTCATCAGCTCCATCGATAGCACAGTCTAACTAAAAATATACTGCTATGAAACAAAAATTCATGAAAATAAATATATACATATCCACCATTGACCATTACCACCGGACTAGTTTCAAGATCTCCTAACGTGAGATGGTGATTCACAATTAGCTGGCGAGCCTGGAACGAAGTAGGAATGCAGACAACATTCAGATTTTCTTCTTTAACACGTTCCGCTGAAATAGGAATCACTCAAGTCGTTTAATAATAATGACTATCGACTTGTTTAAACGGACTAACCGAACAGCAACACTGTCCATGTAACCAGTGAATTACAGACTGCACCATACCAAGTACAATAAAAGCACGTACAGAAGCATTGATACTCGTAAGCTAGTACACTCAAAGTACACAACTGCGAAAGCCTGTAATTTCCTTACCGAGTCTATGAACAGCATAAATAACAGTAGATCCAGAACCAATGCCGATCACGTTGTTATTCTAAAAACAAATGCAACAATCTAAAAGACCGGCTCACGGATAACCTATACGGTACCGTTTAAGCTTAACAACGTGATACGTAACCTGTACGTACTCATCGACGGCTCTATAAGCCGCAGCCTTTTTGGCAGTTTCAAGAGGACCCATTTTTTCGTGAATCCGTTGAACGTTAAATAAAATACGAGTTGCAAAATTTCTTGACAAACAAGTAGCTAGGATCATCGGCGATAAAGATTGATCATTTCGCAACGTTAGTTGAACAATCGACCGTCGTGCGCTACCGCTCGCCGAATGTCGCCATATTGGCGCGTAACTTAAACAAGAATAAATTCTGATAATGGTCCAAACTGATAAATGCTAATTTAGTTCAGTTGTAACGTAACAAGGGTGACAATTTCCAAAGACTATAAATGGCCTTAAAATATCACCAACGACGAGATTAAGATGACATTCATAAGGTAAACGATTCAATTGAATCTTCATTATATTCAGCGTCAGAGGCGTATAACACAAAATACAACCAAACACAATTTACATTCCAATTATTATATTATATATATAAGACTTCGCATTTAATTCTCTAATATTTAATAATGTCCGCGAACATCTCCCATTCCACCGTCACACCATACAATCTCGAATCACCTCTAGTACGGTCATATAAGATCAGCCCTAAAAATCGACCCCAACATGCCCCGGTATCTCTATCTGCGCGCTTGCAGGACTCTTAGAAATGTATTTTTTTTCTTTTTTTTTTTAACTAATATCCTTCCTCGCCCCACGAGTCCTCGACAAGAGCCGCAAAGTCCACAGGATGTAAGCGAAAGTCTCAAGAGAGTTACCTTCGGTCGCATGATTCGAGCAGAACTATTTATAGTCGATCGGTCGAGGTGTCTGGATTTTTATTTCGCGAAGGAAGATACGGAACAAAGAAGCTCCTAAATTAAATTCCCCTTAGCTACAAACAAGGGCTATGCGACGTTTAATCTCCTCCCCTTCCCTCGACATCAGCCCCGGGCTCGATTTAATTTACAAAGACGGCTTACTTGAGTAATTTTTGCGCACAAGATGTACAAAGTGGGGGGCGAATCTCTTACATAGAAATATCGATACAGCGGTAAAGGGCGATATTCCGAAGAAAGAAATATCCTCAACGATGGCTTTCCTGCACTTTTCCAAGATATATCCGCACATATCTTCTCCAAGAGGCGTATATTAAACAACGTCGGTAAACATAATACAACAATAGTAAGCATAAATCAAGATCGATCGATCCAACACTCCTCCCGGGTACTCTTTCCCTCGTTTTCCCAATATCTAATACGTCTACTTGGCTCGGCCTCACCTTAATTATTACTCATGCACGTAGTACCTCATATATGCAGACGCGTGCATACGTGCGCTTTCCCTTCTATTTAAATATTCCTATAAATTTCCTTATCCGTAGATAAAAGGTAAACGATAAGCCGCGATACATGCAGACCAAGTAGAGTTCCTAATCCAAAAACAAAAAGGCCCGTCCGGACGAGACGTGTCGGCGAATAATTAAAAAAACTCTCCGTACTCCCCATCGAGCTCTCCGTACGACCAATCGGAAGAAAAGAAAAAGAAGAAGAACCAACGGATCCGCACACACCGACTCGACTGAACTCGATCGATTTTCAATATTTATAACTTTATTTAACTTAAGCATATTTTACACAGTTTTTCTTCCTTCCTTTTGATAAGTCGAAAAATCACATTATCTGACCGGCGAAAGCAACGACGTAAGATATCCGAAAGCTTTTGCTTCCTCCCTTGATTCACGGAGTAGTAGTAGGGCCTTCAAGGAAGTGAGAGGGGGGGATAAAAGCGCCCGAAATTGTATATTCGCGTCGCGTCGGAAAAAAAAAAGGGGGGGTACTCGCCTATCAGCCAAAATGATTAGTACTTTTAATCCTGTGTTAAATGTCCCTATCGCTCGGCAATTAAACGATTCGTCGTTGCCAGCTAATTCACGACCTACACCTACACGTGCCTTCACTCGCGAGGCAACGATGCAACGCTCTCGTTATTTCGGTTCCAAGACTCACTCAGTGAGGTGCATCGAAGTTCTACGTAAAGTCTAGAATCACCTGGAGCACCGATCATTGCGCCCAATAGCCATTGGCACGCTTTCGTCAATACCCTTTAAAAAGATCGATCGTTCCGTAGCGCCGAGCGAAGTCGGCCGACGCGCGCGTACCATCTTTCGCTCCAAAGTTTCCTTCCTTGCTTCTTCCAGCAAAAAGTATCCCGATTCGACGTAAACCGTCTATTTTATACGACAATGTAAATTCTCAAAAAGCGTCTGCCACGAACGGCGACCAAGGACAACGATCGGTGCTCGCGATCCTGCCCCGAACGAAAGTCACATACAAAAACATCCGAAAATCAACCGAATCCTATTCCCTTTCCAAATCCCATTCAAATCACATGAATTTCACTTGAATCGCGCGAGTGCTCTCTCTCTCTCTCCCTCCGGAAATTTCACTTAAATCGGCCAGGCCGTTTAATTTACAGCGCGTTAACTTTACACATCTCTGGACCCGTATGAACATTCGCTAGTACGAGTGTTACGGAAATCCCGCAGAATCCACGTGAAGTCGATCCGAATGAAATCTGAAATCGGCTAAATAAACTTAGTCAATTCCGCAAACGTTTCGCTTAATCGGCCCTACTCGAGGGCGCAGAAAAGGGCCGCGGTAAGAAAGGAGAAATTACAAGAGAAGGGGCCGAAGAGACTCAGGGTGGGAAAAAAAATATTAATAATTCAAGAAGTAATCCTCGAGTACGGGAGAACGGCCCGACGAAACGGGCGGCGAGGCGTCGCCTCGAGACGCGTTATCCACCTTCGTTATTATCGCTATCATCGTTATGAGTTATTATCGTTATCGCTTTTCTCGTGAGATAGTAAAACTTGACCGCACAAGGGCTCGATTTTTCGGCACTGGGGCCGACTGCATCGACGAATGCCCACCCTCACCCTGTTCCACGTTGTATCCCGTTTTTTCTTTTCCTCCCTCTCTATAAACGTAAGATAGTATAAATAAAAAAATACGACCTGCCCTCGACAAACGTCTCGAGCATTCGTTATACGGTTACGTCCACCCAATTGAATACCGTTCAATTTAATTACACCCTCGATCCTCTGAATAGTGTAACGATAATGCGTATTCGTCCACACCGTAGTTATACCAAGTCCGTAGAATTAATTTCTCAAGCACAATTTTACCGAGTGACAGCGAAAGGAATAAAATGGTACATTAGTGGTGCGCCGGGCGACAAGTCAGCCGTATAATCAGAGCTTTACATGTTGGCCAGTAACGCGTGACATTTCTTTTTCATTACACTATGTTACGTTTATTCGGGTATCCTCGTAATCGGTGCGGCTCTCTTTGCCATGATCGCACATTACCTACCTAGATATCCTCCCACAGGGCGAACGAAACGCGCGACAAGTAAAGTAATTGTCAAAACCAAGGAAATCGTCGTAATTCTCGACGAGGACGGCGGAGGCGGGGAAAGGAAAGGTGAGTACAAAGACAAGGGTCGCAGGCGAATGCGACCGACGTTACGTATTTCTCCCCTTTTCCGTCCCCTCCACTGAAAAACGAAAGATGCAAAGCGACTCCTCCGCAAGTTTCCCTCCTCCCCGCACTTTTCCTTCGCCGAAGCCTAGTCCTCTCCTCAGCCCCCGCCTCCGCCGTTTCGCGAAATGTACAAACGTCGTTTTCCTCGACTTCCTTAATTTCCTTAATTCTCCTAATTTCCTCGATTTCCTCGTTCCCTCGTTTTCCACGTTTCCTTTCCAGGACTCGCCAAGGTGCGACCCGCCGTCGCCGAGACGAGCGTCGAACGTCTTAAAATGGACAATCGATCACTCGGCGCCAATTTCGGGGATCGCGTGCTCCACCGTTCGAAAAACAAATTGGGGAAAAAGTGATCCAAAAAGTGAACAAAAACCCCGGTACATCGCGCGGCACAACCGTCAGTCAAAAATCACCCCGCGTGTCCTCATCACCTCTCGCAGCAGAACCCTCTACCCGGCCACGTGGTCGCCAAACGTCAAACCGACGTTTGCGCTTGCACGAGGCAGCAGGTCCGTGCCCAGTCTCCCAATCCACCGTCCCTTTTCCTTTCTCCATCCCCACTGAAACCCCCAAGCGAGAATCGCGCGTCCCTCGACGAAACTCCATACGTATATTATGTACAATCGAGTGCAGAGCGCAGTGGCCCCGTACACCGCGTGGTCAAAAACGACGGGCCCCTCGGAATTCGTGCGTTGCGGCGTCTAACGACTCGCCCGACGGTGGAGCGGGTCGCACCTTGGCAGTGCGTCGGAGTCGTGTGGCGACGGAAGATATATATGTATATGTCGGGGTGGGGTCGGCCGGGCGNTATTATAATAATAACAATAATGATGAGGTGTTCTAAACAGTGCTAGGACTAGTGCTAGGGGCCTGTGGGTGGACGCGGGCAGGGAAGGGGTTAGTGCGGGGGAGGAGGCTCCGTAGATTGGTTTCTCCCGTCTACGGCCCTGACCGGCTTCCTACGCGAGGTGCCCGTTACTCCGACGGGGCCGACTCCGCCCCTGAGGTAGGCAGGCGCCGGGGCTGCCATCGGCTCTCGGATGGTTCCGGTTCCGGTATTCCTTATGGGTGGAGGCAGTGGCTGCTGCAATACCTGTCCAACAGTACAAGAAAGTCTCCTTGATATCCGCTACTGCATATCCGCGTGTCGCTCCCCTGGCCGAGCGCCAGTCCGCGACCTTTTCGTCTTCCCCTATTTCTTTCTTTTCCCCTCCATTGTGAGCCTCGACTCGATCCGGCATTGTCATTCGCAACCATTCCGGTAGCGCGTATCGCGTTTAACGTTAATCCTCTCTCTGGAGGGGGAGCCCAGAAAAATCTCTAAATAACTTGAAATTCGAGGTACGAGGATCGTTTACTTACCAATGGCTGTGGTAATACACTGTGCATCAGTGTCTGGACCATGGGTGTATTCTGCGCCGTAATGCTGTTTGGATTCGGAGGTAGACCTTGGCTTTGCAGGCCACCTCCTACGCCTCCAATGGCGGACTGCAACACGTGCTGCTGCTGTTGCTGCTGCGCACTGGTCTGCACGACCGCCTTGTTCGTGCTGGTTTGATCCCTTTTCGGCTCCTGGGTGGCATTCTGCTTTTTCGCCGGTGCCACGGAAGCGTTCGCGTTAGGTGTCTCCGGGGTGGTACTCGCGGTCGTCGCACTAGACGCCGGCGTTTGCGCAGTCAATTGCTGCGTCAATTCCGGTAGCGGCTGCGAAAGTGTTCCGATAACGAGCGCCCGCACAAACTGGCTCCTGTTAGCACTCTCGCGTTCTATGCTCTGCAGTTGGGATTCGGTTAACGTAGTCGTGATACATCTGCGAACACGCGGAGGTGGGATTACTTTGACGTTCGTCGAATTATCGGAAACGGCTTTTGCACCTGTCAAGTTCTTTGCCTTCGGCTTGTCCGAATGGCCAAATCGTTTTGACGTCTCCGCGGTCATGCCTGAATCAGCACTTAGTTAACACTTTATTAGAATATATTTACTGGGAATACATTCGTTGAAGCGTATCGAAGGGCACGAAATTAAAATTTTATGTAATTAGTACGTCTCGCACGTCATGACACACGTTTCACAAGGACAAACGACAGTCACGATTATCGCTTTATGAAAATTATTATACGTGAAATTAAATTGCACTTGGAAAAAAATGGAAACACTTTGGTTCTTATTAAGTACACAAAAAAATCACTGGGATCGTTCTAACTTTAATGAATATTTTCCTAAAGCTTCTTGGTGAGAGCTTTTGGGCGACTGTGATTGAAGTCTTTAAACGGCAGAGCAGAGTGTTTTGGAATGCAAGTTTTGGCAGCCAATGCGTTGGCCATGACATGCAGTTCTTGGTTTATATATGGAGCAGGCCAAAAAAAATTTCTACTTTCCAAGAAGATGATATTGCATGGAGTACGTTAATAGTAAGATAAGACAATACAATTTTAATTTGTTATACATTTTCAACAATTCACTTCTCACTACCACCATTGTGCCAATTTTTTTTTTTTAACAATGTTGTATAGACTCCTCTGCCAATTTATAATACTTGATTTATTTCAATAGTACTTCCCTTAATTTCATATGTTTTAATAGATTTGAAGTTTTAAGTCAAAATAACTTACCTTGGTAGCAAGAATTGCTGCGAATTGGCAGACGAAACACCGGACGGGTTGGTAGCGTTGGTTGCATTATTATTACTAGCTGCATTATTGGCCACCACGCTGGACATAGTAGCAGAATGACCACTGCCACCAGCACCACCGCTACCACTCACCGATCCGATAACCTGGGTTTGTCTTCTTCCTGGCATTCGTTCTAACTGGTGCCTGGCAGCCTGAAAATGCATTGAATAATTTCAACTAATTACAAACAAGAATTAACATAAATTATTATAAATGATGGTACTCATTTTTTATACAAGACGTAAAAATGAAGAGAGGCCTTAAAAACTGTCCACGTACCCTAACTTGTTGACGTTCGAGTTGTAACTGCATCTGTAATTGATGCAATTGCGTCGGCGCCGACGAACCCTGTCCAGTACCACCACCTGTTCTACGCACCCCTGACAGCTGAGATAATAGCTCCGCTATTGGGTCTATACCTTCTCGACTACTTGGACTCAAGCCTCCCGACGAGCTGAAATGCATGTTGGACCTGCAGGTCCAATGTCACTCCAATGAACATTATCTAAGATGAGATAATTGTGAATTGATATCGAAGAGCTTCGATACCATTTAAAGTATCGGATGTGTTACCACAGGTACAAAAACAATACCTGATTATTTTATCCATCAGCTTAGAAACTGTATCATTACGAGCACACATAATGATTGATGTGTCTAAATAAGAGTGCAGTAAATAATCCAGATCACCGCTATACTTTCAGTAATTAATTATTTTCTTCCACTCCATGTAGCCAAGAGCGAATTTTAAAATATTTACGAGCATGAGAGATTTAATATTATGGATTACTGAAAATAACTTTTTACCTTCGGGTCCTGGGCCCACCAACACCTCGAGATGGAGCTGGTATCCGCCGAAGTGGTTGGCGGCTAGCTACCGGGTCATCAAGAAATGACATCAGGTCCCTTTGTCCGTTTCTGTGTTCCAAAGTTAAATGACCAGCAAAATCATCGGTCACGTGGTTTGGATCACCACCTGGCAGAGAAGCACATACTGGACAAACCTACAACATAATAACATTTAATTTTTTACGAATATAAATAACATACATATACTGTACCGAATAGTTCTATGATAACATATATTATTATAATATAGAATGAATTTCTAATAATGTACAAACCACTTCAAAGGATGTATCTGGGTGATCTGCAGCAATGTGTTCCTGTAATGTAGTCTCTGTGAATCCCATTTTCGTGCAGTAAGGACAAGTCAGTGACTGCGGCTGCTCGACACTCACGCCTTCGCCACCATAGTATAATTCTAAGACAGAAAATTAAAATACGTTATTTGGAATTTTTAATTTTTACATGTTTCACTTTACAAAAAGAACCTTACCAAAATCAGATCTAGTAAGTATGCACTGCATAGGATGATCTGTAAGGTGACGTGTAGTGCTGGCACCTGCCTCGTAACAACTGGCGCACAAATCATAATCGTAGCACACCAGGCACTTGTATCTGCGACCCCGAAAATTTCCCTTAAGACAGGAGTCACAGCTTACCCCTGGAAGTATATTAACCACAGAATTATCGAGTTGCCAAAATTAAAGTAATTAGACTTCGCTATACATGGTGGATCAATATTGGATAAGTCTAATCAAACATTTAACCAATAGGTTATCATTTAAAGGAGGTTCAGAAAATATTACAAGAATAGTTACATTTGATCAATATTTAATTTAAATATGCCCTTGTAAGACACGGCCAGTAATTGTTATCAAAATAGTAATATTCTTTAACCTCATTATTTTTAGAATACCATATACACCATTAGTCTCATGCATTATTTGATTGGCATATTCATTTTTTTTATATCAATGAGAAAATTACAATCTTTGTCCATTGTATTTGTAAACACACTACCAAAATCTGTAGGCAGACAAGGAATTCAGCTGGACACGAGCCAACGTCATTTTTCTAGTTATATGTGTTTTTGTTAATTAGCCAATTCACTGTAATTCTAGAATGTTCCATTATGTGTACATTTGCTAAAATTATAATTTAGGTGTTTAACGTTCCTTCCAATAAGTGCTCATAAACAAGTTTGACAAATATTGCAACATAAGAAATGAAGTTCAAGAAGATCACAGATAACGTTGAATAATCAAAAGGATCCAGAATTTTACTTTGCACCCATATGAAATAATGAAATCACAATCATCGTCTTTACTTCAAGGAACATGCTTGGAGCTTGCATTTTCAAAGATCACGTGCACAAACTATCTCTGAATATTTATAACTCATGATAAAATAGGGCTTTGTCGGTCTCTAACAAAGCCAACCGATCGGACCATACGATCCTTCAAAAGGCAACCCTGAAGCATGTTTATTCCTGCCAGGAATTTATCGACTAGAGGGAGCCCTGAAGAAAGACGAAGGGAGTCGATCGGTGGAAAGCCTTGGCGGAGGAGTAGCTCCTTGTGAGCCTCATTCCTCGAAACATCTCCAGGCAGTTCGAATCCAGGACTCCCTGGAAGCTCGTTAAAAGAGAATGAAAATGATGAGAAACCAAAGCAAAACCTCCGTAAGTGGTGCCATCTGTCCTGTGACATCAGGGCCCTGGGCCTAGGATTTAGGCGAGAGGATCGAATTTTTCACCTCCACGGGGGCGATCCCTCGAGCCTCCTAGGGGGGCTCGAATTATCGGGGTCGTTCGCGGACATCCCTAATTGAGAATCACTCCTCTATCTCTTTCCGAATACTCCGTAATAGGTATGATGGGAGTCGCGATCGGACTCGCCAGTACGGAGCATACGTACGTACCTTCATGTCGACTCATTTTCCGTTTAGAATCTCATATACGCCGATACTTGGGGCCTCGCGGTTGCACGATTCACGGAATACGAATGTCGATACACACAGTGCGGGCTCTCGGCGTTGGTCACTTCGGCAGATGCGATGGGGAAAACATTAATCGTCAAACAAAAAATTTTTCCTTACAATTTCCAGCGTAAAACCTAACCCAACTAGGCTACCGTGACGTCACACTAGACCTACGCTCCCGGAGTAAGCTTCGTAAGTGAACGCAATGTTGCCAGTCACTCGAAGGCTAGGAGCGGGATTTTCGAATCGCGTCAGCGCCCCCGTCAAACCGATTCGTTGCTTTCCGTTGTAACCATATATAGCTGCTCTTGGAGCTGCATGTCTTGTTGATCGCTTCTATGCAATACTGTGATGTTATGAATTCGAATGACGAAATTTTAAATTTAAAACTCGCCGTTGACGTTTAAGAATTATTTTTAAAATTTAGGGTTCAGCGCCAACAGTTACAATTGCCTGAACTAAACCTGGGCTATCGAGCGATGCTCTATCGTTGCATAATCTATGGTTAACCGAAAACGTGCAACGTCGCATGTCTTTCACGGAACAGCACGAGATCCGTTCGTGCTACTTCGGGAGACTCCGAGCGCGTTCGGCCGACTCCGACTGAACACGCGAATGTTCGTATCGAGTCGTGCTCAATCTCGCGAATTGCTTCATTTATTGAACAATGGCTGCCGCTCTAGGACGTGTTCTCGTGTACGGCGGTAAAGGGGCCCTCGGCTCTGTTTGCATTTCGCAATTTAAATCCAAAAAATGGGTGAGTTGTTTCGATTTCCCCCGGATTACGATTTTTTTATCATACAAATCTTAACCTCGATAACCCCGATAGTAATTTGTCGAGGTAATCACGAAAGCCACTACATTTGACACTCGTCTCGGCAACTTGTTGATTCCCTGACAATTCCACTTAATTTCTATAAATAACAGGATACCGACACAGTCAATTTTTTATTTTCTCTCTTCCAATTACCCGCGGTCAATGCACGAATCGAAAGACGTCCAATTTTTTTATATTTATTTTCTCGATAATGCAGAGTTTCACAAGCCCTTTCCTTGACTCACATAAAATTTCCTTGGAGGAGCAAATTCTCCCGGAAGTCGTTAAAAATACTTTCCTCTATACTACGAAAAAGTTACTGGATGAATCACGGACTATTGATTCATGTTTAAATAATCCGCGATTTTTTTAGAAGAGCGCTCCGTGCATTGGAACTATTAGCGCGAATTTCAAATTTCGGCACGCAGCATAGAGTCAATAATTTACCTGAAATTGTTTCGAATAAAAATCAATTTTTGGCTAATTAAAGTCACCTGGTTAAAAGGTGCCTGAATAAAAAATTAAGTGAACATATATTGCAATAACTTATTTAGTTATTCGATAAATTGCAAGGTAATATTTTCATAGCTCACTGAAAACAGATTATATCTGGAGGTGCACCTTGACTCTGGAAAATATCCAATGGATTAATGCTTAGAGAATGGCGTGAATGTGAAGTATACAAGAAAACTGTACCAAGGTCAAACCTGTCGATTACCAAGCTCCTTGTGCTGTTGTAACATATGCTGGCAGATTGTACAGTATAAGTTAGTTAGATCTATCATTTATTCCTATTTAATATTTTTTTATTATAAGAAGTCTTTAAAATACTATTATGTATTACAACTATCTCATGGGCCAAAGGCAAGAATGATAAGGGCTCTACATATTGCTAAACATAGCTAATGATAAAAAAGGTCATTTAATAGATAATGTAGGTTATTAATACATTGTACGCAATAATATTTTTCAATGCATGATAGCTGAAAATGATTATTTCATAGTATGATAATTCATACTAAGATGTTATGCCTGCATACTATATACTTTTATGAATTTTTTAGTGGGTTGGTTGCATTGATATGAAACCAAATGATGAAGCTGATGCAAATATCATTGTGAAGGGCGAGAATAACTGGAAAGAACAGGTGATTGTATTTTCTGATAAAATAAGTGTAGATACTATAATGAGTGTATTTAAATGCATTTCTTATTGTAAAATATGCTGAAAGTATCATTATATCCAACAGGAGACAGCTATCCTACAGCAAGTTAAAGATATATTGAAGGAAGAGAAATTGGATGGAATAATCTGCGTAGCTGGAGGCTGGGCAGGTGGAAATGCATCTAACAAGGATTTCATTAAAAATTGTGATCTCATGTGGAGGCAGAGCGTTTGGAGTTCAACCATTGCAGCAAGCATTGCAGCTCAATATCTTAAAGAAGGAGGGTTTCTCTCCTTAACGGGTGCAAAAGCAGCACTTGATGAGACTCCAGGTTTGTTTACATCTCTAATTCTGAACTAAAATTACTTGATGATGTTACGGTTGAGATAAATTATTTTCATACTTTAGGAATGATCGGATATGGTATGGCTAAGGCTGCCGTCCACCAATTAATCAAGTCTCTGGCTGCCAAAGGAAGTGGACTTCCCGCGAATTCACTGGTCACTGGAATTTTACCTGTTACGCTGGATACTCCTATGAATAGAAAATGGATGGCAGATGCCGATACATCCACCTGGACACCTCTTGAATTTGTCTCTGAGTCAGTGCACCCTCGATGTTACTTGACTTGTTTTCTTCTCCCACTCTTTTATTCTATTTTTCTAAATCTCTGTTTCATTTCGCAGCCTGTTCTGGAAATGGGCACAGCAACAAGATCGTCCAAAAAATGGCAGTCTTCTTCAGCTTGTGACAAAGGACAATGTTACCAAATTGATTCCTGCTTAAATTTCAACAAGAAGGATCATTTTAAATTTGGAACATTGATATGCGAATGACAATACGTTGATGTAAATATACAGCTCAGTAATTCATGGTACCTTCAGTCTACCATAATGGCCAAATCATTATTGTGCATGTAATTGTAGAAAGTGGTGTTGAAACTGAACTTTCAGAGTGTATCGTACTTATTTTCCATGACACCTCATATACTCTGTGAATATAATTTTCTTTGTCTATTAGATTTGTAACGTATCGCAGGTTATTAATGCTAAGAAAACCCGTATTGAATGCATTTAATGATTTTTTACCGATTTTGTTTAGAATTCTAAGAAATATATGAAAATGTATGTAATGTTCTTCACAGGGTGCTATATCCATAAATGAATGTTGCCATTAACATTAACCCTTTATTGAGTTATTTTTACCTCCCCAATTGTTTCTACTGCTAAGCAATGCAAAAATATGTTAACATTATAAGTTATGTATTTGTGTGGTCTCCTTAACACAGCCACATGCTTACACGTGCGCAAGTCAGAGATGTCACGTGATACGTTTAAAGACGTAAAATCAGTAATTTAATAATATTTTATCCTAATTTCGATTGAAATAGAATCAGTGAGATGAATAAAATATTACTTTTTATAGTTTCTTATTATCTTTGCTGAATTACAGAATATCTATTTATTTCATAGGCTAAACTTATAGATGCCCGGATAGCTCAGTCGGTAGAGCATCAGACTTTTAATCTGAGGGTCCAGGGTTCGAGTCCCTGTTCGGGCGATTTTTTTTATTTTGTAATTTTCACACGATAAAAATCAGAAATTTACGAACTCTACAACTAATATTTCACATTATTTTAAGAACTTAAAAATTCATGTCATGTTTATAATTAAATCAATAACGTACTTCTGTAACCCATTTTAAGAAATTGGAGGTAAATTACAAAAATTGTTTTTATTTAATTTATTTGACTACATTCGCGTCATCTCCAAACAGAGGTGGTGAGTAGCATTGGCATGTTTGAAATAATATTTTACAAGAAAGTCATTTATCGATACACTAGAACCAAGATCAAGATCTACTTCATCCATTGCTCCATCTCTTTCATCTCAGCTGCAAGAAGAACAACATTATACAAAACATATTTTTGCCTAAAACATACATTTGTACACCTGAAAAGACTTGCCTTCCAACGCTATTTTCTTTTCTTCGGCCAGCTTTGCATCACGGATGACCTTCTGTTTAGCTTCAATCTCTCTTATACCAACTTCCCTCTTACTCAGTCGATTTTGATGGAATAGCCCATAAAGGATACCAAACGAGAGAAAACTCCATCGTCCGAACTAAAAAATGTAATATTAAAACTTACAATAACTAACAAAGTAGCGATAATAAAAAATACAATCCACAGCTTATGATAGAGGATATCAAGCAAGAAATTTGAATTAGAAAATAGCACGACAGGATCAAAATGAATTAAATAACAGAAAACATTTTGTACACTGGCGGACATCCAGAAATGGCAAACTGACAATATGCAATCATTCCATACATTTTTGAAATTACAATAAATATGTTTACAAAAAATTATGTAATAAACTGCTCGCAAGAACCGACAGTGTTTCGTCTGCTACGGCTGTTTGAGAGTGGACGAAATTAGTGCTACATAAAATACGGAAACGAGTAAAAAAAGGATGCTAAAAAGATTTGATACGGGCGAACGATATTTCACTACCTTGATTAAAGGAGAAACTCGAACGGGCCTGGGATTGAGTTCAACGGACGACATTTTGCTCTTGGAGGGTCTTCGATCCTGTACCACTGGTTCTGGTCTGTTTTAAAGGTTAGAATTAAAAAACATGAACGATGGGACTACCTAGTGGGTACGCAGCAGAGATGAGTTGGAAGATTGTTCACGGGCAAGTCGCGCGATCGCGTCCTGAGCTGTCCCCTGGTAGAGGATGTGGACGACTAACGTACTTGCCACCTGATACTCCCCAATGACGGCCAATTCAGGGATCCTTCTCATATTTGCTCTCAAATCGGTTGAGAAAGTTAACGGGTACACGGTTCCCCCGGTATCTCACAGATGGCGCTAGCTCCCTTGTCCATCCGAACTCCTCCCTTTCAATTTAAAAGCGGTCCTATATATAACCGACATATTATTTTTTAACAAGTCTTTCCTCAGTTTCGCGAGGAATTCCCGTAAATTGCCTCGAAGACTGTCACAATCGTCCGACCCCGGGGAGTCTCACCTTGAGCGACTTGCGTTCAAGAATAAACTCGTAAATATAGAAAAAGACTAATTTCAGCATCTGTAGTTTGCGTTGCAACTATCACCAGCGACTTCGAAGATGGCCAGTTCTAGCTGAGGAATGGGTTTCCCGGAAAATGAGCTGAAAAATTTATGATCGAATCAAGGTGGGCATAAAGAACGCAGAGGTCTGCCGATAATTTACTCGGGTTTGCAAATCGAGCTCACGGGCGCTGAGGCAAGGGACATTTTACCCAAAGTAGCGCAAAAAGCCGTCATACTTGACACCGCGACAGTTTCGCCGTATCCTCCACGATCTCGAATAATTTAACGATGAGTCTTATCCTCCGCCGGGATTTTCCAATCAAACGCAGCCATTCGAACGATTATCGCACGCGATCGTTTCATTCCGAGACGCACTCATGGCGATACGCGAAGACCTTCCGTGACAGAAAAGTGTTCAACCTTGAATAAAAGCTAGGAGTTTTATTAGCAGCAGACCGCGTCAGCGATTCATAATTCTCATTTTTAAGGCAATTAGATCCGGTACGATTTTCACCTAGGTATTCCTAACGTAGGAATCCGCAAAGGTCGCGCTTCGAGAGAGTCGTAGTAATTTTTTGTATACATTATCCTTCCTACTCGGGTGGCGCTTAATGATATTACGTTCTTGATCTAATTAAATAACTTGATAGACGTCATATTCTTAAGCGAACCGTTTTTTAACCCCTGATCTCTTAGTGATGATATCAAAACGAAACATTTTTCCAGGGAACGTGGATAACCAGATAAGAGTATAAACGTCTCGTAACCGGGATTACGGTTACGAGTCCACGATGTTGCCCGATACCGGTTTTCCCTGCGACGAATGAAGTTCCCCGTGTCAGATATGTTCTCGTAAGTAGGCGACTTAGTTGCCCGGCAAAAAGGCAGGGAAGAAGAAATGAAATTCCCGCGGGGGTTCACCAGACAACGTAACCTGGCTCCGATGGTCGGCCCCCAGAGACCGAATAGTTATGTCACCTATGTGACTCATTCCGCGATCTGGTTCAAGATCGAAGTCTCGATCGGCATTCTTTCCGACGTGTTTTACGTTCCTGGACCGCCGTGTATTTTCACCTGATCTATAATTAGACCAGGAAACCTCCCAGGCGGCGATTTCGATCGCGGACACGGTAGATATCCTCCGATCGGCACCGGAAATCCTGGGGGAAAAAATGTATCGGCACTATTAATCTATATTCCGGATATTTATTTCCGTAGATTGGAGTTCGAGAGAACACGGATGACCACGGGATCGATATTTCGAACGTCGAGGTCGCAATCGTCCCGGAATTACCGCAGGATCGATAGAAGGGCAAGTACAGCCTCTTCGACTTACCGACTCCAAGGGAAGGTCGAGGATCAATCGTCTTACGTGATTGCGACCACATCCTGCGAAGACCCTCGTGGGATGAAATTACAACTCGGTGTAAAAAAGGAATTGAAAGAGGTTTAAATTGGTAAACGTCGGCACGAGTTCGTCTGGAGGTCGTAAAATGTCTCCCCGGGCCAAGTCGCAAGGGTAGGTTCGTGCCACTTAAGAGACGGTTTTGTCAAATTATGGGGAATTGTTCTAGGGCAATTCTAGAAAGCCAAGGCCGCAATCGGCCCGCAAATACCGCAAGTACCGTCTCTTCGATTTGGTTCCAAGGGAAGGTCGAGGATCGATTGTCCCCCCCTGGTCTTACGTGATCGCGACCACGTCCTCTGGGGACCGACGTAGGACCTCGCCATCCAGGGCACCGATCTTCGAGGTCGCGTTCTTTACCTTCGATGGACAAACAGCGTTTCCAAAGAGCCTCAAAGTTCCCGGAGGACGCTCGTTTTAATTTTTTTTCCTCTCTTCTTTACCAGTATCCGATCCTCTCGGTCAATACTAATTACCAGGCTTTGATGACAGGGATAATTGGCGACTAGAGTCGATCTTAACCGACTTACGAGGGGAAACGAAGGCATGGAGAAAATCTGGGCCAGCTTCAAAGTATGGGGTGCGATCGTTTCTCGTGCCGTAACACCCGGCTTCGAAATATCGGACGTTTTATAACGCCAAAAAAGAATATCGACCATTTTCACAATTTCTAATTCGCGTAAAGGCATTAACGTTCGCGCTGAATCATTGTAAGTGCATCAAACGCTGCGTGCATTAATTAAGCGGCTGTTTCGTGCTCGCGGTTGCTACATAATACCTAAGGATAGCCATTTCCGCAGGCGAAAGTAAAACGTATTACTTTCTTATCTTATCAGCGGTGCAACACCGGAATTATTTAACTCCGATCCCATGACTGGACGATGTTAGATAATTAATGCATCACGAAGTAGGTATCCAATTTCGGAAAAGACCAGGAGTCGCGATCGCTTCTTGTTCATTTCCGGTACTACGTCCGAATAAAGTTCAATGAATCACCGTTTCGATGAATCGATCGCCGTGCCCATATCGATGCGAGCTCGGCCCTGAGACGTTCGCCAACTTCTCCGGCAAAAATGCAAAGCGTCCAGATTTCTTCCGGTGCCCTTCCCGCTCGGCGCCCGACCTCAGGACATTTAATTACTTTTTTACTCCAACAATTAACGAACCCATTGTTTGCAAGCTCGTCCCTGAGTCGTTCCACGACCTCAGCAAAAATATCGGGTGTACGGATTTCTTCCGGCGTACTTCCTAGTCCACATGAAACTCGAGCGAAATCGATTATTTTTTTCTCCGGTTAATTAGCCGACCCATTGTCCGCTCGTCCCTGAAACGTTCTCCATTTTCTCCGGCAGGAAAGACACGATCTCCACTTCCTGATCGGCACGCGCGCTCGGAGTCTGCCTGGAGGGATGCAAGCGACCTTGGCGTTCTCCAGCATCCGACCACCCCGAAGACCACCTGTCCGATGTCACTCAATAATTCCCTGCCTCGGGTGAGACACTTTCGATATCGATTATCCTGCCTCTAGGCAATCAGCGAAACGAATAGTTGACGTGGCCGACATTCCAGGTAGCCTGAAATACAAGACCCAATCTCGACAGGTGCACCTGCAGGACCGAGCACGCGTTCTCGGTCCCGAAGGTCGCAGTCGCCCGGGGGGCGCGAGTGACCTTGGCCGTGAGGCGCCCCCGAGATCCGGAGCGGTCCAGGGCGGAATGGACCTCGTGATCCGAAGTGGGGCGGTGCTCCTTCCTCCTGGAGGTGGGGAACGGGTCCGCGCGAGAGAGAAGGGAGCCGCCGTGGTCACCGTCGGTGCATATAAGTCCCCGGTAGGTCCCCTCCTCTAACAGACCACGCGCAATATACCGTTCCTCGACGGGCCGCACCGCGCCGGGATCGACCTGTACACACCGCAACGTACCGTAACGCACCGGAACTACCGTGTGGTGCGGTACCGAACCGCACCGAGTCGCGATCTAGCTCCTCCGGTGCGGCCGCGATCGGTGTACGTCCCACCCCACGACCAAGACCTACCTCAACGTCGTTCTCCATCCCCAGGAAAGCGCCCCTCGCATGACGCAGTGGCTTTTCCGACTGCGACTCGGTGCTTCGATTTGAAGGGAAATTCAAGGTGCAGTTTCCTCGAGGACTGAAATTAAGGAGGCGCCATGAGAATCGTAAGTGGTTTGGTCAGAATTTATGAGATATGGGATGAGGGGTAAATGGAAAGGGGTGGGTTAAGACGAGGGATTTACTGGGGAGTCTATTGGGATCGCTAGGTGGAGTCTTACCTGGCCAGGTGTCTCCTCTCGGGGGAGCACTTTTCGGTCCATCGCGTGCATCCGAGGGGTCCCCGCAGTCGCAATCGCTGCATTCGTTCCGGTGATTCGCCACGCGAGAAATGGTCGGTTCGCCAGACTGCGCCGGTAGGTTTGACTGGTCTCTCGTCGGTTTTTGCGCGGCGTGCAAGTCGATACCCTCCACGGGTAGACGAAGTGCCTACGAGCTGGCCGGGTGCTTGTCCAGCGTCCTGGGATTGGCTTACAGAGACCGCGAACGAGCCGCGAGCGAGTTCCTGGATTTCGCCGGACCTTTCCTCGGTTTCTCTCCTTAGCTTCGGCATTAAGCCACCAGGGCTGCGGCAGACCGTGACGACGAATAAAAGGGGCGAGCCGAATATCAACCACGAGCCGCATTCCTAGTCGTCGTCCTGGGGTCTAGAGTGCGACGAGAACGGGAACCGCGGGATCAGAGGGTGCCTAAATGACTTTCTGGATTGCTCGCCATTTCGACGTCAACCTGAATGGCGCGAATGGGGACCAGATCGAAAATCCAATTTAATCTCCCACATCCAGGGAGAACAATACCCGATGAAACGTCTTGACAAATTCATGCCTCGTGGGGCCGACCGCTTGCTCGAATTCCTGGATCCTGGAGATAAATTCGCACCAGGACCTCGCCACTCGAACCCCGGACCTTTCGCTTTCCAGGCGACTATTGCGACCGAGCTGCTTAGACCCTACGCCTACAATCTCCGCGGCCTTATTTAATTCTTATATAGAGAGTTCCTGGTGCCACGTTACCACTACTTCCTAAAACATTCATAGAGACTGGACGGTGCACAAGACCGTACCGATTTGAAGCCTACGTTGCAATAAACCTCGTCAGGGGAGAATATATTTTGGAACGCGACCCTATCTTGTCAGAGAAAGAGCGGCTTGGATAATGACGTGATAAAGTCCGTGGAAAGTTGGGAAATTATTCCTCGCGCACTTTTACGTAATTTATGCCGATTTTATTGGGTAGGTCGCGAGCTCGGGCTCAAAGAAAATTCCCAGATGCGAGTTTGAATAAAATCGATGGGCAAGTAAAGTGGGTGTTTAATTACCCGACTCCGGGCACTCGACAATCTCGTTACATCGAGAAAGAGATCATTAAGGAAATTACCCGACAGCGCGTGTAGCGTGCTCCTCTTCTCGTCTATCCCACTTTTTTTTTTCCCGGCTCGCGTTCTCCCCTTTTACTCGCCTTTGGCGAACGGGTGCAAAAGCGCGGATGGTTTGCCAATTGAGACAGGTAGCCAGGTAAATAATTATCCGACCGGACGTTTATGGCGGATACTCGGAGCACCTCTGAATAACTTGACAGTTCGTTGGGCAAGACCGCCAACTAAATAACTAGCTACACCGACAGGTAAACCGAGATGCCGAGAAGTGACACGCACTAACGACTGGGTGACTTCATAACCCACGACGTAACGAATCAATAATTCTGCATCCCGCCATCCGGAAGTGCTCAAAACTCGACGGCTCCCTCGAGGAGTCGATTCGTTAGAGTTTCTAGCTGGATTTTTTCCCCGGGTATTTATTTTTTCCCCGGGATAATCTCGGATTTTATTGCATACCGCATATCGCAAGAAAATCGAAATACGTAATATTTCTTGCGGGGGGAGGAAAAACCTAACCGGGTTTACAGCTGGGCTCTTTTTCTCGGCCAGCGCGTATATCGCGGGCGAACGTGCTCGTAACTTCACGCTGGTTAGCAGGTAGATATATCCAGGTTCTCGACCAGCAGGATACCTGGATGGAGTAAGTAGTCCGAGACGTAGTCCAGAGAGATGCCAGATACGCAAGATCCGAGTTCACGCCTGCCCTGATTTCCCTGGGTTACGAAGTCACCCCGAGACGAGCTTAAGGCCATCTACGAGAGTGCTAGAAATCTGCTGGATCGAGGAGGACCCCCGGGTGTCGGGAAATCGAGGACCCATTGTCAGACCGCGATTAAGGACGATTAGATGCAGAGTCCTCAGACCTCGTGGCAGGGCACCGTGACGAGGAAGGTGTGAAGGCCGTGCCCGAGGCCGTGACTTGTCACGCGACTCGACGATCGGCGAATTTAGGGCAGAACTGATAAAAAAAAAAATTAAAAAAAAATTATCAGGTCGAGGTTCTTAGGATAAATAATTTTTTTTATTTCGGGGAAAATGTGGGAAAATGTGTTTTTGAGACTGGGGTAGTGGTGTTTGATTTTTGATAGGGAAGAAAGGCGAATCGGTATTGTTGCGAAGGAGAGTCGGTGCTAAATGCTAAATTAACGCAATGAGCATCTCGTGGTAATCGGAATCTCGTAGAGGACAATTACGAGGGTTTATTGACTCCTCGAGCGAACATCCTGGCGAGGAAGTGGCGAAGGTCCGCGCGAGGCCGCGAGATGCCACGTGGTTCTAACAACCTCGTCCGTCAAACGCGAAACGCATCGTTTGAAAGGCGGGGAAGTTCAAGATTTCGAAACGCCCAGAATGAAGGATTAGTCGAAAGTTCAAATGATTTCATGACGAGCCGAGGACGCGGCGTTACGACATTTTTACCTCGATTTGCCAAATGCAGGTAAAAATGTTAAAATTTACGGATTTTCTGCCACTCCGAGGGACACCATCACCTGTAAGACGCGGTACCTTCAATTAGGTGAGGCATGTTGCGTCAAAAAAATTATCCCACGTAAAATTTACCGGCGGAAAACTATCCGAAGCGGTTATCGTCCATAACTTGTCCGGGTGAACAACTTCGATAGAGTACTAAAACGTACTGACTACAGGGTTTTCAGATAAACTCTTCGGAGGTAAATCGAGCGTGCCGCAACCCATAATGCGGTTTCGAGCGGTGGTCCATATAATTACCCGAAGAATTTACCGACGAAGAATAAAGGCGGCAGGGAATTTGTGAATACATTTATAGAGTAACAAACGACTAACGAAATGGGCCCTATGGGCGTTAACGCGGTGAGTATCTCAGGTGAATCTGAAGTCACGGTGCTCGCACATATATGTCACATTAGACGCGTGACCTCGTCCCTCCCTCGGCATGGAATCATCGTTACGCCGAAGAAACACGCGAGTAAACATCATTGAGACATCGTTGTCGCGCTAAATGTGCCGACGACGTTGCGTTGTTATGGAATCCCATCAAAGAGGCCGACCTAAGCGAGCGCGTACATTCCGCACGCGAGGTACGTATGCATATCCGAGTGCACCCTGGTGGGTGCCATTCTTCGGCATTGTCCGACCCCGTTAGACCTCCCTCGACGGAGGCATTTCGCAGTGGCACGTTGCCGCTGCATTAACGAGGTACATGCATTAACGAAGCACTTAATCGGCCGACAGACGGACAGGCCGCCTAAGGCCTCAGAAATCGCGCTCCAGATCCTATCGAAGAGCGGAGAGCGAAGTGCGAATTTTCCTAGGAGATCGAGCAATGATTTATTATCCTGGGGGACCGAACGGAGACAGGAGGCTCGAGAAAACTGCCGAAATGAGCTTTTCTTCGAGAAATTAGACGGTGATTTACGAGCCGGCGTAATAAGTGCGCTGATGAAACTGGAATTCAACACGTGGGAAGTTATACGGGCATATCGCTCTCCATCTGCTGAATTCCGTCGCAATCATGGCGTTAAACGGAAAGTAAGGCCTTGTTACGGTAGCGTAAAGTCGATCCGGGGCGTAGGGGAGTAGTTAGCCTGAAATTGCAGTTCGCGGTTGCGCCGCGACAAAAATCGGCGAGTTTATCGAGCGGCTCTTCCGTTCGAACTTTTCAATGGGTTTTGCGTTTATCCCGTGTGTTTACTAGAGGCATAAAGGAGCGAACGGTCGGTTAAAAAATCCACCCGTAAAAGCCCGCCCGCGAATTAGCGTTTGCATTAATTTGCATTTCTCGAATAAACGGAGGGCCCGCCAAATTCGGCGGCTTTTCGCCGGGGATTCTAAACGGGGAAATTTAACTCGGGAACAATGGGGCCGCGCTTACGGGGAAATTGCGTGCAATTAAATAAGTCTCATTTCGCCGAAAATTTCCCAGGACTCTAGCCGGCCCCGACAGTAAAGTCGGCGGAATTTTATTACGCTCGGTGCATTTTATTACGCCCGCTGCATATTATTACACCGGCTACATATTATTACGGCAACGGCTTAATATTACAACTATCGGGTCGCGGGAGGTCCGGGATCCGTTTCGTCAGGATTTACGTAAGGAGCCCTTCGAAAGTGTAATCCCCGAGAAAAGGAGCAGTAATCGGCCAGATCGGCGACGTAATCGCCTTGAAATCGAATTCTCGACGCAAGACACACTTAAGAGTCCCTGTCGAGGAAGACGAGTCGAGATTACGGCACTTTCGTTACATCCGAACGTCTCTGAATTTCTCCAGGTGACTCAAGCGTTGGGCGCTCGTTTATGTGTCTATTAACGTCGCCAAATGGCCAGATTCAGACATCACATTTCGCGAAAGTGCGTGTCAGGGTCCTCGCCTACCCAGGAGTAAAATTCCTGAACGCGAGAGGCGAAAAAAGAATTAATAGTCGCGTGCGCTGATGAATGGCTAGACAGGAAGATAAAGCAATAAACGAGCCATCGACGTGGCTCGAGAACGAAGATGCTATCATAACCAGGCCATAAACCGCAAACTCCGTTTTTTTTTTTACCGTGGCATTCACCTAATAACCGATAAAAGACGTCGTTTGATTATGAAGTACCAATCATCCCGCGGCTAATTTGGGAGGTTTCGCAAAATTCGACCGCGAAGCTAGCGCGATAAAGGCCATTTATGATCTATCGCAATTTGTCGGGATAATCGCAACCTTAGCCGGTTTACTTAACGCACTTGCTTCACCGCGATTTTACGGCCGCAATTATTGCACCCGCCGGCGACACTTCTATTTCCATTGTCGTCGCTCCGAGCGCCGTTTGGAGTAACGACTGGCGGACTTTTTGCCGCAATTACCCCCGGTGATTTTTGCGACCACCCGAGGAGAGAATTTCACTGTCACGCGACAGTTGACGGGGCTAAACGACGGACTAAATGCGCGTCCTGTGTGAGCTTTCCTCTCGTAGGAACGAAGGAAGAGACGAACGACGTTAACGAGGTCGCTCTTGTTGCAGGTCGCCTTCATGATGGTGCTCCTCGCAGCCGTGGTCGGCAGTTTCGGCCAGGGCTACGGTCAGCTGTTCGCAGGATTCGGAAGCTACGGCCGACTCACCTCCGGAATGAGGGATCCTAGATCCAACACCGGTAAGGCGAATTTTGCAACGATTATTTACAACCTAGAGCCTAGGCGACCAGGGAACGTTCCCAGCTCCGGTGTCGGTCCTTGGACTCGATTGCTACATACTCGAAGCTTTAGGGCCCGATCGTGACCGAATCCGCGGTGAATTATTTTATCTCCGATTTAAATCGATCAAACTCGAGTGTGACACGGATCTCGAGTGAAAGCGGCACGAGGGGCTCACGGTTTGTTGCTCAAGCCGAAAATCTGGATTCGGGGTCGGGATTTTTTAATTATTTTCCTTTTTTTTTTTTCTAATTTCTACGCGAAGATTCCACGGCACGAAAATATCGTGCCGGTAGTCCGACCAGGAAGCGCCGTTTCTCCTAATCGTTCATGTCGAGAGAGTATCGCGAGAAACCGAGGGAACCCACAGCGGTTTACGGTGGTCCCTGGTCGATGGGCTAACGCCGAGAGAGAAATCGCTTCCGATTTCGCAGTCCGGCCCGTCCGTGACGGCCTAGGAGGCGCGACGTCTTCTCCGATGTACCTTTCCGTGGTTGGTAATTCCGATTTTTTATTCCCTCCAGGACCAGTCCTGTTCCCGCCAGGACCTCCGGCCAACCCGGCCGACACCAGCGGCGTCGTAGTCGGGGCCAGCGGTTACGGGTTCGTGCCGCCCAACGCAGGTAAACCCCTTGGAAAATTCTGAGCCCCGGATTCGGAATCCCGAGACGCGGAGAGAGAAGGTCGCAAATTAGAGACGAGATACGCGTACATGCGTACAGACCCGTCCGCGAAATTCCGAGCGAAAGCGGAACGGAAAAGTCGTGCCGAGGAACCGTACCAAAATAACGCCCTGGAGCTCTACTTTATATTCTCACTCGCGTTCCTAGTCGCACCGTTTCCGAGATACTCCTTGCACTCTTTCTCCTCCGTTTCGGTCGTCGGGAGTGTCTCCTTCCCCCAGGAGCCATTATACCGGGCGCCGCGGGAAATCAAGGCCCACCCCAGTCCCTCCACCTTGGAAGACGGAAAAATGATCGCTAATTCCAGGGGCATCGAAGAGTAGTAGAAGCGAAAAGGACAGGAGCTAGGAAACGACTGTACATATTGGAATGTATCCCGACACCTTGCCCCCTTCCAGAACCGGAACTCGCATTCTGCGCCGCGGCATAATGGCTTATGCGTCAGGCCCTAATGCACTTGGCCGATTAGCTCCAGAATATCGCTTCGGAGTGATCCCGAGAATGAAGGAAGGAGACACTACGAGCCTTGACCGAGATTCCATTTGCGCGTTACGCGTGCACCTGGGTAACAGGTATCGTTGATGCATCGATTTGTCCTCGCGGTGCAGCGTTACAGTTTGCGCCGCGACGCACGCTTAGCGTCCTTCCTCGTGTCAATTAATACGTTACGACTTAATTAGTGAGCTAAGAAGACGAGAGGTTGCATTCGCGATAGAGATCCCCCAAAAAAACGATCGGCAGGTAAGTCCACCGAATTTGAAGAAACCTTCCACCCCGTTACCAAGGCAAAACCCTTTGAAAGGACCCGAACTCGAGCGTCGGTTAAGCTAGACATAGGCAATTATAAAATTCCCCGAGTACGCAAATACAGGAATACCCGTACACGTTTCTTCCCTTCACACCGTATGCACACTCTACTAGATTAATATTTAAATAGCATGTAAACTCCCCGATAGTATTTATCCTACCGGACTATAACCATACGAGTTGTATCCACCGCACGCAGGGATTGTTAAAATACATTAATTTATTATTACGAAGTATCCCCTCCGAAAGTCGACCGAATTGTCCTGGCTCTGACCTCCTGGCTTCCGGGATAGAGGAGGTACCGGTTCGCAACGAGTCAAAGAGGGTTACGTGTCTCGCGTAAGTTAGCGACGCCGTTCGCGTCGTACGGAGTGACGTATGTAAGCGTACTCGGAGGCGATCCTCGGGGGAGCCGGGATGACGAGACCGAACGAGATTCAGCCTTGGTTCTCGGTGCCCTCCGGCGGGCTCCTCTCAATGGTGCACGCGGTGAAAGCGAAATCGATTTCGAGGTCTCCGTCTTAAACTCGTTTGCGCGTAACCTTCCTTATACGACGTGACGCCGGCGTATAAAGTTACGAGGCCTCGGAAGGCCGGGCAAGGTTGCCGGGGCGGCGCTTCCGTCGGGACGTCCGCTTCCCGGATATCCACCTGACAGCCCCCCGAGGACGCGACCTGGACACCTGTCGCTCCGAAGGAGGCAAAAAAATGGATATCCATTAAGAGATAAGAGCCACGAGGGGGGAAAAAAATTCATTACTAATGCCTCGAAATGCGGCTGCTCCGATTCGAGGTTGTCCGAGAGCATTGATCTCGGCAAAGAGCCCGCTCATCGGACATTTACATGAGCGGCAAGGTCGAGGAGCAGGCGAAAAAAGGAAAGGAGACGACATACGTACTCTAAGCGATGATTAATAATTAGAGACACGCGTTATCGGGAACGCCAATAATCTGCCCGGTCACTACCTCGCGGACGTTGGAGCTCTTGCGACGGGGAAATTCATTTTCCTGCTCTACTTCGAGAAAATGGGGCGGAACGGATAATTAAACGGTCACCCGACTGGGTGGGGAGTCGTGGTATTAATACCGGGACTGTTATTATTAACATTTTCTTGTATTAATAAATTCGTATAAGGAGGGCTAATGCCGCGGCTGCCGCGAGACCGTGAGGGTAATTTCAGAGGATAAAAAGCTCCCTGTCGCAATGAAATTCTCTGTTAACGGGGAAATAATTGTAGTACTAGTAAATACTACTGCCGGGGCAATAAATCATGCAGCCTGTAACGTCGGGGATCGTTGGTCAATGAAAGAAAAAAAAAAATGACTGTTCCTACGCACTTCCTTCCACGTGGCGAGCTTGGCTCTGCACCGAGGACACTCGGCCTCTCTTCTAACTCTTCCACGATTTGGATACGTTACGTGTGCTGTAATTATTCATCCCGTCGTGCACCTCTTGATGTTAATAAAAATTTGATAATTCTAAGCCGACCGCCGTTATCCTCGAGATGAATAACGAAGGCGGCAAGAGGGGTGACGATCCAAAGCGGGCAACAATGCGCCAAAGGAACAATTACGGATATAATTATTTCGGGACACGCAAAGCTAGACGCGTAAAATGATTCACGTGCCTAGCTCGCTCAAAATGCGGACGTTTTTTTTACGCTCATGACTCCACAGCTCTTAATTATAGTACTTTCGCGGCTTCTACAAATTACGAGGCTGAGTACCCCAGGTCGGCTGCCTTCTACGTGGAGGAAGGAATCCTGAAAATTTCCCAAGAAAGTCCGAGAGAGCGAGCACCGGATGGTTTCTCGAGGAGGTCGCCAGGACAAAGCGGAAGATCGTTGTACATAGAGAAATCTTAAAAAAAAAAAATATATACATAAAAAACTTGTGAAAAAAAATTTCTCCCAGAATTTTCGTGCATGCTCCACCCTAACGTGAACCTCCCCAGCCCTGGAATAACAGGAGGGTTTCTTTTTCAGGCATCTTCACGTATTACTACTAATCCGGTGGAACTACCTGCCTCTTCCTATCACCAACTCGTCCCTTAATCGAGAGCTCGTTGCTCTTATCACGCCGAGCTCTCCCAAGGCCGAAAGGAGATCGCAGCTTGGAAGGTCTGAAGGGGCAAAGAGGGATCCACGGAATCGTGCAGGATCACGGATCGGATCGTAAGGACGAATCGCACAGGGGGATTGTCGCTACGGAGTCCGCCATTTTGTTCAGAGCGGCGTCTCGAAGAACGTCTTCCGCGACTTCCGGCAAAGATGGCGGCCATCTGGTCGCGTCGCTCTCCGTGACTTGTGAAGGAACAATTGTAATCTTAGCTAGAGGTAACCAAGGTAGACGAATTCGTGCATCGGAATGCACCTGGCCTGCGAAAGCAGACACACGTACCTAATGCTCCACGGGCGGGCATCTGCGAACGTTAGTATAATACTTCCGTTTTAGAAAGTTAGCAAATAAAGGAGTCGTTTCCTTCGATCGCGTTGAATTTCTCACCTCTAACCGTTAATTTAGCTCGCCGCGGGAAGAACGAGGCGAAAGTCGAATTTGAGTTCCCGCCGTTCCTTTTAAGATTCCTCGCGGGAAATCTTGGCCTTGGCGCGGCTCCTCTTCAGGGCGTCTAATGGCCTCGAGTACTATACCCGGTGCATATAAATTATTATAATATTCATAAACATGTGTATTTATATGCGAATATGTATTAAAATTTCGACATTTTTGTCTGTAATGGCCTCGCTCTTTTCATGAAAACGCCTCGAAGAGGTGTCGACATCGATACCATTGCGGAAACCGACCGATTTGATGCACTGCGCGTGCCTAACTGCCGGCCACTCTCGGCCTCTCTAATCGATCCGGATTATCGAGTTCGCGGGCTGTCAATATCGTGCCTTTCGATGCGTAAACTCGGTCCAGCGAACACGCATGCCGGTGAAACTGCTCGGCTCTGTGCGCGCCCAGGAATTTGCATTTTTGTCGGCCACCAGACATTTCCCCACTCTTCAAAGGAAATTCAGGGGGAAGCGCGGACGAAGGATGAAAGATCAAAGTAAAAAATGCGACCTCGATGGATTTTTTTTTTATCCAGGGAAAAATGAAAAGGCAGAACGGAAACGGCTTCACGAGGAATCTACATAAAAGGCATCTCCACAATTTATTCCCAATTAGCTGTTGGCAAACACCCTCGTGTCTCCGTTTAATAACGTGAATAAGTATTCTCCTCTTTCGACGTGTCGAAACACCCAATTACCGGTTAGGTGTTCGTTTACCCGCGATCGCGAGGTTGGTCAATTGAAATTTATTTTCAGCTGTTCCACTTGATTATTCCCGTGGTTTATACATCGCCATGTAAAGTGACGCCGATGTCTTAGATCCGTATTCACGCATACGCGCATTCTCTCGGATGAAGTTCTGTATTTTCTCGCGATTTTTCCTTCCTTTTTTTTTTCTTCAATTATTTTTCCCTTCTCTTCTCGGCGCGAAAATCCAGCGGAAAAGAACGACCAAAACGACGAAAAGTGGAGCCAACTGGTTGTCCGAAACCAGTAAGACAAGTCGAGCACGTTTCTAATCTGCATCTACATTTAATATGACTACATGGTCTCCTCTATGAGGTAATTATTGTAATCACCGCCGCGATCGCTTCTATTACCGCAATATCGCTCGAGTTCCATTTGACACGATTCCGCCTAAACGTAACGACTTTACGGCTTGACCGAAACCAAACTGCTCCAATTCCACTTCTGCCTCGTGATAGGGTATCGATCCGCGATGGAAAGTGGATTATTTTATTTTCTTTCTCCCGGTATCGAGTGAACTTTTTTTAATACGGAATTGCATCCGCGGTCGTGCTGAATTCTATGCGGAATTCTCGACGAGATACTCGCTCGGTACGCGGAGGTTGGTACCTCCGGCTATTGCTAACAAGAGGTCGGATTAGAATTACGGTGGTTTGGTTACTACCAAGGCGGTCAATGCAGGACGTAATAGCACGTACCATTGCCGAGACCGGTCGCGGTACTCTCACGTGCCGTAGTGTACACGGGTGAACTCGAGTATAACTCTATAAGTACGAGCTGTACACGTGTTCGGTACCGAGGATTTTCACGGAGCCGGTCTTGCGGTTTCCGTGAAAACTGCATCCCAGAAGCGCGAATATATAGACCCGTCGATATGCAAACGACCGATAAAGTGCTCTCGAGTTTTAAGAGCGCCCTGGCACGAATAATTGCATCGTTTACTCGAAAGACGGGCACGTTATAGTAGTATAGTAAATATCCATTTTTTTTTTTCAAGTTATTTAAGAAGTTAATTTAAGTCAATGGGGAAAAGTCTCGGTCGATGATGGACCGAGGACGAGGGACGCAGCGAAGACTTTGCGGCCTAGTCGGAGCAGTTTCCCCGCGTGCGTTGCGGTTTCCGCGGGAACTGGTATTTCAGAACCGCGAAAATAAACCCGAGCGATATGCAAACGACCTCGCGAAGTGCATTCGGCTTTCCACGTACCTCTGCATACCGCGTCTGGGATAAATAACCGTATCTACGATTTTAGAGTGCACCTGTTACTGCGGGATTTTCAAGTACCGATTTCCCTCGCACGTGATTGCTACTTGCGGGGCCGCGGCAAAAAATCGAATCGGGCTGCAACGTGGGATCCGGAGGGAAAAAGGGAAACGACCTAACGACTTCAATTTGTCAGCTCGAGTGTCTTTGACTTTACCGCACCGCCGATATTTCAACGGTGTCTTTGCACTTGGCGGAGTGCATTCGTTCCTGTCGCGAATTCGAAATATTAATTAGGTATTCCGCATTGCCGCCGTCTCCTTGCACGCTCGACAATGTACTTCGAAAACTCTCGACCACGTGCATGGTCCCATTGAGCTGCACCAGTTAGCGCATAATTATCGGCAATCTGAGAAATAATTTCTATTTCGCGGAGTAACTTACTTGCCTCACGCAACGTGGACCACCCTCGGTGCCCATTGAGAAATCGGTAACAGTCGGACAACTGAGACCGGTAAACGAGAAAATCAAGAATGAACGGACTTACCTTTTTGCGCCTCTACAATTGGCAGTCCGAGTCGACAGTTTGAAACTCACGTCTCACGGCGGTGACCGGCAAATTTCGCAAGGAAATCAAGTGTCCAGTTTTTAAAAACTTCTTCGGGCCCGCGTGCCCGCAAGAGACAAACTTTTTCTTAGCTGAGTTTATCAGTTCCGATAATAGCGCTAAAATGTATATCTTTCTTTTCTTTCAGATTTCGAGGGTCGTTACTCGGGGCCCTTTACGGAGGTGTAAATCAAGATCCGGCAGCTTGCCATTTATGATCACCGCCCTTGGCAGATCGGATGCAATTCCCGGGACTAACTGGCGACGGTTTCGTAAGGTAGTTTCGTAGTATCTCCTACGTGGGCGTCAGAAAATGGAGCAAGCAACGGGCAAATAAGATCGGGCAGGCATATCGAAAAACGGAATATCCCCTCGTAGACTAGTTCCTTCCCTTTCCCTCTCGGCCTGAGAGCGGAGCTCTAATTCCAGTCGATATGTATCCCCGCTGCGAGTGCGTTATTATTTTATTACGTCAGGATTTTAATCGCAAGGAGCGGCGTCACTCGTGACTCCGCAAAGCTAACAGAGCGGAAAGCTCGGACGGTAAACATTATTACTCGGCGGGGGTATGAGCCCGAGCAATCGTAAACGATAGTAACATTGACTAACGCAAGAGCCCCGCGAGTGAGACGGAGCGATTCGGTAGAACACGGGAGCGAGAAGGAGGACCGATAAATCGGCGACCTCGCGAGCCCGACGAGTATCAAGATAAAGACACAAAGTGGAGACGCGGACGGTGAGAACCCCGAAGAACAATGGAATAAATAAATAGGGGAATAACGAGTCAACCGGATATCTAGACTGATTAAACGAATTTGCATAGGAGGAGTAAATAAAAAAAAATATTCCTCAGGGGGTAAAAGGACTTTCATCCGATCCGGTTCCTTGTCCTCTGACTCACGTTCGAAAAAGTCTGAGGACGAAAACAGTCGTATCATCGAACGTCCGACATCGAGCCTTCAAGCCCTCGACTCGGGATATTTTCCATTTAATTCCTCCCATAGTCGACTATTTTGCGAAAGTCATTCGAGCGCCTTAAATCTCCCCACATAATCCCCAGCATATCTCTCCTGCCTCCACCAACAAGGAACCGATCTATAGATCATTCAGCAGGGGACATTTAATAGCGCAAGCGGCCAAACCGGTATATCGGATCGAGTAGGTTCTCTCAAAATTCTTCCCAAACACGATCCCTGGATTTTTAACTCGCGGGTGGGGTGCGAAAGTGGAGTCGCGCGTGATAGAGTATAATTCCCGGGCGCCCACGCGTAAGTGCCCTCGCGTCGAGAAAACGCTCATTAAATCACGAGCCGTGTCCACGAAGTACCAAAGCCGGTGAAGAAAGTCAAATCTACCAGGAAGAAGCTCCGTAACCCTTATTAAAAAATCCTAGAAAAAAAAAAAATATCCACTTATGTTCCCACGTAATTCGCCAGTAATGGATATCTACTCGCGTCGTATCTACCGTTTCACGGCGTGTTTTTCCGAGTAACCTCCGCTGATAGAGTGCGGCCGAAGCGAAGCGATTAAGTAATCGGGTCGTTAGTAAATTCAAGATTAGAGGCACGATCAAGGATCGCGCCTCGAGGCGCTGACAATGAGCGATGAGCTCTAATCCGCTTCTGAGGAACGCATGACGCACCGATTGCTAAATTATTGCTAAATAATTGCGCGATCCGAACGAGGACTGTCGGGGAAACCCATTATTGCATTATCTAGTGCTATTCTATCGCAACTCCGAGACGCGTCGTTATCGCCTGCCGACCTAGGGCTTTGTTGCAGCCCGAATGCAGCCCGAATGCAGGCCGAATGCAAGCCGAATGCAGGTCGTACGCGCCGACGTACTCGCCACGAAAGCGAGCGCGAGTATGCACGTACACGCGACATGTGCGAATGCATAAAGGAGCCTTTCCTTTTGAAAGCTTGCCAACGTGCGTCCGATCTATCGGCAGGTGGCTAGATCCCAAACGAGTGCGGTGCACCCGATGCAACCGCGCAAACTGCATCGGATGCGCATATGACGCCATCGGAGGGAAGAGGAGAGAGAAATAACGATCGCCGACTCTGTGCCGTGAATCTTAAATAAAAAGAAACCGCGACTAAAACGGCTTGTCGGGATATCTTATCAGCGAGGAGATATTTTTAGCATCCCAGAAAGGAGGTAATCGGGAGGTACGTGGAGTAAACAAAATTTAGAATAACAAAGGACAGGTGAAACGAGTTGTAGGATTTGATTTTTTGGGAGGTGGGAGTGCAGAAGGAATTTCGGAGTCCTTGCCAACCCTCGAGGAGAGAAACGCGAGGAGAAGGGGAGAAGCGATTACTTCCTGGCGAAGAGAAGGGAAGCTGTCGATTTCTCCTCGATCCCAAGGATGTCAGTCGATCGAGATCTGGATCGAGGAGATGGCCGCTCCGGTTTATCCGCGCCGATAAACCGCCTAGGATGGCTTAGAGGAGCCGCGAAGCTGGAGAGTCCGGCTTAATTGCGCGGGTCGTGTGCTCTCGGAAGAGCGAACGGATCCAGGACGAAAGCGAGAGAAAGTTTAACGTACGACGAGAGCGAGAGGGAGAGATCGGCCGAGCGCGATCTGCGTACATTAGAGGCTCCTCTCTTACGTTAGATACGAGAGATCGAAAGCGCGACCGGATGCTAATTTATTGGACACAGGTCGGCTCCTTCGATCGCCGCGTCCTGCAACCTGTTGCCGGTAGAAACCCTCGCGAATCAGGTTTCGAAAGGAACGCGACAAACTGCGCCGACTGACCGATTGCATATGCATGCCATTGCGCGGGGCGAAACGAGAAAACGAGGAAAACGTGACGGACGCCGCTCGTTTCGTCGAAAGGATGAAAAAGTCCCTTTCAGGGGAGAAGAAAGGATCGGCGCGACCTTAGGCAGTTTGTCAATCAGCCGATGAAGTCCTCTCTCTTACGTCGTGCCGGAGCGGATCGAAAGCGGTCGTTCGAGGCCTAATTTATTGGACAGGGTCACTCGGCTCGATCGGTACGGAAAATGTCCCCACGATGAAGCGCGTAAACGCGCGCGGCCGGTTGTCTCCGGTTATTCCGCGTCCGGGTGGCGTAATTCCGCCGGGCGGGCTTGTCGCGTCAAAAGCACTTTTTTTTTTCGCCGGAAACTCCTGGCCGAGGCAGTCGATACCGATCGACTCGAACGAGCGAGTCGGTGAAAGAGCCGAGACGATCTCGCTTCCGCGTTTCCGTCGACGCGGGAGAGGAAAGGATCCGCGAAGTGGGAATCTGGAGGAGGCGAAAAAATTGCGAAAAAAATGGAGAAGGCATTGCGAAACGAAAATCCACCCCGTTATTTATACGCCTCTTCGGCTTCCCGAACTTCGCCCGACGACGAAGCCCGCCCTCCGGGACGGATTCCGACACGAGACGGACGTAATCCGATAACGCGATTACGGGGAAGAGGGTGCAAGAATCGACTCCCTTGTCGGGGACTCTAGGTGTATTTTAAATAATAAATTACCAGAGGGAAACGGCCGAGAGCCCGATCACGATCGGGAGGAGGAAAGGGACTTTTCCAGCAGCCGCCTGGGAATTCTTCGACATGGTAGACTGGATCCATTTTCGATATTGATAGACTTCCGTGTAGAAACCGGGAGTTTTTGGTAGAGCACAGCCAATCCCACCGGATACTATACCAGTTAGTCGGCTGTCGCAAATCATTCCTCCCCCCGAGTCGCCCTGGAAATTGCATAGAATTTATTTAAAGTCCAGAGGAAAGGTAAATTCTGGCCGCTGTAATTATGTACCTGGCAGGCGTCTTTTCCACCCTCCTTGTAGCCGGCGCAAATGCTGCCGTCGGGAATGTAGTAACCCTGGATGAGATCGCCGCAGGTCTTCCGGTCGACGATCGGCAGCACGACGTAGAGCAAGTCGTTGCTCACCACTTGGATGTTCTGTGAAAAAGATATCTCGATCGGTCCAGTTGCCGATTTATTGATAAACGTTCTACTCACGCTGGCACGATATCCCCATCCGGATACGAAACACATGGTGCCTTGGTTCACCGAAGTATCCCTGAGCACTATGCTCTTCACCGTGGAATTGTCCAGTCGAAATGGACTGGTTAGCTGCAAAAAAAGGGAAATTAATTATGAGTGGAAAAAATGCAAACATAGCAAAATCATCGGTTTCGCGTTAACGCCGAGCAGCATAGATACGTACCCTCAACAGTGCCACGTCGTTTGACAAGGTCTTATCATCGTACTTCGGATGAATGAAGATCTTATCGACGGTGCTGTTTTGACTCGAAGGAGCGGGAGCGTTCAGCCTGATCTGCCCGGCGACTACCTTGATGCTGATCTCGCTGATCGGTTTCTTATTCCTACAAAAAAAATTAACGATGAGGTGGAGAGATTAAGGATGAGACAAGAGAAAGTACTTTGAAATTCCATAGAAAGGAGTCTACTTACGAGTACATGCAGTGGGCAGCGGTGAGGACCCAACTTTTGTCGACGATGCTGCCTCCGCAGAAATGGTTCCCCAGTGGTCTCCTCCTCAAGGACACCTGAACGAGAGAATCGAATTAGTCGAAGATGAGTCACCTCGGTACCTGGTGCACCCCGAAGCGTACCGTTCACCTTGAACTTAGCCGTCGCAGATCCGAAAGGAGGATCCCATTAGCAAGTACCTGTTGCGGAAATTGGCCAAGAGTCGCCTTGGTACCGTTCACTATCCTGCCGACCAAGCCCTTGGGGGAAGAATGTCCAGGAGCTGGTAAAATGGACCCTGCGGGACGCGACGTCACCATTTAATGGACACCTCCTACTGAAACTTTCGGACGCCCCAAAATTGAATGAACTCACCATCGGTGACGACACAGGACACCAGCAATCCGAGGGAAACCACGAGAAACGAGTACATGTTCGGGACGATTGCGAACAGGTACGCGACTGAGTGACGAAAGGTTCGTCATCGAGTCTGAACTGATTCCGGCCATGGACGATAACCTTATCACCGGCGTTATCGCCATTCCGAGATCGGAATCAATCGGTATCGCGAGTAGGCCGATTGATGCGTGAAAACTCGCCTAAGTACCCGAGGTGTCTCCTCCAGGTGTGAAGAAAGGGAAAGGAAAATTCGACATTGCCAATCCGGCTCCGGTCGGTGCGGTTTTTCTCGGCGACGTGTTCCGACACTCGCGTTTTAGTCGCGTAGCCGATTAGCCTTTGGCACGCGATAATATGTGACAGACACTCCGTGTAATGGCGACAAGAGCACGTGACGAATCGAATTAGTCCTTGGGCAACGAGAGCCGAGTCGCGGATTTCATTTCGCGCCCAGCCGTCCTATCAGCCACTGATACCCCCTGGAAGAGGAAATACCCGAGGAGTGGTGAAAATGAATGAAAACGTGCGGATTCAGTTTCCCGGGATCGAATTATTGCGGTTTAAATGGATCGGGAGGAGCCCTTATCGGTGCGCCTTATCGGGGAAAGACGAAGTACCCCCCTCGACCCTCCCAACGTGACACACCACCCCACTGGCATTAAAAAGTCTTTATTAATGTGTATACTTTGTGTTCAATGTCGTCGTACTCGTACTTCTTCGCAGCGTTATAACAATATCGATAATAGTGACGACGGTAATAATAATAATAATGAGAGAGTAAGAGTAAGAAAAAATCGTACGCGGATCCCACGCCCTTCCCGGCGTCCCGGATACGGCGTCGCGACGCGATATCGAGCGGTTCTTATCGCGGGTGCATCCTCGGTAGTAGAACTATCAGTAAGAGTAGCAATAGTAGCGGTAACGGTAGCAGCCCTAATCACGCCGGTAGAGTAATAGTATAGTGGTTACCATATCAGCAGCGGTAGTAGAATAATCGTAATACGGTACTCGCTGTAATAGTGAGGGTATTATTATTATCATCGTCATGATCCGCGCGGGGGGACACACGAGTGCCTCGTTACACGAGCGTTATGCACAGAAAGTAGTCGGTACGCAATAGTTGAGTAGACTTATCCCTAAAAATGGGCGTCGATGCTAAATGTATAAAACAGCGGTATAAAAACTCGAACCTGACACTCTATCGTATATATAAAGATACTCGCGTATATCTGTGTATATATATACTTTATATATATTTATGTGTTCAATACGTCTTATTTACCGTGACTAATGTACCTGCCGTGCGGTAATGCTTACGGACTTCTTTTTCACCTCGGCCACGTGTCGACTGTCAACTGTCAACCGTCGACACGTCATCGACCCTCTTTTCCGGTGCACACCTATCGTTCTCGCCCCATCGATTAGACGTCCCTATCGCCTCCTTCACCGACACCATGACCTACCCCACAAACGCGCGACTGCCCGCCAAGGCCATGCGGTGCGGTCCCTCTACGCTCATATGTTAATAAATCCGCAAAAACCAGTACGCTATCATTTATCACGCCTATCGCGCCGATATCTACCGAACCTTTTTTTCGGCCCAACGGAGAGCGAGGAAATGTAAAACGAGCCGAACGGAACGAATAGCGCGATATAAATTTCACGTGAAATACCCCTACCTTGTAAATCAAAAATGGACGTGAAAGTCGAGCTTTTGGTTTTTAACGAAGAGTATCGATTAGTCCGAAAGGCGTCGATTTTGGGCAGGCGGCCAAAAAAGGAGCGCATCGCGAGCGGGTTTTCTTTGACGTAGTCCATATATCGTATGTATGCGGATAAGCAGGAGCAACTTTATTTTCCTTTGTACATAAGTGCATCGTCAGGCTTTCGGGTCTTCTTATTCGAATCCTCGTTAATTCCTCGACGCGTAGAATCGGAGCAACGAAGCGTATACAGTAGCCGTACAATGGCGGCGTATTTCCCGGCCGAGAGTTTCCTCCTGGCCGGGAACGGTGTTCGAGGTGCCATTAAGATCGATATCGGTATCGGTATTGGCATAACTAGTCACTAATCTCTCAGAAACCATAGCCGACGTACTTCCGTAAGAGAACCGCACGCGCACCGCAAAAGTAAGAGAAGCGAGTCTCGCGGCGCAAGAGTCTCGAGGGCCGTGCAATCTACGCGCTGCACGGTCCCTTGACACTAAAATCCCTCCATTAATCTCCAAATTCTCGAAAATTCCGGCATCTCATCCCCGATCAGGCCCGTTGCGATTCCGCCCTCCGGGTCCTCCGTCGCGTCCGGCCGTCCGCATGCGGCCCTCCGCGCCGCTTGCGGGCCGCCTCGCGAGGGATGCTGCACCGAGCAACGGAGAAGTCCCAACGAAATCTCGCGAAATTTCTATACGACCTCGCAAATATATTTTACAAATTCCCGGAGCCTCCGTCCCTTCCGGGACGATCCTCGAGTGGCTCGCAAACTTTCTATTCGCAATAAATAATATCCAAGGGAATACGTCGAAGACTCAGCGGAAACTCCTCTCTCACTCGGTATCCTTCCTCGTAGGTACCCAACGAATAAGAGGATCTCTTTTTTCCCTTTCAGCGAAAAAAAAAAAAAAAGGAGATCAATCGAGGGGTCTCTCGACTCGAAGAGGACCCGCTCTCGAAACCCTTCGGGTCGCCGATCGGGGTATATATATCTCGGGTCTCGAAAATAGCTCGCATTTCCGGAAAGAGCCCTCTCGCGCTCCTTTCCGCCATTTTGGGGGCGCTTCTTCCCTCTCGCTCGATTTCCCTCGTACCTTCCCCTTGCCTCCCGCCGCTCGGCCACAATGTCGCGAGCGAGTAGTCGACGTCCGGATCAGTTCGCCGTTTTCCGATCGACGGAAACCCGGCCGATCGCGGATAATTCTTGATCGGCATCGATCCCGGCCTCGGCCCCCTCGTCGTCGATTACCCGCCCGCGTAAAGGTACAGCGTAGTAACTAATAACCCGAGTTAGACTCTCGCCCTCAAGCCAACCAAACAAATATAATATTATGTACCTAATAATTACGATGCAAAATATTAAGTTTCAACTCTTCGTTATATCATTACGATATATACTAATAATAGAATATTATAGTAATTCATGTGACTTCATGTGCCATATATATATATATACTATATATATATATACTATGTATATACTTCGTACGCCGCCCTCCTCGGTAATGTGTAATTCGTTAGGTGCCTACTATTACCCTATCTCACTTATAGCATACTTCCCGCAATCTGTCCAAACGCTTCCGGATAGCCAATCTGACATTACCCGCGTAAGAATATATGATTTATAAATATATATATATATATCGATTGTGAATCGTTACAAAAGACCGATCGCGATCTGCAAATCGACGCGAATGGCCGCGCAAATAGCGCTCGGCCTGGAAATCTCTTGCTCGTTAAATTGCAGAAAAAAAAAAAAGGTGGAGGGAGGAAATTTATCCCCTCCGACTCGGCTGCAATTTTTCCTCCATCGGTCAATTTTTATCTCGTCGCGGTTACGCGCACGAATGCCGGGAAAGAGGAAATCGAGCGGCGTATCGATATCCCGGAAGAGCGTTCCGATATTTTTTTCTCGAAGCGTCGAATGGCAATGTAGCTTTCGCATTTGATATCCTCCGGGTTCCTGGATACGTCAGAATGCACTCCGCGGAAGCGTTATTAAAAAGTCCCGCCGCAACGAGGAAGAGTCGGCGATTGTCTCTCGACTTTCTGACGGAGTTTCACTCGAGTCGCGAGCGGGATATGTCCCGGAAAAGTCCCGTGGGAATCCGGCTGGAGTGTCCACCGCCGAGGTTAGCCACCGACGACTGGATTACCGGTCTCGAGAGGCGACCACTCGGACAAGCCGGACCCTGGAGGGGATTTGCATCGAAGATCGGAACCGGAGATGAGTGGGAGTCTGCGGGAGCCGCGAGAGTGGGAGCCGCGAAGAGGGACGAGGGCGACCGGGAAGGAGGGTGAATCCGAGACCAAGGAGAAGATTTTCGCGGTTGGAAAAAAATCCCCAAGATACGTCGCTCCTCCCTTTACTTTCTGTATTTTTTCTTTTTTTTTTTTTTTTGCGAAACTTTCTCCTCACCCTACAAGACCGAGAAAAATTCGAGTCTTCCCCGTTGGGCGCGCACGGTGCTGTCTTTCGGTGGGTTTCCAGATTTCCGTCCAGACCGTGCAGTCGACGGTTATTTTACACAGCTCGATATGCGTGCACGCACACGCAAACACCCTGGCAAAACACGGTACATGCAGTCGGGTGTCCATATACGGTCATGTAAAATGCTCCTATAAAAACCCGTAAGGTGGGGGGGGGAAACGTCGGTTCCTACTTTCGCGAGTAAATGCGTAGATAAAGCTCGGGGGAAAAACGTCATCTCGGCCGTTTGAATTTCCATATGTTTCTCTACGAGTCTTACTTTTCGGGCAGTTGCGTGTTCTCTCGTCCGTTCCTTTAGCGTTAGAGGTTCTCTCGGACCGTTCGGATATAATACCGCTAACGGTGGAAGACACGGGGAAAGGCTTTTGCACGTAAGTCGGGAATGGCGGGGCAACGAGATAAATCCGTGCAAAGGCCGCGCACGCAACGCGGTGCCGCAACGTGCAACATGCATCATTCCCACGGTTGCCCGCGTTCCCGTTTCCTGCAACAGCCGTCCCCCTGGCGCCCTTCGAAGGCATTTATTGTACGTACGAGGAGATCGGCGGAAAGCTCACCTTGGGAGAAAAAGGGAAAAAAAAAGAAAAGAAAGAAAGAATCTAAAGTGGCACGTCAAATAGTGCACCGAAACCTGCACACCCCGAGGAAAAGACCGAAAAGACCCCACGCGAATCGGACTTCTCAAGGCAGTTTTTTTTTTCCAAACCGTACCGATCGGAGCTTAAGGGGGTGTGAAAGTGGCATCCGAAGAGTCAATCGTTCCACATTTGACAACGTAACCATGTACGCGATAAGGTCTCGACGCTCATGAAATTTCATTTTTTTTTTTACACAAAATTGTGCAAATATCTATAAAAAAATTATGAAGAAATTGAAATCTTATGGGTGTCAGGACCTTCCTTGTAGCCTCCATGTTAACATTGTCAAGCTTGGAACAATTCGGTACACCCAGTCCGGAGAAAAGTTTCGTAAACGAGACACCTCTTCGACGTCACTTTCGCATCGGCTTAACCAGATCGTACGTCGGATTGTACAAGATGAGCTTTTATTAATACTTTCGCTACCGGGATCGATAAGAGCGTCGGCGATACCAGTAGCCCGAAGGCAGGGCTGGGATCGATAACCGGATCGAGTCGCCGATTTGCATATTACGCCCCGGCATTCGCCGGACAATTGCGCGTATGCGATTCGCGTAGAACGACCCGCGCAATGTACCGAGTTGCAACGTTACGTGCACCGAGTCGAGCCCATCCCTTAAGTACGTGACTCCTTCGCGCAAAGTCTGCCAAGAAAACTGCCAATAATCCGCCGCCGTCGCGGGTCAATTGTCGAGACACCTGTCGCGACGTCCGTCAAGACAACCGAGCCGAGGGCGTACTCCGGGCGCACGTACGATGTACTCTCTCCCCATCCAATATAAAGTTTCCCTCGTGCACCGTGGTCGAGTAAGATGTGAATCGCGGAAAGCGCGTTATTTCGAAAAGGGTGATCGGATAGACGACGACCACCGTCAAGTTCTCATTGACAGCCCTAACTGCTAATGGCAGTCCTGCGACCACGGTGTCACGAGCCCCGACTTTTCCGTATTGCGTGGCCGTGCACCCCTTCGTGTGCACTTTTCCTATATTAATGCGCATAATATATCGGATATTTATATATCTATATATCTATATATATATATTTTTAATATATGTATACATACGTATGTGCCAACACATGCGTATATATATCCACGTCGTATAAATAATATTTATTGTATTTCGTATGGATATCAATAATAGTTTTCCTACACCGAAGGAAGCGTGTCTCCGCCTTAAAACGTCTATCTTAACCGCTCTTATAATTTGTCAATAATAATTAGTAATTATCTCTCTTTTCTCTTTCCCTGAAGCATCGACGATGCCGCAACGCGCTTCTACTCCGAATTTCCTTTTTTTTTGTTCTCTCTCTCTCTCTCTCTCTCTCTCTCTCTCTCTTTCTCTCACTTTGTCTCACTCCTCTCTCTTATCCATCTCTCCGATTTATATTAATCGTCGTTCGATATATTTAATGTCCGTTACACGATTTGTACTCTTATGGGGGAGGTATAGAGGAACGCAGCTGCCTCTCGCACTGCATGGGGAACGTCTCACACTTTGCGGTTCTCCGTTTCCCCGGACGACGTCAATTCCTGATGCCGAGTGACAGCTGACAGCTTTTGGCAGCTGTCACTCGAGCCGCCGACTCGCGACCTCGCGGCGGGCCGGCCTTCGCCATCTTGGAAAATCGACGGCCCCGTTTCCGGGATCTGCGACCAAGATCTCTCTCTCTCTTTCTCTGTCTCCCTCGAAATCGCCGTACTTTGGAATTTACAGTCTTCGAGCCCTGATTTTCTCACCTTTTGTACTTGCGGGGGTCGGCGGAAATTTGTACGCGAATCGGGGTCGTCGATTCCGACACGGGTGTCGCGCCTGAACGCCGGTCCGTCGCGGGGTTAAAAAAAAATATATATATACATCGAATCGCCCAACGAGCGACTCGACCGCGACGTCGGAACGAGCCCTAACGAAGCGATATCTCGATTCTCTCCAAAATCGGAAAAATAGCGCTTCCGTCATTCAAAATTAGCCTTCCCTCCGTGCGGCTCGGAGCGCTTACGAAGAAATCATCCCGTGACTTAACGCGAGAATTAAGTGTACACTCTTTAACGGGGGAAAAAAGAAAAAAAAATAAGAAACCACGAAAAGAAAGTATGACCGATTTCCGACAGGCCCGTGAAGGCTGTCGTGTAGAAGGTGTGAAAAATGAAATCCCTCTTTCGCGCGTCCCATGGATCTCGCGAAGACGCCATATTGGAGAACGAGGAACGAGAGCGGGAGAGACTTCAACGAGTGGAGGTGCATAGGAGGGAAAATGCCGCCGCCCAAAAAACGGTCGGACAAGGCCGAGCGACGAGCCCTGACAAACGAAATGTGCAACGACGGACAATTTCGACGTCACTTTCTCTCTCTCTCTCTTTTTCTTTTTCCCATCGTCTGTCCTAAGCCCGATGCAGTAGCACGTCTCTCTCTCTCTCTCTCTCTCTTTCTGTTTTTCGACACTCGGTATCTCGGTTTTCTCGAGTCGCCTCGTCTCTCTGCCAGCAGTTCCGCTTGGTCCGCACCACCAGCACGATTTTATGATTTTTTTTTGTTCACATCACACCTCACGGTATTGTATACTCGTTACTATACTTTTCGGCTCCCCTTTCATCTCCGCCGTCCGATCGGTTTACTTTCCGAGACACTTAATCGATACACGAATAAGACCTAAATAGCATACTGGTTAGGGTGTGCCAAAAGAAAATCGCATTCCAAAGTCCCCCTTATCGGGAGAAAGAGTCGCTCTACAGGGAAAATCAACTCGAAAAAAAAAAGTCGGAGGACCTCGTATCCGTACAGGATATGCGATAAAAAATCAAAGGAATCTCATTTAGATCACTTCCGACAGAGACTGCGGTAAATGCACCGCGGTTAATAATCGCGCTCGAGCGAAAGGTCACCCATCGAGGAGAACGATTTTTCTTTTCCCTCCTAAATCTCCAAGGAATTGAATGAAAAGGGCAATCCCGCAGGTGTCAATTAAGTCCGATAATAGCGACGGCTCTTAACACTTTTTTTTTTCCCCTCTCCTCCGCGTATCCTGACGCCAACATCCTTGGAACAATTTTCTCACCGAGAGCGGGCACTTCTCTCTCCTGGCAAGAGGCGGGAGATGTCTTTTTTTAGCACACCCTAATATTGGACCTACGTGTACGCTTCCCGTTAATTATAATTACGTTACCGTTTAACACTAATATGCGGTACTACCCTAGGTATACATATATATCGTTGACGTTGCGAGAGAGGCTTAAGCTCCGTACTCGTGCTCGCTGCTCATGCCGGGGGAAAATATCCGGCCAACGGAATTACCTCCGAATGTCAGAAATCATGATTTCTATTATGCCTTCGTAATACTCAATCTCATCCGCCTCCTTCTGAAATTAATTCCGGATATTCTCCACGGCACCGGAAACACCCCCCGAAAAAAAAAAAACAATCTGCCGGAGAGCAATCGTCAATTTGAATACAACCGGGCACGCGCTGCCAATCGAAAAGGGTGCACTGAAGACTCCGAAAGCGGCTTTCTCCTACTTCCTATCCGGCTTACTTAATCGTAACCTTAATTTCCAAGGGATTTCATTAAACAGCGGCGAATTTACCCCATCGCCTCGATCCGCGAGGCGAGCACGGATCGCGCGTACTCGTAACGAAACGCGGTGCTCGAGTCACGGCCGAGACGTCACTTTATTGCGCGCCGCCACCTCCGTAAATTTAAGCCAATTCCTTAGAATGTAAACGCCTACGTAATTTTGACGAGAACGACACCGATCGTTAAAAAAATAGGGTAGAAAAATTATAGATCTAAACTTCAATCTTACCGAATTAGAGCCTAGGTATTTTTTTTTTTTCTCTTCCGTCCGATCGCCTAAATCTTTTTTTCTCACACAGCCGAATTAAAATGCCCGATTTACGTCTAATACACACGAAACGCTTAATTTAGTAGTTACCCTCCAGTACTTTTTGGTTGCCCTTCCTTTCCATCCCCCATATCCAAGCCGGATTCCTCGCATCCGTACATTGGAAACCTAAGAGCCCCTCGCAATTACGACGCAAGACTATCATCCGTAGGAATAGTTTGACAAAGAAAAAAAAAATACCGCTTGCATCCACGAATGATTAATTTCGGCGAGAGAAGACCGAAGGTCTTCGGCGCCTACGCGACAAGGTATTGAAATTCTACAACTGACGGATATACCAACTATCTGTTTTACAACGAAGCCTCCCTCCGTCCCGTGACTCCGCGAGCATCGAAACGGGGACCGCCGTTTCCCCTATAGACCTCCAAGATCGGAGCACATCCGACGCGACGAAAATCCGCTTTTCCGTCTTAACCAATCCCCGCGCAAGGAAATGTTCCCCGAAAAAGTTGTTCGCAACAGGACGCCGAGTAACTTTTGTTCGGAACGCTTTCTCGGTATCAAGCGTCGTTAAGGCGGAAGATCGCATTTATGCCCGGCCGGTAGAAAATGCGGCTACGGCCTTTTCGCCTGGCACGGCAGTTATGGCAGTCATAACGGGAAATCAGCGGAGTCATGTAAACGTGGTAGGCAGGTGCATTGACGGATACACGTTTTGCATCGCACGTTTTACAGGGTAAAGGACCATTCATACCGGAGCTGGGATTTTCCCTGCTTGAGCGAGCGCTTTCGGTGCTAAGCACTTGGCGTCGGCCGAATGTGCGAATTCACTGCGTTATACGTCCCATTAAATCCACCGACCTCGAACTAGAACTCATTGAACTCGCGCCGAGCGGCGAGCAGGACGTGCACTCGGTGCAACGTGCATAAGTTCGCACCTTGATCGGCAAAACGCTCGATCGAGTTCGATGACTCCAATTTTTTACGATCGCCGGGGCTAATCGACCCTCGCCGGCCTCAAAGAAACGCACCGGCAAAAAGGGCGACCCGCAATTATCGTTAGTTCAATTTGTCGCGTCGCACGGCGGGCGACGCGACGCACGTCCAATTGCATCCGAGCCCTTTTTGCGCCGCTTCTAGGGAATTGGCCTCAACGAGTGCGAGTAGTTGATAAGAAGAAAAAAAAGCATCTTTCGCTACTCGATCGCCATTTTCGTCTCCGGTGACAAGCCCGAGCGACAACCAGGGCAAACCTCCAGCAGGTCCCATAAATGCACCGTTTCGGGAAAGATCCCTCAGAGCTTGTAAGACCGGCTCTCCCCCTCTCTCCGTCACCCTTTGTCAATGATTCCTTTGAGTCTTGTCAACGCACCCTCGATTCCAGGGATGACAAATGACTCTCGCGTCGTCCAAACAACGGGGATCATCCCTACACCCGTCGCCTCGATGACAGGTGCATCCCGACGTGTTTCAGGTGCCCGCCATAACTGGACGGGATAACAGATTACGTAAAAATTTGTTGGCTTTTTTTTCTTCGGATAAAAAACGAATAGCGTTATTCGGCGCGCAAGTCGGTCCCCATCTAAAGCTAGCTTTCTCTAATAAATTGTGCAGATCAGGGAAGACGCGAGCTCCGCGTGCTCTCGGAGAGTTAAAGCGTACGCAAGACTAGACATGCGGAAATTACAATTACGGTATTACGTCATACGTCCGCGCCGTGTTTCTGCAGAAAATCGAGCAATGTTCGGCCTGATCGAAGCACCGAGGAGAATTTAAGACCCCTCGGAAACGGGCACACACGTACGGCCACGTCCGTCTTAATAGCATCTAGAAATAGCGAACGCCTACTTCTATTTGCCTCTTATATCATGGAATTAACTGCTCCGGATAAGCCTTTAATAATGTCCGCCGATCGGCGTACTTTCTCCGCTCGCTTTTGAGGTTTCTTACTAATTGATTCAACTTAGTTGACTACAAACAACGTAAAAGAAAAAAAAAAATCTCCCCCTCCCTGCTAGCTGGAATAACCCTATTTCCGAAATGCTGTCGAGAGAGTTACGTCGCCGAGTCTCGATTTTCATAATTGAAGTCTGTTATTTTATTGTGCATTCTAGCGCCGGCTTGTAACGCAACCGGAACCGATTGCTTTGAATAGGCTTTTAACAATTTCCACAGACCGATGTACTTTCTCTCTCCCCCGGCCTTAATCTTATTGATGAATATAAGACAATACGTTACTAGGACAGAGAGGTCTGTACGCGTAGAAATGACTGGCTGCTGCAAAGATCGAATCGAGGCGTACGAGCCTCGAAATGATCCAAATTACGTGATAACGCGACATGGATGATCGGATACATCCGCAGTCCCGATATGTCGAAAAGCAAGTCTTATCGTAAATTTGGCGAGTTCGGTGTATCAGTGGAAAAGTAGAAAATTTGTATAGACTGGTATCTCAAAAGTTACAAAGTCTGCTCAAAAAAGTACAGATGACTACGTCGTTACTTATGCTAATTCAGTCGGTTATCGGAATATGACTAATGGGCAGGCATTCTCTCCGGCATGGAGCTACTAGTATAAAAGGTTTTCGATTACCTCGACATAAAAAACTTGCCAAAAGTGATGGTGACAAAGGGTGAACGAAAAGACGGAGAGCACTCTTAACTTTCATCGAGTCGTCGAAAAGCCAACGGTTCTGCATAAAATGACGAATGATCTGACGCGCCTCCTAACTGCGGATATATACTCTTCGTCAAGTAATCGCGTGTCGATAGTGTCAGTTGCCACCCGCAACTTCTAAAAACTCTACCCTCTAGGACAATATAGTTACAATAGGCTATCGTATGTGCCGCGATCGGCGCGAATCGTTCGCACGGTCGCACCTGACAAAATTTCATATTCCTAAATGAAAGAAGTCTGCGGAAATCCGCGCAGACCTTCAGTCGATTTCGGACGATTATAACGGCAATATCCCGCAAACGCGGATGTCTAATGAGAAATAAGTGCGCCGTCATATAAAAAAAAAAGAAAAAAAAAAACTGCCGAGTTGGGCTCCCCCGGACGAGTGTCCGCCGACGCAATAAATGTTAGAAAAGCTTTTTTTAGTCTTTTTCATCCGGCGAATCGTGACCCGCGAGGAATGGAACCCACCCTCGTGACACGTAGAACATACTCCGTACAGACATTGAAAAGACGTTACCAAGTGAAGAAAAGTGATACAGCCTTATACTAAGAATTGAGCACACGTTATATCTGTACACGTTCCTACCTACATAAAAACCTGTAAATCTATATATATGGATACAAACTACATATAACCCGATTATGCCCAATTCTGCACTCGAAATAATATATGTATATTATAATATATATATATTTTGATATATAATCCGTATCACTTTTCCCTCCTGAATCCGTAATACGTAACATGTAACGCGGATGCTAGCCTCTATTTAGAAAATCCCCGAATCGAACTTCCATCGATAAATGCCGCCGACGTGTTACCGTCGATCATAGTCTTAGATTGAGCGACCGACAAAATGTGCGCGACGCGATACAGGAACATGGATATCACCGGGTAAGACGTCGCGCACATTCGTACAGGTGTTCGCTCTTAGTTTCAGACATTGAAACAGCAATATGTAGGGTGATAGGAGTACAGACTCCTGACTCGGCTTAGAAGAATCGCCTAACCGAGCCTCTCTTGATAATGATACCGTCGTTGAGCGTATTTGAGTCGCCGACTCGCAACTCGCACGTGATACATGGATTCTCGTCGAGCGTCTTCGACGATTTACTCTAGGAATGTTCCTAAGTGTTAATCCGTCGACGCGATTCCGCTTAGGTTTTCGCCGTTATCCGCCAGTGCGATATTTCGTATAGAATCGATCCCGCCTTAAATACCCCCACGCCTCGGTAGAAAAAGTAGCAAACCCTTAATCATTAGACTCGGAATAAAAAAAGCTTACGCAGCTAGGCTTAGTCTTAGAGGATACGCCGATGCGAGTATATTGTACAAAAGCTAGGATCGCTAAATACAAAACGCGTTACGATATTACCTCCGAAGGAAAAAAAAAAAAAAATAAGAGAAATGCTTACCGAGCGACGCAGACCCTCCTACGCGTTAGATCGGAAGACGTCCTAGAACGCTGCTTCTCGCCGGTAGGTCTTAATTGACGGTTTTTCTTAATTTTACCCAATGCGCGCCTGTTAGCCTACCCTCGCTTCGGTAATCATTTAAAAAAAAAAAAATAAAGTAAAAGCCATATGGAATACGCAACGCTAACGAGCTATATTAAACCTTTTTTTTTTACTCTAACAGGGCCTCGCTCCTTCGTTCCTCTCAATGGATTTATCACTCCGCTAATCGAATCAATTGAGGAGGAACGGGGCGAGGGTGCAGCGCAAATTTGGCACACTGAGAAACGATCTCTGTTCCAAGGACATAGGGCAATCATTTTGACTATGCCCCCCCTTATTATCTCCACGATTCGTATATACACGTGTCTCGATACTCGAAAGAATAAGCATCATCAATTATAACTTTCTCTCGGATAATTCTTTGTAATTCTATTACCGAGTAATTACCTTCGTCGATCTCGAACGAGCGAAATTAAATTGAAACAAACTATCACGATTGATCTCAAACGAAACGATGTAGTATTAAACCGTACCAGAGAGCTTTCTGGATCGATTAGATGCTGCGACTCGATTACCTGATCGGTTCCTGTGTCTCCTCAATGATAGCCACTAGAATTAGGACGTCTTCTGATTAGTGATTAAAATTATAACTTGTGATTGGAATTCGAGGTACGTCAGTGGCTACCCAATTCCAACCACAATTACGGCTCCAATTACATTGATCCGACTACCAACTAAACATCGTTTTAGACCGCCGTGGACGGTTACAATAAATAACCACTCGGTAATGTTAAATAATAAGTATAACAAATGGTGCTCATCTCCGTTCACGGGAATCTCTAAACTAAAACGCTGTTCCGCCAGCTAAATTAATTACTAGTCCTGGATCCTGGCATCTAGGACCACGAGCCAACGCTACAAATCGCTCGCAATCTAATATAAACGGTGTCACTAATATATATTTATATAATATATATATAATGTATATATTAATAATGATTGCCCTACATCCCGGATCAACGGTGGGCGATGTCTCGGGAAGGCAGCTCAGCTGCGCTCGCACATAAACTACTTAGTATCATCGATGAAAACTTATAACGATAACACGATATACTATTTATAATAACTGCTGATGCCTCCCCCCGCGGCGGTAAGGTCCGCGGGGGGAGGAAAAATAGCCGGTAAATAAACAATACGGACAGAACCTGTAGTATACGCAAAATGGCGTGCGTGCACAGCATCCACGCACGAGAAACGCAATCGGAACCAAATTCACGAGAACTTGTACACGAGTATGAATGTGATGTTGCACGGGGATGCGCATGTTTGCATCCATTCGGGCGGAGCGTTAAAAAATGCAAACGTTGAGATCAACGAAAGTACCGGGACACCTTGCCCGCCCGGTCGTTCCCCGCGTTTCGGTACACCTAGAGATAGCCGAGTAAAACCTCCAAAACGAATTGGTCATCCAGGAGAGAAGTACCAATCGGTCGCAAACACGTCCATCCCCGGGTTATCGCGTGGTAGCCGATACGTAACGTAAACGAAGCGCGCGCAGTTACGATCCGTTCCGTCCCGAGGTATCTTTCGCGTAAACTAAGCGCAAGCCTAGGGCAAGAGCGAGTTCCAAATGTCCTCATTAGATCCAACGATAGTACGGGTCTGAGTACGCGAGCCGGCACTAATATACAATTATATACGTCGGACGAACTAAAAAAGTAAGGTCGCCCTTGGCCTCGAGGCCGCCTTGGACGCGTCCCGAGGGAGTCTCGAGGGCGGTCCGTTCGGCGTCCTCGCCGGGAGGCCCATCTTGGCGTTGACTATTCGCGAGTGACTATTCGCTCGATTAAGCAGTAGTTACGGCCACTGAGTGTACAGCTGGAACTGCTCGCGGGTGAAGCAGACGGAGAGGGGCTTCACGAAGTGGGCGTCCACGGATCCGCAGTGAGGACAGGCGAAAACGCGGCTGTAGTCCGAGTAGAAGTTCAGTCGTTGGTGCGGATAGATCAGAGGTTTCTGGCAGCTGTTGCACTGTGGATAAATAATTAATATGTCATCGACTCCGGGGGTTAAATCGTACCACTATGTAAGCAAACGACCCGGGGACGAGACCGTTTCTCTCTCCAGGTCGCCGTCTCCATTCCGAGCGACCCGAGAGACCGAGGCTCGTGTCCCCGGTCGCCGATTCTGGGCGAGCGGGGATTGCCCAAGAGAAAAACAGGTCGTCGCCGTCTCGCGTCTTATGGGGAGAGGAGAGGCCTCGTACCTTTAGGCGCTCGGTGCAACAAGGCATCGCAGCGAAGATGTCGTAGCTATACATGGTGCCGAGCACGAGGCTGGATCCGTCCCAGGGCTGCGTGCAACACCGACACCGAACCGGGGCGCCGCCGCTGCCCTCCAGGCAGCTCATGCACACGGCCGAGAGGAATTGCGTGCGACCCTCGACCTTAACCTAGAAAATAAATCGCCGTGATATCATTCCGGGGGAATGGGAGTCCCCAAACGGCGCCGGGCTCGTTTATATGCACCCTCTTTCCGCGTTAGGCGCGGATATCCCCCCACGACGAGGCGATAAGTATCCGACATTCCCGGTTTATCGCGCGCCTCCCTGACTCACCCTGTGCCTCTCGTCGGGGCAACGTAGACACCGGGGACCGAGTTAACGAGGTCTGGATATACGTTACCTCGGCACAGGCGTGGGAGTGCTGCCTCGGCGAGAGGAAGAACGTCCCGTCCACCAGGGGGTATCTGTCGAAGACGAGCATCGTCGTGCGGCACAGGACGCAGGACACCCTGGTCCACTGGAGGGCGGCCAGGGTCGACAGGATGAAGCATCTGGTGTCGTCGTTCCCGTGGTTGCCCTCGTCCTCCATCTAGAAACGGAACTCTCGTCACGATCCGGGGCACTTCTCCGACGAGAATTCATTTCCTCGAGAGAAAGAAGAGGAAGGGTGCGACGAATTCGTGACTCGCGAGGCACGCCCTGTCTGCCGACCCACGCACAAACGGTCTCTCCCTCTCTCTCTCTCTCTCTGCTTCTCGACTCGAGTCGTGATATATACCCTCGTTTACGCATGGACTTTCGCCGTAAGAAATTCGCTTTGCCAATTTCCACGCCTCCCGGAGCCTAAGCTCGTCAAGCACCGAGAGACGTCGCCAGGAACTCGCGTGAAATGGAATAACGAGATATAATAAGCACGCGAGGAAAAAAATCTCTCTCTAAAAAAAAAGTAGGTAAAAAGTCTAGAAAATAACCCCGTAATCCGATGATTGGGATAAAAGCGATCGGTGTAATCGGCGACGAAACAATCCCACGGTTTACCACAGAGCGATACCGTTTTAATAAATATTACTATAGAAAAAAAAAAAAGATTAACGAAGGATTGTATCGATCATCGAAGGGGCTCAGGTTGTCCGCCGATTGCTCCGGCCGATCGGCCGAGTACCTTTGCGTAAGCGCGATCGGCTCGAGACTGTCAATAAGTAGGTCTGCCAATTACGGGTACATGCTCGATTACTGGGGCATTCACCTCAGATGAAACAGAAGACTTTCACGCACGACAAGCGGTACAGATACCGCGCACCGAGGAGCGCCGTATAATACGGATGTACATACGCGTTACCGTTGTAGCCGTCGCGATCATAGCTTCTTTACCCTCCCCCCGAAGGAGCCAAAGACGGATCTCACCGATAGTTGCAAGAGGCAAAAAAAAAAAACCCAACAAAAAGAAACAGATCGGGTGAGTAATGTCGGTCGGAAAACGAAGGGGCCGGCCTACGGATTCCCGAGGCAGCGTCTCGTGGTAACCATAGATCGATTCATCCGATCCATCAGCCTCCTCCGTCGAGGCGACTGCTCGTTCCGCCTACGAAGACAACTCGGAGTTGACCTCGTCCTCCCCCCCGAGGAGTCAAAAGGTGCTCCGGGACGATGCACTCCGTGAATTTTTTTGCACTTTATGCCTAGCATGTATTTCCCATGATTCCCAGGAGTTTCGGGTAGTTTCAAGGGAAAATCGCGAAACGAAGAGAAATGCTTTCCAGGTTGTCCCGCGAGACCGCGGCCGGGACCGCTTGCGGCGGGACCGCGGTCCGCTTGCGTCGGCGCGGCCGGTTACCCATGCCGATAAGTGTCGCAACGGATTCACGAGATGCGCCCTCTCGGGGGCCTATCTAAACGTGCCGGCACTATCGGTCCCGCTTCCGTTAGATCCCACCGAGGAGTCCTTATCGCCGAGGAATATTCCGCGAGGCCCGATCGATCCCTCGACATTAATTCCCGGACCGAGGAGGTCGCGAGCTATCGGCTCGAGATTCGCATTTTAACCATCTCCTCCATGCGATTGTACTATCGCGGTCGCGCACATGTGCCCAGCGTTTCCCTTCTATCTCCTCGTGCCCGTTCGCACGCTAATTGAATCCGGATCGCGCGAGGAGAAAACGAAGATAAGGAGAAGGAGCGAGAAGAAACCGGTGACAAAAAAGAACGTTCCTTTCGCCGTTTCCCCATAGAATTTTCGTAACTTCGAGTCGCCCTCGTATTTCTGAGATTGCATATGTCACCCTTCCAAGGCTTCTTAAGAGGTGGACGCGTGCGGCGGTCGCGAGCCGCATGCGGCGCGACCGCGAGAAATTCAGGATCGATCGCGACCGCGAAGCGACCTCTTCGGCTCGATCGATATACCCGGACGCGTTTCCTTCCGTCCCGCCGGGCGTTTTTCTCGCGGCGTGTGCCCTCGGTCAACAATCGCTGTTTATTTCTGCCCCGGTCGCGCCGCTTGCGGAAACCGATGCGTCGCGCGTGCCGCCCCAGGTACGCGGATGTGGGAGAGATGCGGACATCTCGCGTCGAAGTTCGTCGATGCATAAACGACGATCGCCGATGACAACACATCCCACGTATCGCTCGAAAATAGGACCCGGCACCGATGCCACATCCGTCATCCGGAAGCGTCTCGGAGGAGTGTATCGTTTACCGCGACCCACGTAAACGTCTCTATAATCCGGACTAAAAAAAAGTTATAAATTTACCCGTGAATTAATTCCTCGACCCATCCGCGCTTCAAACAGACCCGTCTAAAAAATCATTCCCAACCCAGCCTCGCCCCTCTGCTCCGAAATCCGCGAAAACCTCGCCCCTTCCTATCTCGCTTTTGTATCCCCCCCGCGAACTCGCGCAAAACCGCACGACGAGCGAACCGAGTGCCCCCCCAGGTCCGGCCGTAAATTAGAGGGCGCGCAAACATCATCGGGGATAAACATTGTCTCGCCCCCGTCTGGGCGTAAATTAAGCGCGAGTGGCCGGGGCTAATTGCGCCGCAATTGCGAGAGACCGTGGGGTCCGCGGCTCTATTTCGAGCGAACCGGCTCTCCTCTCTGCCTCTCTCTCTCGAGGGGGGCGCAGAGAGAGGGCGAGAAAAAAGTGCGGCTCGCTCGCTTTTGGGCCCGCTTGCGGCCTCCGCGGCCGTGGCCGCAGGCGGCTCGACGAGGGCGTTGCCCCGCGGCCGACGCTGCAATGGTGCGGTGTGCAAACCCGCCAGGGAAGAGAGGAAAGAGAAAAAGAGGGGGAGAGACGGAGAGAGAGATAAAGAGAAAGAGAGGGGCGACCCGCAAGGAGGGCAAGAGAGGTGCGTGCCCGCACGGGTACGCGAAATCGCGTGCGCCCGTAAATATCGGGGCTCGAGAAAAACCGCGGCCTCCTTTCGGCTTCGGATTTCCTCCGGTGATTGCGGCCGAATCGTGAAGACGTCCGGAACGGAGGTGCCCTATCGGTGATTAACTTATCGCCGCGAAAGCGAAACCTCGTATTCCAAGTGGGCAAATGTCGGAAATTCGCGCGATTCGCGGTACTCGCGAGTACGTCGAAAGGAGGCCGGGCGAGGCTCCTAATGGATTTTTCCTGCCACGTCGTCGCGGCTCGACCGCGGGCTGGGATCGAGTCCGGAGAGATTAAGTGACTCGTCTGGCTAGTCGGTTAAAAATGGCGAACCCGGGGAGAGAATCGGTCGGCTGGATCCGAGGACGTAATTTAAGAGCTGCGGCGGGAACTGCCATTACCGCCGCGAGTTGCACCGCTCGTCTACTTAACTCGCACCGGTACCGGATACAGTGCGAGTATCGCCCCTGACACCGGATAGGTCCCGCGTCAGGATGGACCGGTATCTCCTTCCGGGTTCCTCGAAATCGCCGAAACGACGGACATCCGCGAGAACGATCCCGGAACCCGGGCAAAGTTACCCGAGAGCCCCCCTCGTTCGAAGTCGCTCACCCGTCCCCAGGGAACGGTCCGAGACGTGTGAAAGCGTCTTTTTTAGCCCCGGCTCGCGGATGCGTAGCAAGAGGGGACTCGGAAAAAGGTATGAAAAAAAAAAAAAAGTTTTAAAAGACCGCAAACTCGCGTCCGGCGACTGCACGACATACCTCGACCGCGTACAGATCGCAAGCCCGGCTGCGTTCCCACGCGTTTCGGGCGACGGGAAAGAGGACCTGCTCTCCCCGGAGTTGCATCGGGGCATCTCGACGAGGATGTACAAATGTAAATTATACCTCCTCCTAATCTTTCCTATTTTACGAGACGGTAGATTTCGCGACGAGGGGGGTCCTATGGTTAATAAAAATGCGGGTTTAGGGTTTATCGCGGTAAAAAGGGGGACGGGCCGAGTCATCGGCGGTCGCGTAGGACGATCGCGTGTTCGTCGTCGAGATGACTAGTCGCGCGCCGAGGTCTAGAGCTAGTAATAGAACTGGCGGGCGCGGTATCGCCGACCTAGCCCAACGAGACGCGTGACGCGCGACGCGCGCGGTGACGACCCTGACGCTGCGACCGCGGAGAGCCGGCACGGTCGTCGACCGATTAACGCGCCTCCGCTAGGCTGCGCCTAGAAAGAGCGACCCGCCTACGCGTACCCAGGTTGCCCCTAGCCCCCTGTTCCCGGTATGCCCCGTCCGCTTACATAGTGGAGTAGAACGGAGCGAGGATATCTCGGTGGAATTCTGGGCCTCGAGAGTGAACTTGGCGCGGGACTCTGCCGAGTACCGCGCGCTCGAGTACAAGGAGTACACGTTCAATCGAATATGCGTACCGATGCACGAACCAACGCGCATAATTTTCACTCGACGTGAAATATCGATTGACGTTTAAATTTGCCGTTCCAGGGACCGCTTAAAAATTCTCATCTCGCCCATAGACACTACATCCCGCTTGGAATTCTCGAGCACCGGAGGTCCGGGCTCCCCGGGGGAGAAGGAGCGAGACAGGTAGAGGGAGAGAAAAAGAGAGACACGCACCCCCCCTCGAGAGGTGCAGACGGTGCAGCCCTCGACGAATCCTCGCGACCTCCCTCCCTGGAGATCCGTCAATTCCGAAACCCGGGTTCGCGAGACCACCCCCTGGGCAGGTCCCCTCCTCGAAACTGACCAGCGAGAATTTCATCGTTAAAAGGAGTCGATATCTAATTAAAACCCCGCGAAAGAAAAGAAAAAAGGAAGGAACATTGGAAAAAAGGGGTAGCACCCGCATCGCAGCCGGGTTTATCGACGTCGAGGGAAAATCCGACGTAGCGAGGGTGAGCTCCCCCCGGCGTCGATATCTCCTGGGAACTTTCTCCCTCGGTGCTGAGCGCCCTCCGAGTGCACTCTCCCGGGTCCCGGGAGGAGCGCGGCCCCGCTGCCTGGGGTGGCGGGTTCCACCCCGCGACCGAGCAACCCCCGGGTAGGGGTGACCCGTGGCTCGTGTACGTGCGCGGGTGCAGCCGCACCGGCGGAGAAAGTACCGCCGCGAGTCAAGGCCGAGCCGATGCAGCGGAGTCCCGCATTACCCCCGGCGGGCCGTGGGCCGATAGTGGGGGCAGACCTTGTCTGTCCGTCGGGCCTCTCCGCCGCGTCGACGGTCGATAGGAACCGTCTGCGCGCACGCGCGCCCAGAGGCTCGTCAGCTGCGTCATCGATTCCCGTCCCCCGCCGCCCCGCGGCCCGGCGACCCAGCGCGACGCGAGCCCTCCTCCTCCTTCCCCCCCCGGTGCATCCTCCGCCCCCGGTGACGCGACGGAAAATATAATCGTTACGAAATCGGGATAAACGTCTGCTCCGATTTTTATCCCCGTCCCCCGGTACCTAGGAACTCGTCACGGGAATGCGAAAGAAAAATTAAAAAAAAAAATTAAGAGAAGAAATTAACGGAAAGGGTGCAAGGGTGGCGACGCGCCGCGACGAGAGCGAGGGCGGACATGCCCAAGGGTGGGCAAGGGGGCGAACCAGCTGACGCGTCATTCGCGGCGACAAAAGATAGAGGGATTTGAGGGGGGAGGAGGGGGTCGCACGCTCTCCCAGTTCAACCCCTGATAAGGCGCTGCGAGAGGGTCGTGGGCGTGGATGGACGTTCGCGCGGGCGGTGGTCTCGTCGTTTCCAGAAACCCAGGTTTCCGGCGGCGCGTCTCTTCCTGGGACGTTAATTCCAGGTCGAGCGGTCGATCGTCGGCCGAGATCAACGATCGGGGACCGTGGAGGGGCCGTGCGGGGCGAAGGGGGATAGGGGGAAGCGGACCCGAGGAGAGGTGCACGCATTCCCGAGGAGGTGAGCGCGTGTAATCTCTCTCCCTCTCTCACTCTCGGCGCGACGACCCACTGGGGGTTCTTCCCTTCGAATTGGAACGAGCCCGTACCCGCTCGGACCCGCTTGAATCCGCTCGTACCCGCTCGAATCCTCTCGAACCCGCTCGAAGGGAGACGCATCTCTCATCGATTGGATTGAGGTAGGTGGTACCACTCTCGAGGGAACCTTATCCTCAACCTCGTCCTCGGGTCCCCCGACCCGTCGAGACTTTTATTTCGGACCAAGGCCACGCGTTTCCTCGTGGGGGCTATCGCTCCCTTTCCCGACTAGAGCCCTGGCCTTCCTCAATCGAGTGCTTAGGGAAAACAAGAGGGAAAAGGCTCGTTCCCTCGCTTCTCGTAGGGGAGAACACGCCTACGACATCGCCGCGCGATAAGCGTCAGGAGAGAAAAAAAAAAAAGAACGCAGATAACGTTACGAGGCACCGAGGCTCGTGCAGATTGGATTTCTCTCGAGATCGATTCCACGGGTAACGCTCCACTCCAAGAAATATATCGCGCTATTTTTGTTTATTTTATATTATATTACATTAATTAAAATAATTAAAAAAAAAAGAAAAGGGACTTCGTCCCTGTCTCTTGCTCGAATTAATACCCGATGATTCGCGCCGGATATCTGTCCGAGATAATTCCAATGGGTCTATGATGGCATCGACCGTCGTCCTTCTTCCTCGTATCGGATGGGAATGCACGTACCTTGATGTGGTAGGAGTTGAGCTTCGTCCTGGGAAGGCTGTTGAAAGCACTGAAGTCGAGCCTGCGGGAGAAGATCCCATTGGCGTTTCCGCTTTGCCTGCAACCATAAAATCCCACAAGTTAGACTAATCAAACCAATCCCGTCCGAGGCACTTCGGTCTCGACTATCGGCGATTATCGGCCGAATCCGTCGAAGTCGATCGCGCCAAAGGACGGTCCGTCGTTACGCAAACTAATTATAAATTCAACGAGCGCCGGACACACACACACACGGGGAGGATGTCGGAAAAAACACGCATCGTACGCGAAGACCGTCACGTCGTCCATTCCGCGAGGTGCACCCCACACGTAGGTGGGAGCCACGGCCTTCGGATAGTGACACATCGTGTTTGCCCCTGGAATAGATTCTCATTTTTCTTTTTTCCTCATTTTTTCTTCTTTATTTCCTATGCAGTGGCCCGACACGCGTGCACGCGCGCGTGTCATCAGTCTCGGATGCCCTTCGGATGTCGACCGCAATGTCGGCCCGAGGCTAGGATCCGTCACCGAGCAATAACGATTCCGCGAACGGTCGCAACAGTTGCAGCCAGTCGGCAGGCCCGACTCTCTGTGCTCCTAAAATTCCTAAATAAATCATACGCCGTAAATATTTCACGAAGTTGCGCGAAAATACCGCCGCGACGAGGCGGCACTCGAGCGCGACTGGATTAATTTAAAATGAAACGTGACACCCACCGGGGTATCCCTTCCCCATGAAGGATCTATCGATCGATTGATCACTCCTCGCGCCTCTGTTTACTCGAGTAGATGTTTACCGGGGAGTCAAATAATGCCCCAGGAGGAAAGCCGCCGACGAGAGAGCGACCGTCCGACCGGGACTTACGTCCGGTCGCAGCGCCGGGGAATATTAAGAGGGGTCCTTATCGTTTACGGCGGCGCGAATTAAGGCGATGCACGACGTAGAGGCCGCGTGCGGAATAAATCGGCCTGCCTCGAATCTCCGCGATCTTACGTCTCGCCGATAAAGCCGGGGGACAAAAAAGAAATATAGGAAAAATAGACAAGAAGATCGGAGGTGAAACCCGGTGTACGCCCGCGTATCGGGGTACGGAGCGTGTCTCCGGGAATACGAATGTAAATGAAGGATGACACGAAGGTTAACGCACGCCTGTTTTTTTTTTTTTTTCCCGGGCAAGAGCCGATCAGTATGTACTCCGCGAAAGTCGAGTCGGGTATCCAAGGAGAGATTTCCGAGTACGACAATAGACCCGAGAGCTTGGCAACAATTGTCACGAAACGTCCGTCTGGCCTTGGAGCGTCTCCGGCGCCATCGAGCGCGCTCCTCCATTCTTCCCGCGATTATTAATAAACATTCGCGGAAGAACACAGGTAGACGCGGAGCGTTATCGTCCCATTACTCCGGGTGCCTGAGAATCGAGAGAATAGAAGAAAAAAAAAATCGGGGCGCAAGCGTTATCGAGCGCGACACTCTTTGTCGCTTAACACGGTCGATTGGCGTTTACGCCCCGCGATGGCCGAGGCTCGACAATAGACACACAGGGGCTTGGCGACAATTGTCGCGAGCGTCGAGATCGCGCGTCTGGCCTTCGGGCCGCGCCGGGGAGAGCGTCGACTCCCACCCGGCGTCTCCCAGGTTTGCCACGGTCAAGGCTGCGGCCGCGTCGCGGCGTCAGGGCCGGCCCTGGGCGCCGCGCTCGCCCGGCGTCCCCCCGACATCCTCCGACCCAGAAGTAACCGCACCCATGCCGAGAAATATCGTACCTCTTAATAATTCCCGCAATTAATTCGAATCCCTCCCCTTGATCCACGCGTCGCTCAAACCTAGACAATTTCACTTCCCGAGATTTATCGCCACGCGCGTTAACCCCTTCGTCAATTTATCCGCGAGATTAAAATTGAGAAAAAAAAATTTCGCTCAAGAGGGGGCCAAGCGTCTTAGACGCAAAGGGTTAATAAACCCAATTTTGAGCGCTCCTGTTAAACGTAAGAATTTTTTTTTTTAAGCAAAATCGTGTGATTTTTAATTTTTTTTTTTTTTTTTTTTAATTGAAGAGTGGGAAAATTCTTTGACTGGATGTGTGTCGGATGCGTGGGCGTAAAAAACGCGCACATTCCCCCGTTGCGCTCCGGGGCTCCCCTCGCAGGCCGCGTCCATGCTTCTCTCCTTCGCGCCTACGTTCGCCCCGCCCCTTCCACGGATCCCGACTAGCAGCCTCCGACGGCGGTCCAGCGCGCGATCTCGGCTTTACGCTGACATAAGAAAAGGGCTGCGCGCGCGTTCCCATTCATGGTTTACGTCGCGCGACCTCCACCTCCGTAGCGTTCCGAGAAATCGGCCGCACACATTTTCCAACCCGCCGCGCCCAATCCGTCGCCGGGTCTCTTCCCCAAAGACCGGGGGAAGATCTTCAAAAAGGGATAATCGAGGTCCTCGCCCAAATCGAGGAGAAAAGAGGACGGGATACTCGAGGAGCCGTCCCCAATTCCTCGGGGTTCGTCCTTAAAGGAAACGTATCGAGGTCGGCGGTACCTTAAAGGGAATAGGGTCGTCACTTTTTTTTTTTTTCACCCGATCGAGCATTTCCCGGAGTCGAGATTTTTCCCAGGAATCCTATCAGTCTTATCGCGTCGTGATTCGTGGCGATCTAAGGGCACGTTAACAAGGGGACTATCGGTATGTGCAATAACCTCGCTTCGCAGCTTTTACGCGAGGAAAAGGGCCGGCGCGGTCTCATTCATGCGTTTTACACCTGCGAGTCACGCGGACCTCTCCCCTCGAGAATGTCGAGAAAATTACGGAGTACCGACGCGACCGAGTTTTAAAAATTTATGGGAACTCCCTTAGGAGATAACCCGCGCACCTTGTGCACGGAGACGCCCTAAATAATTACGAATTGCGCGGAGAAATTTTGTCGAAAAATCCTGAGTGCAACTTGCACCCGCGGCCCTCACTCCGCGTACAGTTGTAGAGCCTCGGACTACGCGCGCTCGTGGTTTCATTCATACTACTACGCCTACGACCCACGTGGCTTCCCTCCTAGGACGCCAGGAAAGTCACCGGCAACGCGTCGAGGTCCCTATCGGTAATCGATACGCCGCTGATTCCCCGACTAGAAAACATCCATGACACCGGAAAAAAAAAAAAAAATATATACATACAATATAATTTGCGGGAATATGTATTTAAAAAATTTTTATTTTCTTTCATATCAGGGAAATTCTCAATTTTATTCCCTCGAGGTCAGGCCGCGCGGCGACATTAAAATATAATCTCCGCCCGAGGAGGCGGATTGGTATCGATTCGAGCCTGGAAGGATTCGCGAAGAGAGCGGGCGTAATCTCGCGTCGTAAATATACGTTTCACCCGCGCGTAAAAGGGCTACGGGTAGAGCGTGCGCGCGCACCCATTCATACCCGAAGCGGGCCACGCGGCCTCCCCTCGTAAAAGGGCGGGCAACCCCGAAAACGTGCGGAAAAGCCCCCCGGGACCTCTCTCTCTCGCTCTTTTCGGGGATCGATATAGGAATGATGCCGGGAGACAAAGGAGCCGCGCTCCTTTTTAAGGCCCGATATACGTACCGCGGGACAAAGGAGCCGCGCTCTTTTCGGGAATCGATATGACGGCGAGTGGGACACAAAGGCGACGGCGCTCTTCCGCCGATCGATGTATAACCTGGATTAATTGTTAGAAAAAAAAAAAAATAATAAAATCAACGCATCCGTCCCAAATCAGAATAATGAATCACCGACAGGGTACAATTGCGATAATTTAATTGAGACGGGAATAGTCGCCCTCCACCCGTTGACGGGGGAGACAAAGGTGGGCGCCTCATTCCGGCAATCGATGGCGGACAAAGGAGCGCCCTTTTTGACAATCGATACCGAGAGGTCGAGACAAAGGTGGTCCCTCGATTCACGCGACTCGTCGAAAGGACTCGCACGGAGTTTCTTCGGAATTTGAGAGCGTACTCGAGGTGTGACCGTGACGTATGTAGCAGAAATTGAAGCCTGCCGTGACACCGAGATAGGGTATCGCGACAGAACGTGGGGAATGCCCTACGTAGACAGGATCCCACGAGCAACTCGACTCCGCTCGGACTTGGCGTCCCTTTAAAGATCGTTCCCCTCGACCGAGTCGAAATTTCCAAATTATTCGTGCCAGAGAAAATCTGAAATCTGAAATCCGTTCAGGTGGCACCCCAAGACTCCTCGCGTTAAGACGTCAGAAATCCGGCGGAAAACTTGGCCTTTAAAGCCGCGGTCGGACAAAGGACCACCACCCCATATACGCGGCGGGAATCGATTTTAACTGTCGCGGCGGGGACAGGCTCCGAGTCGCCGACCAAAGGCGAATATTCCAGAGATACAATTATACCGTCAGAAAATTGAAATGCAACAAAAAATCGCCGGTCCACCGGGCAAAGGTTGCAAAAACTCAAGAGGCTGAGCGCGACCGCGGAACAAACAACCCAATTATCACCTAAATCCGTTATTTTAATCAGCCCGGCCCTGCCAATCAATTCCCGTTATCAATAAAAATTGCACTTTATCGTGTAACGCCTGTCACCGGCCCAAAGTCAAAACTGCCAAAAAAAAAAAATTCCATCTCCCTTGTGCTACCTTAACCCGCGGTCCAAGACGACAGCAGCATCCCATTACCTACAAGTGATAACGCGATAACGTCCGTAAGCTCCTAAAAAAAAATCCACGTAAAATCGTGACATTCGCGAAAATCGTGATAAATCGTGATTAAATGAGCCAATGTGATAAAACGTCATGGAGTGGGTCAACAATTAATCCCGTGAGATTTTCGTATATCCTACGCCCACCTGCAATCGTACATACAGGAGTGCCGAAAGATGGGCTTTAAGATGCCCGCGAGACAAAGGACCGCGATATGCAGGGGCCGATCGATTTTAACCGTCGCACCGTCGTCCCTCTCTCTCGCACGGGCGCGCGTGGCGCTCGGCCTCTCTCTCTCGCTCCCCCGCCGCGGGAGGCGGGCGCGCTCCGGTTCCGCTTATCCGAGCCGGCACGTAATTCGGCCAAACGCGCGGCCAAGAATTATCCCCGATTACCTCAACGGCGCCCGACTCGCCCCTCCCCCGGAGTCGGCCCGTCCCGTCCCGTCTCCGCCTTTCCCGCCAAATATCCCGCAGGGCTCCAAGGGGCGGAAACAAAGAGAGCCCCGGGCCGTCTCGCGTAACGGAAGAGCAGGCCGGGGGGAATCGAAAGCCGACACGTGGAGGAGGGGGGCCCGGGGGTACACAAAGAGCGCGAGACGAAGGAAGAAGAGAAAGAAAGAGCGACCGGTAGAAAAGGAAAAGGCAGTTCCTCGGCCCCCCTAAAAAAGGAGTCGAAAGGTGCCTCGAACCATCTCCCTCTCGCCAAATCACGTTTCCCCCCGATATTCGCGATTCCTCGGCCCGGTCGTACCTGGAGGCTTGAGAACTTCATAAAACAAAAAAATAAAAAAAAAACAGGGTTACGCAACTCCTCACGGATTATCCCCCATTCCGGAGGAATCCTCACCTGCACGCTCCGACACGTGCGACCCTCCTCTGTCGGTTCTAAGTAAATCTCGTTTCCCGAGATGATGCGTGTAGAAGCGGTTGGGATTAAAATGGAAAACTCCCTTCGAAGGGTATACCAATTTCCTCGGAATGTGAAAGGAAAAGCGGACCTACCTCGCTCGGTCGCCGAAGAAGTCGACCTTGCTGCGCTTCTTGACGATGACCTGGGGCTGGTGCAGGGGGCTGACGCTGGGCTCGCTGGTGGCGGGAGGCGAGCTGGAGCCGGTGCTGGAAGAGAGCGAGCCGGCGCGCCCGCGACCTGAGGCCGAGGCGTCGAAGCCCTGTCCGTCGGAGCCGCGGCCCGAGCCGACGGGGCCGCCGCCCCCGCCGGGGGCGCCGATGGAGACGGCGTGGCCGTGCCCGGTCGGCGGGCCGGCCGACAGGGCGAGGCTGGGCCTGGTGTTCTGCCGGTTGCGGCGCTTCTTCTTCTTGGCCTCGGCCTCGTCCCTGGGGGCGCCGGGCGCGCTGCCGGGGCCGGGCGGCATCCAGTCGAGGTCCTTCTTGAGGTGGCCGCGTCCGCACCTGCAGCCGCAGGCCTTGAAGGCCAGGTCGTAGCCCTTCTTGGTCCAGAGGTTCTGGTGGCGCTGGCGCTCCGACCAGCTGCGCGCCCTTCCGCAGCCCTTCAGGTAGGCCAGGACGGTCTGCTCCCAGGCGTCGAAGCACTCGCGGTGCATGAACTGGCCGACCGGGCAGTTGTCGTTGTTGCAGGTGACCTTGACGGCCTCGTGCAGGGCGTTGACGCGAATGGGGGAGTCGCCGCGGAGGCACTCGCCGCTGGGCAGGCAGCAGTGGGTCGCGGCGGGGGAGCCCACCCCCGGGACGCCGCCCTGGCCGCACCCGGCGAAGCTCTCCAGCTCGCCGCCCGTCTCCGGGGAGCCGCCGCCGCCGCCGCTGTGGCTGTTCGCGTGCCGCCTGGGGGCCATTAGGGGGATGCCGCGTCGAACCGGCCAAAGTCTCGGGGGTTGGCGGAAAATCGTCGGGAAACCCGTGGTCGCGCCGGGGGCGCCTATCCGCGCATCCTCGCCTCTACTCGAGGTCTCTCCCGGTCGGCCTCGGCCTCCGCGCCCTCCTCGAGACGCTCCGAGGCGCCGGGCGCTCCGGGAACGAGCCTCGCTCGGTCTCCTCCCATTCGAGCCGGTCGCGGGGCCGCGGACCACGTGGCCCTCGCGAGGGCCGGACACCTAACCTCTCCCGTTTCTTTGTCCCTGGCGTCGACGCCCCTCGGTCCGCGACGCAGGCGCCCGATCTCAGCGGGCGGCGCGACGCCGAGTGTCAGGGTCACCGCCGCGCCGGCCTAGGGGTAATTCGATCGAAGCCGGAGACCGCCGCCCCTCCTCCTCCTCCTCGCTCTCCCGGCGGCCGGATAGCGTCGTCTCTCTCGGCGCGAGCGCCCGCCTTTGTCTCCCGAGGCCCGAGCCTCCGAAGTTCGCCGCTGCCCCCGTCGGGCGCTGCCGGCGCTACGTCGACGCGGCCGGCGAGCTACCACGCGATGCGCTCGCCGTGGCTACCGGCGTCCGGGATTCACGTGACCCGCGAGGTGGAACGACGACGCCCCGAACTCTACGAACTCTAGGAACTCCCGACGCGCCTAATATCTCTTTGTCTCGCGACTCCGCGCGATCGGCCGATGCCGGTGTTCCGAATCTCGCCGCAGTGGCGCTCGATTGCTCCCGGAAACGCCCCGCGACCCACTCCCCGGGTCAAAGAGACGCGACGTTCGGGTAGCCCTCTTCTCTCGCGACTCTCGCTGGACCTTATGCGCGCACTCGGTAGACGCCGCAGCTCTCGACCGCTAGCCGCCGCTCACTGAAGCTCGGGTGCCGCGCCGAGCCGCCGCGGCGTGCCGGCTCCGGGGCTCCGCGCGAGCAAGGGCGAAAGTGAGGCCCCATTGGGTGAAAGCGAAAGCGCGTGGTGGGGGTCACGGCTAGCGCGCCAATCGATGCGCGCCGCCGGCCGGCACTCGAGCGCGGCTCGCCGCCGCCGCGGTCGAGCGCGATCGCGCCTTCGCGGCGTACCTGCGCACCAGCCGGTGCGCAGCGACGCCGTTACGCACCGGCGTGTGTGCCTCTTTGTGCCTTCGCGCGTCCCTCTCCGTCGGCTTCTGCTCCGGGACTCGACGCCCCTCGACCCACACACCGACCCACACGCCGACCCACACCTATGCACCGTTTGCCCGCGGCTTTTCCTTTATTTTTCGGCCTCCCGAGACCGCTTCTCGATGTTTTCGCTCCTGACATTCCCGCGGCCTTGTCCGACGCTCGGTAGGTCCTCGTCGACTCGATAACTCGACTCGACCGACGAAACGTTTGCGGCGTCCCCCGAGCCACCTCGTGGATTCGATCGAGCCCAGCCAAACCGTCGGATCGACTCGAGATCGACGGCTTCGGCGGCGATTGCGTCAGCCGATACATCGTATGTACAGGGAGGACATGAATCACGCAGGGACGCCGCGGAAGGCCGGGAACTCGGACGCGGCTCTTGGCAGACCTCCGCAAGTCCCGCCACTCCTGAGGTAAGCTCCGGCCAAAAATATTTATCAGGTTTTTATCTCTTCCAAGCCGCAAAAAAGAGGCCTTCGAGAGACGGCGTCCTACTTTCATCTACGGGAGAGCCACCTGACGAGCTCTCGTTGACTCAAACGTTCGGCCTACGTTTGCGCGCCGAATAAATAGTAATCCTAGAGAAACTCGAAATTAAATGCGCGCATATATACATATATTTGATATTAATCCATCTATCGCTTGACTGGATTTTTTTTAACGATGCCTAATGTCGTCTGCTGGGAAGACGAGCCGAAATGGACCAGGCTAGAGGAGATAAACAAAGTTTGGGAGGTTATGTCTTCCGCGTTGCGTGCGGGCGGACCACGCATGCGCCCTTGGAGTGGCACGCGCACGTACGCACGCCAGCTGTCACTCGGGCTATTCTCAGAAAAAAAAAAAGAAAAAAAAGGCGGGCTGCCGGCGAGGACAAAGGGCGTTATCTTTCCCGGGCGAATCCACATTTCGAGACGGCCGTAATCAGCGGCGGCGTTGCGTCCGGCGGTATCGCTCGCTCGCTCGCTCGGGATTATATCACGTAACTCTGCAACCTGTTTATCTACCGTCGAGGCAGATTAGTGGCAGCTCGCGCGTTATTCGTCATTGGCGGCTGTTATCGTCCGGATGAGTCACGGTGTACCGATCGGTGCAGCTATTATGTGTGCCTATACGCGCCCGCGAGGAGGGCTCGCAGGATTGCGCGATATTTTCCGAGTCTCGAGAATCTTGGATAACTCGCCAGACGCGCACCAGGGTCCCGTGCACGTGGATAATTAAGCGCGTTATCCGATGCCGGTGCCCTGGCGCATACCGAATGTCGCGATAGCGTATCAAACCGCGGGGGCAATTAAATCATTCGGCGTAAACAAATGAAATGCTATCGCCGAGTGACGTAACGGCGGCGTTCATTCATGGCGCGCGGAAGGGGCGTGACGTCGGGGTTGTAATGATTTTTATTTCTCGTTTTGAATTTTTCAGCCCGCACCCTGGTTGGCGTTTTCGGAGCCGGATGGGATAATGGAATGCGTTTCTTTATGATGTTTGTCCGCTGCGGTCCGCGATCGATCGGAACGAGTCCTGCTGCCTTACTGGTACACGCGTTTGCCGAAACAAAGGTCCCCCGAGCGCCCTGACTGGTCCAGCGGGATTTGGGCTTTCACGCGGCCAGCTTGAATGAACGTTTTCGACCCCACACCTCGGCGTCGTTTCGATTCAAGAAGCCGATTCGGTAAGCAAAAAGAGAGTCGTACGCCTAATAATAAACGGCGATACGCCGGACCCGGTGGAGTCCTTTGTCGCGTAAAGGAAATCCGCTCGCAACTGCCGCGCGACCCAAAGACGCGCTCCGATCGTGGGGCACCCCTTTTTTAAATTTATACTACAAGGCCATTCTTAGTTGGCCTCGATACAGGCATATATGTAAGCGGAGGCAGCACGTGCTCGCGTATACACGGACCCGACATAATCCGATTTGAATGTGTAATTTTCTGTGTCACCGTCTCGTGATTTGACTTTATTACTTATGGAAAGCCGTATGGATTTTATTGGCATCTATTTTGAGGTGCCGCCGTTTGCCCGGCGGGACACTCTGGCTGTTAGGAATCCTAGCAATTTTTACGACCCATTTCTTTCTCGGCCTGTGTAACGCGAGAGCTGACGCGTAAGGCGCCGAGCGTGTGACTCGCCGTGCAGAGGATGTCCGTTATACTCGCTCATGGCACGACCAAAAAACACGAAAAGACCGAAGCGTCGGGCATCCCCTCTTTAATTTTAGTACAAGGCCAATCCCGACGGTCCTCGTTGCTCACGCTATCGCCATGCGCGGATATATATTCCTCTTTTCGTTCCCCGCTGGGGTAATAATCGGCCGCGCCGCCGTTCATATTTAAGTGCAATCTAAATAATTATCACCTTTCCGCGCGCCCTCGTAATTATTTGATTAACGGGTTCCGGGTGTTTTTTAATCGCCCCGTGATTTTTCCTCTCGCTTACGCGGTGTCTCCGGCGCGTTTGGCATTTTTTATTTTATGCTTTTGCATTCCCCGTAAGTCGGACCTTTTTCGAAGCGCGCCCTGCAATTTCGGTTGCCACGCAGCGGGCACGCATCGGGCGAACGGAGGATGTGGGGAATCTCTCTCTCTCTCTCTTTCCCTTTTTCTTTTTTATTTCCCCAAAATGACCGAGACGCTCCGAAAGACTAAATGGTCGAGCATCCCTCTTTAAATTTAGTACAAGGCCGATTTCAGCCAGGCCTCGGTACGCGTGCTATCGCGGTAACGCCATGCGTAAGTATTCTTTTTTCGGCCGGAGACGTCCGCGTCGGGACGTCGAGGGAAATGCGCCAATCGGACTCTATTTTATCCTACCACTCGGTAAGGAGAAAAAAAATATTTCCCGTCCACTCTTCCTAGTCCTCGTTTTGAGGATCTCGTTTAACTCGGCTTTTCGCGATTTTCGCGTTTTTTGCGATTTTCGCAATTTTCGCGATTTTCGCGATTTTTGCGATTTTCGCAATTTTCGCGATTTTTGCGATTTTCGCGATTTGAGGAGAAAATTCGAAATCGTATCGAGGCTCGCCGAGAGAAAAAGCGAATGACATTTAGAAGGGAAGCCGGGAATTTTTTAGCAAGTTTTTCGCGCACAATGGCGGCTCTTGCCACGTGCCGTAGGCGGGAACAATGGGGCTGCGTACAGGGAAGCTCGCCTGTGTTGGTACCCTGGGGTTGCATGGTACGAATTTCGTACGAAGGTCGAGGGCGGACATGCAGTTTGCAGAACGCTGCACGTAATGCGCAGTAGGGTACAGTGCGTGCAGTGCTATACAATTTAACCGAAATTGGAAGGCCTCGGGACATCGGGGTCCCACCCCTTCTAATGAGTTTAGGCGAGTGATCGAAATTGTAATCATAAGTGGGTACACGGGCATTAAGGAATTCTTTTTTTTTTCTTTCTTCTTACCCCTTTCAAGGGGGTGTACACACGTGGCAGAGTCGTGAGGTGCATGGGACGAATTTCCTGCCAATGCTGGCGGCGGACGTGCAGAACTGCACACGGTGCATGGCGCAATGTACAGGGTGTGCTGGGTAAAAATGCCACGGAAAAAATAACAGGGGTAGTTCAGGTTAGTTACTGAACTAGTTTTGAAGTAGTAGCGAATAGGAGTGGTTCTTGACGGTGAAAACAATTCCAAGCCTCCCACAACCTCAAAATCGTAAAAATCATCATTGTCGTGATTTTCAAGTTTTTTTTTTCGTGATAATGAAATAATGTGAAAATTTGCAACAATCATTTTTATCTTGGAGGTAAGGTTTATGGCAATTTTCACTATCTTATTCGCAATCAGCGGGTTGGAGTGGACGGGTATATGCATTTTCAAATTAATGCGCTTTTTGGAGCTTTATCCGTACCGACGTGGGGAAGTGACGAGTGGATATCGATTTCTTCTTGTTTCTGGGTTCTTAATTTTTATTCAGAATCCAATCCATCGCCGAAATTCCCCTCTGCTTGCTGCGTCGCAAATCCGGCAAGCATTTAACACCTTTCCAAGGAAATGCGCACGTGCCAGTGCCGAGGGGCGCGTGAGGAGAATTTCGTAGGAAGCATGGGAGGGCGGGCATGCAGCGTACAGAGAGTTGCACGTAATGCGCAGTACGCTGTACAGTAGGTGCACCGCTCTACAATCCGGCTGCAATTGAAGGGCGTCACCGGGAAACCACTACACCAGACTATACCCTTTCGCCAATACCCCCTGTTTACTCGATCGGCTCGTAAACACTGTCGGCCTAAAGAAAAAAAAAGGAAAAAAAAAAATCCAGAATGTCTGGATCCACTCGTTCGTCTTCGCAAAAGTACTCCCAGACACGACGCGCGTAATTTCTCGAATTCTTTTTTTTTTTCCCGAGAGAACGTCGAGGCGGAATTTTCCTCCCTTTTTTTCGGATGGCTTTTACATCGCGTTGATATCGAATCAGCGAGCCTCCATGCTTTGGGAAATTCCCGGGACTGCGGGAATCGCGTTTTTCATTACTCTTGAGTAAAGGGTGCAGGGACGCGGCAGAGGCATCGAATTTATTGCGAAATAGGGACAATGCGGCTGGATGGGAAAGGAGCGCATGCGTCGCCCTCCCGTGCCGCATCCATGGGTATATATATATGGAGATGGTCACGGGAGGATGGCACGAGCTGCGAAGGTCGAGGGCAAAGGGTATAGGACCACTGTACAGAGCGTGGTAAAATCGACCGATCGCGACCGCGTTTGCAAAAAAACCCGTCACTAATGGATAATCGAAGAACGAGGGCGAGGGACTTCCAGAGGGGGGTCGCGAAATGCAATTATGCGCAGACTGACAAAGAAGTGGCTGGTCGAAATTCCAGTCTCGGCAGGGTGAGTCGTAAAATACTTGGCGTAGATAACTACCGGGCCAATATGCATAATAATCGAGAGGAAAAAACTATGTTTATTAATAGCCCGGTACTCGACGTGTATTCAACCCTGACCGGGAGGCGGTGCCGCCGCGGCTGGCACCGCCATTACCACCATTACCACCGTTACTACCACCATTACTACCGCCATCGCGACCACGGTTAGCGAAGGTATTGCCAACCGTGGCAGGAGGTGTACACTCGTAACTTTCGATTTCGGGTCGCGCGTGCAGCACCGGTGCATGGCGGTTAAGCGAACTCCGAGCTGCAGGCTTCGGGACATCTCCGTAAGGCTTCGCCGCGGTTTCTTATCGGCGACCTCGATGTTCCTCCCCTGGGAGGGAAATTCGGTTCTGTCGAAATCTTTTTGCGAGAAATCCCCGGGGGACTCCCTGCGCGTTGACTTTGAGCCCCCGTCCCGTTTCCTCGTCTCGCGATGTCGGATGAATAAAATATTAGCCCATGGCTCGGCCGAGGGATTGAGAAGGACGCGAACCGTCGACGTCACCGCCCAACGCATCGCTATTCGCTATTCATAGTATACTAGCGTGGCAGTTGCATAAAGCCGTTGGATACGTTGACCCTAGGCGTTACGTAATTCGCGTCTAGTGCCAACTATCGGCCGTGCGATAACACCGCCGGCTGGACTGCGACTGGCCTTCGCTCCCGTACTATGCCGCTCTAGTGGGAATAGTAAGCTCGTTTCTCCGTATGGTGGATGCATGTACCTGGGTTCACGGAGGTACGGAGGCGAATGGAATCGCTGCGATGCCGCCTTTCGCTCGCCGCCGCTCCTGCGAGATGAAAAAGAGACGCCGAATGGGGCTCGGATTTTGGGAGGGGAATTTTTATCATCGACTTTTTTTTTTTCTTTTTCTTTCACGTGACACGGGGAAAAAAATGTATTGCTCCGAATGGTACCGAAGAGATATCCGGGTAATTCGTGGAATAATTAAATTCGACTGGAATAAATTGAACGGGACGTTTATCCGGAATTATCGGAATTTTTATTTGAGGTTATTGGGACATTACGTGGAATGTAATTTGTAGTCGCGATTATTAGAATCGATGATTGAACACGCGTCGGTGACACTCACGGCGCTCTTCCCTGGAATCACCGTCACCGCAACTTGCACGGCTATTCGCGCAGCGTATTATCACGCGTACCGCTATTTCTCAGACGGTCGTGACAAGAATGCAATTGCTTACTGTACATTTGACAGCGGTGCCGAGCAATTTCTGCCGGTACTCCTCCGAGCGAATTATCGGCGCTTCGGGATCTTTCGCGCGAGCGGCGTTCCGATTGGCTCCTTTGTGGGAGCAGGAAACTCCCCGAAGGCGAATTTATGGAAATGCTCACGTACGCAACATTAGCGTACGCGCCTATTTGTTTCGCGGAAGTGGCTGATAAAGTTCCTACCGTACGGTTCCAGGGGAAGATACGAGCGATACGTGCCCCGGTTCTTTCTTTCTCTTCTTTTTTTTTTTTTACTCCTTTATTACCGCCCGAACTTTTAGTTCGGAGTTGATTTTTGGGCCGTGCCTCGAAAGCGGAACGATCTCGTTGCGGCATTCGAGGGGGAAATTATTTATTATTTTTATTCCTTTGTTTTATCGCCGAGCCGAATCGTTGGCAGATAAAATTGCGGGGACGAGCCAACACGCGTGTCCGACTCGTCGCGTGCAGCTTGCACCTGGTGAGAGGAGCTGGTTCTTCTGCATCCGTAGGAAAGTATTTTGTCACAAACTGTACATTTACCAGGGCCCGATAAAACTGGTTCGAGTCGAGGTACCAGTTTATTTTGCCACCTCGTGCAGCTGCCCTCGAGTCGCATCGGTTCGCCGGTCGACTCGGCGACGTCGTCGAGCTTTTTGGCGAACGTCGGAAATTCCATCGGCAAATTGCACGGTTAACGCGAACCGACTTTATACAGAAATCAGAGGCTGTTGCTCCCTGTATCTTACCGTACTCGCGAGCCATTGAGCTTGTCGGTGAACGCAGAAATTCCACCGATTGACATTTGCAGGAGGCTCGTATCTATCCAGCTGGAATTCCGACCTGCAAACCGTAACTTAGGGTGAAATACGTTTCTCGGCCCCTTCGTGGGCGAATGAGCCTTTCTGAATTCTTTTGATTAAAAAATAAAGGAATTAATAATTCCCTGATGTATTATATATATATATTTTTTTTTGAGCAGACGGTAATTGCGAGTCGGTATTTTTTAAAAATCTTTAAATTAAAAATTTATAGGTAGGTGATATATTGTATTTTCTCTGTGCAGACGACCATTGCTGATCGGCAGCACCTAGCAGCCCGTTACCGTCCAGGGACAGAATTCTCAGCGGGACGTTTCCTGAGAGATCGCTGCTAACAAAACTGGGTTATCGTGGAGAGATCCGCTCGACGGAACGAATACGCGTTCCGCCACTAGTTCCACTGGTTCGACTGGTTCCACCGGTTCGAAAGACGGGGTCTTGCTTAAGGCAGAGCCGCCGATTTCGTCCGGCTACATTGGGAGACCGTCTCGGATGCTGGCCTGGACCGCGGGAAGATGCGAGCAGCATGCGAAGGCGGCCATCTCGGACCCGAAGAGACGGACCGGTCCTGCCATTATTTCGAAAGTGGATCGGCTCCGAGGAGACCGCAGCCGCGACTTTTAGGCCGCTCGAAATATTCGAACCTCGGCTCCGATCCACGGGTAAACCCGACCTCCGAGGATCACCGGGCGAGGGGCGATACGTCATCGGGGCCCTGCGCGTTATCTCGAGATAATCCATATTTATGGGTCTCTCCTAAAAATATCGGGTCGGATCGGGGACGCGAAATCCTCAGCCGAAGATCCTCGGATCGGCGCGCGCAACCTTGGCACCGATTCCCCGTGTCGACGCTCGCTCCTCGCAGCGTGCATCGATTAATCCCGGAACGAGGAGGATATATTTATGCGTAGATGCGCCGTCTAGTTCCCAGTACGGGTTTAGGAATAAGATCGGATTTATCGAGGGGACGTGAATTTCCACGGCGAAATCGAAACCGTCCCTGTAATTACCGGTCGACACGCTGCGGGTGGTTATCCGTGTTAACGACATACGAAGAGAGAAGGGAAGACTTTCCGATCCGCAATAGATGCGTAACGTCGATAATTGATAAATTCCGTACTTTGCGCACCCGGCGCGCGCTCCGTCGAGGGTATCTGGATTTTCCGCGATCTTCTCTGATTTCCTGTGATTACCTGGGATTTGTTTTGACGGTCAAATCTAGGCCGACTGGTCGACGACCCGAGTTTCACCGTGGAGTTACGTTGTACCTCCTTACACAGCGCGAATCCCTCGTGACGCTCGCGGAAGGCTCGTCGCGTGACGCACCCTCGCCGTTTATATATGTAAGCCCACGTAACTTATCCAATGTAGAGGAACGTGTTTCGAGAGAGGAGCATCCGCGCGTGCGAGCCAATCTTGACCTAAGCTCGAGAAAGGCACTCGTATAAGAAGCAGAGGCGTCGCGACGAGTCCCCGAGTTCGAGGCGAGGAGAGCCGAAGGTGACTCCTCGTCGTGGCAGAATTTTCCATCCGCGAGAGCCCCGAGTCTCGGAATTTTCACCCTACCCGGGACCTCCGATTCTAGGTCGGAAATTGGGTCTTGCATTTCCATATCTTCCACTCGGAAACCTAAAGTGGGACTCCGTTCGAGCGGAGTCGGACGTGGACGGTTGAAAGGAGGTCTTGAAAGGGGGAACCGGGACCAAGGGTGGTCCGAGTTAGGGTTGCACGGGTTTACAAGGAAGGGACGGAATTTCGAGTCGCGGCGTTCGCGCGTCGAAATCTCCGGCTTCCTAGGGACCCTTCTTTTCTCCCTAGTCGCGTGCTCGGCCGAGTCTCTGGGGTGGCGGCCCGCAGACCTCCTTTATATTTAATTTTTCCATTCGCGGTCGTTGCGTAAAACCCGCGACCGATCCGAGGCTCGCTTGCGGCGAGGCCGGGTTTACCGCGAAGTCGCGCCGTACAAGGAAACGCTCGGTTACGCCGACGACAAACGGCGACGGCGGTTTCTCGCGGTAAACACGAGGAGTCATCGGTAGCGAGCTAAGGCCTCGGGGAGAGACCGCGGATGGACGTCTCAAAGGCGGCGAGACGAGGGCCGGTCCCTCCGGAAGACAAGTATGGCGCCGACTTTCGCGGCCGCGTCCCTCGCTCGGCCAAAAACTCCGGCCAAATGTTCGCGCACGTCGGAAACTCGTCCAGCATTACCCTCGGCCGTTTAACCGAGGAATCGTATGACTTAATTTCGGGGCTGATAAATATTTACGGCTTTTCAGGGGGATCGAGGGGTGTCACCTTCGGCGATCGACTCGAGCCGGTCGGCCGCGACGCGAGGCCCGACTTTTTCGACCGGAAATTCGTATTTACGTGAGTACGAGGTTAAAAGCGACCTTTGTGCGGCCGTGAATAAATTTCGCTTAGCCCAGGGATAGCGAGGAAGGCCTCAATTAGCGCCATTGGTGGAATACACCCCGCGAGGAGAAGTTTCAAAGGCCGCCCATCGGACCGGGGAGGCAAACGGAATCAAGAACCGGGAGTCAAGGTACACACCGAGCGCGACCATGTCCCCCGTCCTCTACCTCGGCAAGGTCCTCGCCGACGCGACGGGTGCATTTTTCGTCCTCGACTCGCACCAACCTACATATTCCACCGCGGAAAAGCCTTAACGCTATACCGCCTGTACTCGCCGTCAAAACACGAGATAACTCGGCCGCGGACGAGACGTCGGCTCCGGGAGGGAACACGTGTTCCCTCTGTGCCAATCGGCGTCGAGTTTCAATTCCTGAATCGTTGCGAAACACGCCTTCGCGCTATTATCGAATCTCTCCGTGACAACTCGGGCAAACACGGTCAGTGCCCAGGTGTAGGGTGTAGACGGCCACCGATGCGTGGAGGAAATCAATCCAGTTACATAACCCATACCACGTATTAACATATTCCCGCCGAAAGAGACGCATCAGCCTCCAGGGCATCCTGGACGCTTTTAACATTTTTCGCCCATCCTCCTCGTTGCAGCCGAGGAATTGCAACGGGTGGGGGGGGTGGGGGGGGGGGGAAGGGGAGATAGCCCTCCCGGGTTGGCGGTGCATGTGCGATGAGTTCACGCACGCGCGGACCCGCGGATAATGGGGGCCCCTCTCCCTTTTTATCCGTCGACGGGCACCGCCGGTTTTGCCCTCCCCTCCGCGCCTCCACCCTGCCCCCCTTCCCCGAAGGGTCCGCCCCCCCGACTCCCCTACATTCCCCACCGGCTCCGCCAATCATCCAAACTGCGCACCCCGAAACGCCATTGCCCCCCTCCCCCTCTCCCTCCCCCTGTCCTCCTTCTCCTCCTGAGCCCCGGCCGCTCGACTCGTTTCGACTGCATCAGGGTCACCCTCTCTCTCCTTTTCTCTCCTGTGCGCCCGCCGCGCGCTCCTTCTCGCTCCTTCGCTCTCCCGGCCGCCTCTTCCTTCCCCGTTCCCCGACCACCCACTCGGCCCGGCCGAACCGAGACGCGTAGTACGAGTTTAACCTTCACCGTGTCCTCTGCCGGGAAGCCGCACCCACCCACGACCCGGCGACACGCAATCGCTCCCCTCCGACCCAGTCTCCGACCCTGTCCTGGACGGGCGCGCCCGAAATGCGGCTCTACGCCGACGTTAGGATGCGCCTTCGCCCATGACCTCGTCCAATCGGACTGGGAGGGACTCCTACTCTAGGAGACGCGCCGCTATCCCGGACTGGAGTGAGACACCCGGTCTGTCCGGCGACGCGACGACGCCGGACCGCTAACGTCGCGCCTGGTCTGCCGCACCGCCGGAAACGGGATTCCGAGAAGATACGATGCCCCGAGGGAATAGGAACCTCGAGAGATCCGATAGTGCGACGATGCCTACAGGCACTCGGGAGGGAATGATATGCCGAAAAGGGAAATCTAGAGATTTTTATTCTTTGAACGGTCCCAAAGAAATGGCTCGTTAATTTGGAATGTAATTATTTGAGGAGGAGGTAACATGAATATGACGGACGAGGTGGTTTTTCGGTACCGTGACAACTTATTTCAAGAATGTAATTCTTTTTTTTTTTTTTTAATGAGATTTAATTCCTTGGTAATGGTGAATTTTTTTTTATTGGGGTACGTTTTTGGAATCGGGGAGGATGGGCGGTGAGGTCTCGGTCGATACCTCGATAACCTATTACTAGATCAACATGTCTTGTTGACCAAATGGCATGCTTAATGACACGCGTAACGGATTTAGAATTGTTAAGAGACTGGGCGTTGATGCATGTATGTGTAAACTTGATTGGGGGACGGTTGTTCTATCGTTGTGCTATCGAAATATCCTTGACTTATAAGGTGACCTCTTGGATATCTATGTGCGGTTAACCTCTCGTGACGCTATTATATTCCTCTACCTCCGGCAAATATTCAATAATACCTCACTTTCGAACGGTGTTTATCTCTCGTGGCGACGATTACATGCTTGTAAAGCGAGTCAATAAAACCGGGAACGCGACGTTATTCCATGTGTACGTGACTGTCGCTCTTGGGCGTCTAATTAGAACTTAAGCCGTTACATAAACTTAGGCTCTGTCCTTTCTTATGTTGACGTTGCTTCTGTCGATATCATTCAGCAGGTTTGCCCGTGACTCTTGGCATTTCGAGCTGACCGGTGGGTATGGACGCCGAGAGGGAGTGTCACTAACCTGACATTCCTCACCTCGTTGATAGGCCTTCGGAGAAGGATTCGGAAACGATAACGCATTCCTTCGGGTCTATCTTCACGCGTTTACGTCGCCCATCGCCTCGACTTGTGTCTGGTTGTAGCATATTTATTAAACGATATCACCGAACGCGTTGCAAAAGGAGCCGGGCACGCGCTCCGGAAGCACGCGATGGCCGCCATCTTGGTTCTCGTTCGCGGCTTCTCCCACGCGAGCGTTAAGTGCAAACGCTTAAGTCTGGCGGACAGGTATTATGGTAGCTGCACCGACGCTGTACCGGCGCTAAATATGCACATGCATATGCATTATCCGATAATATATTTATAATGCCTGGATATAATCGTCGATGTGGACGCGCTCGTAATAGCCGAGGGATACGAGGGACCTGTTTGTCGAGCTCGCGAGATCTCCCTCTCCCTCGGTCGGATATCCCGGTGGAAGAGCGTTACCATTGTCGTACCGCGAAAGATAAATGGCGATAGATAGCCGGCTCCCGAGTAGCCGGAGTTGCCGTCGCCGCTAAAATAAAGAATCGCCCGGCGAGATTTCGCCGAGGTGTGCGACGTAACGAGACGCTATATATAGCTCGCGGGAGCGACTTGTTTTTTCTGGAAAGGTCGCGACAAAAATACACGCCTCTTGATATTCGCCCGCGTCCATTCGATACGAGATATATAAGCGTGCGCGGACTCGCCGCAGAGATCGGGACGGGTTTACGTAACGCCAGCCTCAGCGTCGTTACTCATCGGCGGATAACCGAACCAAATATTTGGACGTTTAAAAACTGCGCAAATACCCTGTCCCTTTCTCGCCATTTCTCCCGGTTCTCCTCTTTCTCCGGCGCGCCAAGGTCAATTCCGCATGCGGTTACCGCATTGCTCTCGGCCCCTTCTCCATCTATCTTTCTCCCGGCGGCCACTGGGAGCGGAGAGCGTTGCGACACGAAACCCCAGACATTTCCCCGATGTTTTCCCGATCCTTCCCGCCCCCGGTCTTCTCTGTCACGCCAATGCGACGTTAATAACGTGTCGTATTTGATGGCATAATCTGCAAAAAAGCGGAGAACGTAAATGAAAGTTCTTCGGCACGGCAGGGCACGTAGTTATATCTGTAGTAACCGGATGGCGGTATTTTTAGATTATCAAAAAGAGCCGTATCTGGTTTGATAAAGGTCGCGTGCTTACAAGGTCCACGCGGTATCCCGGATAAATCGTTGGCCCCCTGTCGGGCCGTCTCTTTGTGCCGAAGGGAACGAATCGGGCACGATCCTCGGAGACCTACTGGCCCAGTTTCTAGTGCGCTTCATCCCTCGTATGGTTGCACCGCCCTGCACCTTACGTGACGTCATTCTCGCCCACGGGCCATTGACGGAAGTGCGCCCTTCGGTTCTGCCATATGCCCCTACTACGCATTTTGGGGAGCTCTCGGGTCTTGGTAGAGTTTCGCGCCAAGTACACCCGTGTACGTAAGCCTGTAATGGTGCAACGGTATAAACGACATGCCCTTGGCGATTTTGTGGCATGCAATTTTCTCATTCAATAAATGGTTCTTCCGTACCTTCGATGTTCCCAGGTGTGCCTCTGCCGTGGATTTCTTGTCAGCCGTATCGACGAGACGTTTCCGCGCTGGCTCCCCCAGCTATTCCTGAATGACTCGGTCCATTCATGGATGGAAATATTCGAGTCTCCTGTACTCTTCTCCCGGCCCCGAAGGACTACAGATTGCTGCATGAAAAATCGCCTTAATTGTCCATACAATGTATGTTATCGCGGCGGTACGTACGTGTACGTCCGGGCGTAAACACGTAGTCCTCTGCATATTAAAATAACAGGGGTCAGAAAGAGCAACGCCGATAGCCGTCGTACATATGTAGAAGTACGATAGGTCTCGATTGAAGTGTAATTAGTCATTATTAAGATAGCGTTACTTGACAGTTGCGTTCGGACTCTATTCCAGTATGGTTAGGCACGCACTCGTTGCGTACGACACCGCCTAATCTGCATTGCTATCTACTCCGGCTTGCCAAAACCTCGGTGAGACGTACGACCAGTGCTCGCGTTCTCGACTTTCGCTATTGCTGGGTGCATGTCGGAGCATTCCGTGAACCTGAGATATTTATAGAGGCTGGAATTATTTTTTTACTCTTTTTATTAGGCGTTACGTGAATGCTTCTCTGTAGTGGTTAGGCGGTCCGCGCTTGACTTCGCGTCGGGGATAAAGTTTATGAAATTCTGTCAGAGCGTACCCTGGATTATGCGTTTCCGGTGGCGCATGAAATGCGTAATTATTGTTTTGGTTCGGACATCTGCTGGGTGTACATCCGCTCTTCAGGGCCAGCATTCGTAAGGGGAGAATCGCCTCTGGGAAAGGGTGTATGGAAACCCGATAAGTTCTACTTGGGTTGGGTTCTTGCGCCCCGCTTTGCCTTTCTTCATGGTTTTGCACCCGACGACGTATAAATTTCTGGTCAGACATTTTTTCAAAACCTGGAAAGTATTGGACAAATGCAATTCAGATATGAATGCTTGCGAAATATGTCTCGGCGAGGCACTAGAATAGGGGGACGCAATTGAGTCCTGAGGCTCGAAGGCGGAATCTTCAATTCTGCTTTAATAAAATCCCTCCCGCACACCGAGAGCATTCGTGAAACCTCGGTTTTAAGAGCCAATCGACTATTCGCTAACGTCTCGTTTAAAGGAGCCTGCTACACGAGACCTCTTTAAACTCCATGATTTACGGCCTGCCGACGACGCTGCCACGTGAAGACCGCATCGACACCCGTGTTTTATTACAAACACCGCCGTTTCGTTAATACATGAATATTGGGATATAAATTATAAGTTCGGTACTTACACTCTGTGGAAGGGTATTAATATGATACAGAAGCTTAGATTCCATGCGGCGCCTGTAAAGGATAGTTCATAAATCATCCGCCATTCCTATGTGGCGGCAGCACGGAACCGCAACTGCAGGAGCCGCTGCATCAGCAGTCTCGCGATGCACTTCTATTCGCAATTCCTTCTCCGACTCCTATTTTATTCACGCCTCGAAGAGTGCATCTTGAAAATTAATAATAATATTAATTATCACCTGGCGTGGAAATACCATCGGTAAATGAAAGATTGTTTATCGACCTTGTGATGCACCGTTCGATAGCCATTGATTAGAACCTTCGAATATTTACCGAGAGATGACGGTAGTGGCGCGTCGGTTTCGCGCTGCTCTCTTGGCGCACCTCGGCGGCTCCGGATTGTCCGTCTTCGAGATCCTTGCCAATCTTTGGACCACTGCGGGCAGCTGGCATTGGCGCTTCTCGAATTCTTGATTTTGAACGTCTTCTACCACTCGGAGGATATGGACGGCGACTTTATTACACCGCTCGTAGCAGGTACGCCGCTTAGCGACCGCACGACGTAATTACGATGGACAGACGTCGATCGATTCGGTACATCGATTTCGATCGCGGTATCTTCGGAGTGCATGTGTGCATGGCGTTTGTATATACGCGCGTGCTCGGTTTGTACGTGGGAAAGGTTGGTAGATATTCGAGAATTCGAGGTTTTGGACCGGCGACAAATTTCCACCCAATTGGACATAGTTTATGTTATTCTGATTTTTTTTTATGGCGGTGATGAGTCGATATCAAATTCGTTAATATGTTTGTAATGGGTTTTTGTAGATGGGCACGTATAAGCAGTCGATGTCTCAAGAAAAGCTTCGGTACGCAGTAAGGAAGGAAAGATGCCGTCAGTCTGTGGAGACACGGTCGAGGCAACTGGTATAAAATATTTTTAATAATGTAACGGTTTCTGTGTCCTTGTTTATTTTGTACGGTTAATATTTTTATTATTCTAGCTGCACAAGCAGGTATCCCTGATGTTATATCCAGTACGGACAGTGTTGGTACCCAGAGCGATGTCTCTGTACATACTACGGTCTCTGGCAGGCCTAGAATGGATGTCGCTTGTGTCTTGGATCTACAGCAACCGGAACTTCTCACGCACCGAAAAAAAGCCTTAGAAGATGTTAGGCAAGCTTGCATTCTAGTAAACGCAAATATGCATCATATACAGGTAAATAATAACTCATTTATAATTGTAAGTTTTCTCTTTGTATATCGGTATCTTTAACGAGTCTTTTTATGTTTTGCAGTTTGAGAAGCTTGATTTTGGAGAAACAAATGTACTAGATACTTTCTATAATGCGGATGTTGCCGTTGTTGATTTAAGTATTCAGCTACAGCAGTCTGCACTGTTCTATCATTTGGGTGTCAGAGAAAGCTTTGGAATGAAAGAAAATATTTTGTTGTACCATGACGGAGATAATGAAGCAACAATTAGATTGAAGGTATTTTTGCTACAAATAAAAACAGTCTTAAGTCATTAATTGCCTAGAACTAACGATACCCATCTTGTAGCTATCATGTGGGAGCTACACATTTGTTTCGTACCGTGTAGTTGATTGCGGTTCCTGTGTTGCGACTAGTCCAACTACCAGTAGAGTTACCAGTGAAGAATCGGTGGATCCAAAGCAGCATCTCGTACAAAAACTTAAGAAGCTTTTTCAGGATGTGGAAATACAGTCAAAGTATAGTATTTTTCTGTAAAGCATCACTGGCTTATTTACAGTATCAAAATATTGATATGTTCATTTTTTACAGAGCTCATATGAAAGAAAAGTTCTTGGCTGATCTACGAAAAGCACGTGAGACTTATTCCGGAGAGGAATTATCTAAGGCCTTGAACAATATGCGAAAACGTCTGGATGATCCAAATGTGCTTTCTGGAGAAGTAGTATTGAATGTCCTTATTTCTTTTCGGGAGATTCAGGTAAGTTGCGTATACAGACTTCAAACAGTATTTAGGATATTTAGTTTTGTGATGCCACTGCAAAAAAATTTCTTTATCAAACATAGGACTATGATGCGATGGTGCAACTTGTGGAAGATTTAAGAACGATACCAAATCATAAAAATTATATAAACACTCCAGCTATTCGATACTTGTATGCCTTTGCTCTCAATCGTCGAAACAAGGAAGGTGATAGAGAAAGTGCTTTAAGAGTTATTGAAAAGGCCTTAGAAAAAAAAGAAAACCATGTACCAGATATGTTGTGCCTTTGCGGTAGAATTTATAAAGATAAGTTTGTAGAAAGCCGACATACAGATCAGGAAAGTTTAAAAAATGCTATCCGTTGGTATCGGAAAGGATTTGAGGTACAAAGAAATTCATTTTAATCGTATTCTGCATTAAATGGTGTCGTACTACATGAATCCGTGAACAATTGTAGGTCCAACCCAATGAGTACGCTGGCATAAATCTTGCTACGCTCTTAGTCATAGCTGGAAATGAATTTTCTAAGAGTGAAGAACTCCAGCATATAGGAATGGTATTAAACAATCTAATCGGCAAAAAGGGAAGCCTATCGAGTCTGAAGGATTACTGGGACGTTGCAACTTTTTTTGAGATAAGCGTTTTAGCAGAAGATTATTCGAAGGCTATTCAGGCAGCAGAATGCATGTTTAAATTGAAACCTCCAAACTGGTTAGTTTTTTACTTTAATGTATAGGCATATAACGTATTTAACAATTCAGTTGGGGCGTACTTAACACGAATGTGCTGCGTGGAAGTGTACACGTAGTTTACCTGGTATTATATAGTGATGAAAGTGAGACGCATAACTTGTCCGAGTGGCGAGTACCAGGAAGCTGCAAACCATTTGTCAATCCTACGTTACTACGGATCTAGGTACCTGAAGTCGACAATAGGCAACATCTCACTCATAGACAGATTTCGGAAAAAGAATGAAGAAGCTGAAGTTTCACCTGAGGAGCAAATCTTCAGTTTTTGGATGGATTACTTCGTAGAAGCTACAAACACAGAAGTTGGCGACAGTATTCGGTTCCCAGTGAGTTTTTGAATATGCAAACAAGTTATTACGAATAAAGTGGAATTAGTTCTATTTCGTTAGAAGATTTCGAATAATCTATCTTTTGCTCTATACTTATTTAATTATTTAACTTTGTAGCTTTTAGTTTTGGAACCAACTAAAATCTTAATGCCCAGCTATGTGAATGTAAACCTCGGAGCTGAAGAGAAATCCATCCAAATATGGAATTTATGTCTAGACAGTATGAAAAGTAACTGCAAACAGGTGCACGATTGGCTGTTTACGGCGAATATGATTCGCAGTGTAAGTCTGTATAAACGGGACGAACGTTGTCTATTTTTATACGTTCACCAAAATTCGGACGATTTCCAAATGTACCTACCATCCGTACAATGCAGACAAAGGTTTTACGACCTTGTCCTGGAAATGACCAGAGATCAGGAGGGTATGGTTACCGATTTAGATGCCTACATGACCGATGATCAAATGAAGGTATACCGCCTTGCACTATGTTATATGTTTTTATGCTACCCATAATTTTAAATCTGAAATCAGCATCGTTATATTTTAGTTTGAATATGAGTTAGACGACCAAAATAAGCGCATTGTCCTCGGCAAAGGCACTTACGGCATTGTATATGCAGCCCGCGACCTAAATACTCAAGTAAGAATTGCGGTTAAAGAAATTCGCGAACGAAATCTAGGAGACGTTCAACCATTGCACGAGGAAATTAAATTGCATAGCCAATTGAGACACCGAAACATCGTTCAATACCTAGGCTCCGTGAGCGAAGATGGATATTTTAAAATTTTTATGGAACAAGTTCCTGGAGGCAAGATTTACCATTAATTACTATTAATAAACATGATTATAATTGTTCACACCGTGAGCATTGTTAATACTTTTTTTTTTCCAGGTAGTTTATCAGCTCTTTTAAGGTCCAAGTGGGGTCCTTTGAAGGAAAACGAGTCCACTATATCGTACTACACGAAACAGATTTTAGAAGGCCTTAAATATCTCCACGATCAAAAAATTGTTCATCGGGATATCAAAGGTGGATTATTTAATTAAACGAAAAAATTGAAGGTCTGCTCATAAAATAAAACTCCCATTTTTCCTCTTTTAGGGGATAATGTACTAGTGAATACGTACAGTGGCGTTGTCAAGATATCTGATTTTGGCATGTCAAAACGTTTGGCTGGACTTTGTCCGAGCACGGAAACGTTCACGGGTACTTTACAGTATATGGCGCCGGAAGTGATCGATAAAGGTCAACGTGGATACGGGGCCCCCGTAAGTGAATTATCTTCTTGCAAAGTTAATTTATCTCGCGTTTAGATTGTGGCTTGAATTAACTAATTTTATGCAGGCTGATATCTGGTCCCTGGGTTGCACAATAGTCGAAATGGCAACTGGCAAGCCTCCATTTATCGAGTTGGGTTCGCCGCAAGCCGCTGTTTTTAAGGTACGTTTATTTCTTCGAATATCAGATCTATTTCTGTTACTACACTAGTCTTATATAATTTTAACCCGTTATTACGTTCTCTTTCAACAGGTGGGTTACTACAAGATACACCCAGAAATACCTTCGGAATTATCGGAGCGAGCTAAAAGTTTCATCCTTCGTTGCTTCGAACCAAATCCCGATCTCAGAGCGAACGCAGCCGAGTTACTGGAGGACCCATTTCTTACCGAGTCGGTAGATTGTTTTTCCCAAGAGATTATCCAAATGATAGAACGCGATTAATGCAATCCTGACTTTGTAGGAAAAAAAAGAGTTCGAGATTGGCAGCTCCTCCCGACTTCAGCAGGAGTATATCGGTTCCAGCAGAAAGATTGGAGAGATTGGGCAAGTGTGACAAAACGAACAATAATCACATCGTTGGAAATGCTTCTGCCGCGCAAACGTCACAGTCAGATGACAGGTAAGACAGGTATTTTTGTCCTATTGGTTTCCCTTGTCGATTAGAAATACATACGCATAGCCTCGTTTTTGTTCTTCATCTTATTGTGCTGCACTTCCACTCACAGCTTTGAAAGCAAATTAAACGAGACATTGTATGATGTTAAAAAAAAAATAGTATCTATATCTCCTTCGCCTATTAGCAATGCTTTTATGAATACCACATATTACTTGCGGCGAGGAAGGAATGCATTGTATCGCAAGTATTAACATAACAGTATGATACGCAGTGGAGGTATCACCAAGTCGAGTCCATTGAGGGAACGTAGTCCAGCTCATCTTCTGTCCCCTATCAGCATGCCTGCTACTGCCATGTCTTTTAGCAGGTATAGTGTATTATTTTCTCGAGCATGCCCCCTCACTTCCACGTAAGATATTCTTTTCTCACAGAAGTTGTGCACGATTCATTACACCGTCAATATATTTTTTTTTTGTTTTACTTTCGCCCGAAAGATTCGTAGACACTGTTGATACTTGATGTATGAAAGAAGGGCCGGACAAAAATTCCCCTTTCAATGCCGCAGTCGTAAAAGTTGTATTTTTGAGTGATTATCAAAGTGGAGACGTACTGCATTTGTAAAAAGCAAACAGCCTCCCGTATTTTAGCCTGTATTTGTTCATGCAACGTTTATTTGTCACGGACCTGAATCATTAGATTGCGCTTAAGTCTGTTTCCATGCGCATTTTACACGAAACCTGTGTCAGGCCTAGCTTGCGAAATTTGATAAGGAAGAATTTATCAAGTTAGGTGCGTGCGTGGTATCGATGTTCATGCTTTATGTTTCGTTAGTACAATTGGGAGCACGCCGTCTATTGAGACCAGTGAAACGGATACTCCAGGGGCACCTATGACCAGAAGAAGTTCCTCGGGTGGATTATTGTCACCTGAAGTTGAATTGACTGGTAAGGAAGATAATATTTAAATATGGGTGAAACTACATGCTGTATAATGTGCCGATTGTCAATGAAATAATCTACTTTCAGGTCAACCGGGCCAAAAGGCTGGAGAAGAGCAAGAGGGATTCTACTTACTGAAGAAAGATAGTCAGAGGCGAATGACTTTAACGAGAGTCTTGAGTCAGGACGAGGCGAAAATTTGTGAGGTTTGGATGCGAAGCATACACCAAGACGTTGGACAAACTGTTCTTCGAACGGTAAGTTAATTTAGGTTTATTTTGGACATGGAGTTTCTGGAAAAATGGCAATCATCCCGGTAATATTTGTCTTGTTATTCATAGAGCCATTTGGTGTTACTTATGCGTGGATTGAAAGACTACATATCGGAGCAAAACCAAGACGTCATCACAACCGCTATTCGTACACTCAAGGAAGAACTGGATTTTGATTCAACGGCTATTAATCATTTGCATCTGGCGATTTACTTGTTCCAAACTGCAGTGAACGAAGTCCTTAGAATGCACAGTATAAAACCACATTGGATGTTTGCATTGGATAATCTAGTCAGAAACGCAGTTCAAGCAGCTATCACTGTATTGTCGCCTGGTTTGTTTTACATGTCCTTAAACTTATTTTTGATACATCCGTCATCTCGAGTTTCCTTTTTTTTTTTAACATTGTATTAAGATATATTTTTGATATTTCAGAATTGGGGGCCAATTTACTCGGGCAAGAACGCGTTCGTTCGGTCGTTGATGGTCCAGAAGAAGGCTCGACGTCTGGTGTGTCGACTGTTAATTCCGTTAAGTCTCAAAAAACTGTGGATTCGATCGACAATAAATATTGGAGAGAATATCACGATCAAATGGGAGCTCTAAAAGCCGAAAACATGAAGTTGCTTCAAGAATTACTGGAGAGTCAAAAATCATATCAGACGTTGCTCCAGCAAGCATTAGAGGAGCAGAGAGCGCAAGTTGGCAGTTTAACTCAACTGTGTGAAATAATCAACAGGAGAACTGCTAGACAGGAATCAGGGTAATTTGAGAAATATTAATTCCATTTTTTTTTATCCTACATTTATATCCTTTTTTTTTTAAGGTACAACTCTACCGTGTCTGGTGGTGGAGGAGCCGTATCACCGCAACCAATTTTATTGCCCCAAATTAGCGTCACGGATCATAATGTAACACCTCGTTCAGATATTCGTCTGGTGGAATGGCTTCAAGGACTCGGCATAGATGAAGCATCGATTGACAGGGTACCTTTCATGATTTTAATTAAAATTTCTTGATTAGGTTGAGTAGACGGATACTTATTTTTTTTTTATTTTAACTACTAAGCTCCTTGATAGCTACTTTTAAATTTTAGTTTTTGTACGAGGAGTACTCACTCGAGGACATTTTGTTTCACGTAACGCGAGATGATCTTCACAGATTAGGATTAAGGTGAGACATGCGGACAAAATGTTTATAAGTTTATTGGATCGTGATGGATCATTGCTTGACATACGGTATTTATTATCCAGAGGTGGGATCGAATTGAGAATATGGAAAGCAGTTCTGCAGCATCGCAAGGAAAATGATATTTGATGCAAAAGAAAAGAAGAGGGATTTTCGTTGTACGATGAGGAACCGTCAATTATTTTTTTTTGGAGATTTCAGTTGGCGACTAATACGAGAGAGGGGAGCTAGCGAAAGAAGGCTCAATTATATTTGTAATATTCTCTATTCTACAAGGAGAATTGATTATTGCTTACCAGCCCGTACGAAAAATGGACACAAATGATGATGCTACAATAAAGCTTAGGAAGAAATTCGGATGCAGGGCATACCGTCCAATGAACCTGAATAACAATTACCCCTGACACAGGGAAATCGACTTGAAAGCCTTCTTTAGTGTCTTATCGCCGGTGGATGCAATACCGAGAAAGGAATATTTATTCTGTACACGTCGTACCTCTCACGCTATTTTTCAACATTGAAGATATAGGATCTGAATTTAATTTTCTATCTACGTCCTAGCGAATCGAAATAAGAATTCGTCTTCCAAAATGTAGGGAAAAAGAATGTAGACTAGAATAAGATGTGATAATCTCGTCGGGAGTCAGTCACGACCACTGCATTGCACGCCATCCGTTCCGCTAATATCAGAAAACTGATTAATTGCCAATGTGTAGAAAGCATTGTTAGTTTCAGAATGGCATGCGAATTCAGGCACTAACGTTACAGTGACTACTCACCATGGAACTGCTCTCATCTACAAAGCTATGTATATTAATGTTCCAGAATTAATATTATTAATAGTAGCAATAGTAATAATGGTAACAGAACTGATGTTACCATTATTAATATTGTCGAGTTGTTGCTGTTGTTAAGTGTAAGATGAATTTATAACAAATAAAATTAAACAATCCAGCAAGCGCTTAGTTTCCTTCCGTTCTATTATTTTGTAAGGAATAGGTAGATAAGGGCAAATTTCAATGGAATGTTATTCGACGGATCTGGGGGACTATAGCTGTATTTGGTTGTCAGGGCGTAATTACCGAGCTCATTACAGGTACGTAGGTGTCGGACACTCGTTTAAGTAGTGCAGCGACACCTGCGTCGATGGTTAGTGGCACTTGCACCTTAGAATTCTGGACATTTCTTGTGCATATTGATTGACTATCCGCCAAGTTGAGGTATGTTTAAATGTTAAGATGTTATTTCACGAATATTATTTGTCTGAAAAATAAATCGTCATGTGAATACGATTGTTAACGTGCGAGGGGGTCCCGGTTGGACCGTTGCTATGAAGTGTTTTGTCAGGTATGGCCGTATCTAATCCATACGAGCACATACGTACAGCACCTGCATGCTTCGGTATTCCAGGACGGTTGTCATAAATGTCAAAAGAAAAAAATACAACCACTAATTTCGTACCTAGGATAAGGAAAATAAAAATTAATCCATGCCGAGCTCTGTTGTACCCCTTTTATTAGACACCTGCGAACATGTCGGACGACGAAGGTAGCATTGCCAGCTTCATGATGGCAAAGATCACGAGCGAAGTCAAAATAGATGAAGGCACTAGATTAGAGGATTTTGAAAAATTCCTCGAGTCCATGTTGGAGTCTCGTGGTCCATCTCCGGAGGAGGACGACGAAGATGCGCTTGATAGAAAATTAAAAGGTATCGCGTTATACACTTTACACGTGAAATCAAAGGATGCGATTCTACATGCATAGAAAAAAAAAAAATGCAGATTTTGTACTGGAGCGAATCCCAGAAAGTATGTCTTAAATTTCTTAGAAAGTGATTCTAGGAGTGGCGAATTACTCAGGAAAACTCTAATTGCGCTGGATTTTATGCCAAATGGAGGGTTCAAAAATAGTTCTTAGACAGCTGAGGTAGACAGAGAGGCATGGCCTGTAAAAACGAGATCCCTTCCTACGATGATATATGTCGTTCGGCTTCGTTAGGGTTGCGTGCAATGTCAGTCGTTGGTTGAATATTCCGCGCATCTCGTGACACTGAAATCGACGGGAACCTTATTACGAAGACACGATCGTTTCGTCCCATGCCGTCCTGTCGCTAAGATCCAGGTTTAGTTCCAACTCGTTGACCGAACTGGCAAGAACTTGCCCGACTCCGTGTTAGAAAAAAAAAAAAAAAAATTTAATCGCGTAAAATTCCACTTGACAATAAATTCTTACTTTTTGCGAGGAACTTGGTTTTTTTTTTAATTCGCGCCTCTATTTTCCCGATAACCCGAAGAAGACATGGCGGGGGGCGAGCCTGCCGGCGATCTGCGTTTGGAACACTTGGGCAGTTTCGTCCAGAAGTCGATGAAACTGAAGCCCGAAAAATGGGGCCGGCTACTTTTGACGGAGGAACATCGGAACGTCGTCCTCGAGTTCCTGGACAATCCGTTGCCGGCTGCTCTGTTCGTCATCTTGACGCCGAACTCTCAGCTGGTCACCTCTTCGTCCTTCCCCATGCCTTGTGCAAGAACGAAGGGTAAACCCCCAAGTGTTATCACCACCCATTGAAATTGAAATATAATTAAACATTCGAATCCAATAAAATTCCTGTTAATTAGGGATCTACGCGATAAAAGTGACTCAGACCTCGATACCAAAAGACAAGGAGGCATGCCGTTCTATCCTCATCATGGGCGATCTGTCGCATCGCGTCGTCGATCAGCTGACCACGTTGATAGACAACATATTTGCTCCTCTCCTGAGTAATCGCGACAATCACGGGGAACTCCCTGAGGTGGCGATCGAAGACATATGCAAACAGGTGCACTCGTTAAGAGGAACGCTTTATCAGGTACCTCCAGGGAGAAAGATCTACGGTTTAAAGGGATTGTTAAAAGCTTTTAAAGCACCTGTCCTAGCGGCATAAACTTTCAGGTAAAGGGTCAAGTTAACGGCAGGACCGTGCTTCCAATGCCAGCAGGACTGGAAAGGGTTGCCGAAGTCGAGAGACTGGTCTCGAGCCAAGGATCCCAGGCCGTGGATTTGTACCTGAAGAGCGCAATAGAAGGCGTCGTCATTAAATGGGCATATTTGGTAAACGACGTCGTGACCCACGAGTCCAGTGCCGCCTTTGAAAATGGCCAAAATCCGACGCCAAACGTGGAGCTGGAGTACTGGGCGAACAGACTGGCGAATTTGAGGTTCTTCTGTATATACTATCTAATCTCAATCCAGGCATTTTATCGGGAACCAATGTAATTCCATTTTTCTCGCAGATATATCTTCGATCAGCTGAGGGAGGATCGCGTGATGAAAATGGCTATAATCCTGGAGAAGACGGACAGCGCATATTACCCTTGTTTCCGGACGCTTTTCAACAACGTGGTGTCTTCTCTGGCCGAGGCTAAGGAGATCACCCTGTTCGTAACACCTTTGGCGAAGATATTTTCAGCCGTCGAGGAAACGGACTTCTCCGATGCCAAGCCATTAATGAGGCCATTGATACACAACGTTGGACTAGCTTGGGCCAAGTCTAGGTACTATCAGAGTTCCTCCAAAGTGATCGTCATGTTGCGGATGATCTGCAACTTGTTAATCCGTCAAGCTCGGCGGTTCTTGGATCCCTCCTCGATCTTCCAGAGCGACATCGACGAAGCCCTGCAAAGGGTACAGATATCGAGAGGTGAAACGACGCTTAAAAATGTAGAAGCTCGAGGTATCAATTTTTCTCCCTCGTGGTTTAAGCCACTTTTTCTCCTTTCAGATATTCTGGAGGAATTTAAATTGCAGTTCGAAAGAGGGAAGGAAGTTCCCGGAGGGAGACCCGATGCTCCACCGTGGACTTTCAACGCTGGGGCGATTTTCCAAAGACTCGACGCCTTCTTGAAGAGACTCGCCGAAGTCGAGTGGCTCTTCGACACGGTCCTCGAGTTCTACAAGCTGGAGAAGATCGAAATCGGCGGAATAATCGGCCGGCCCTTGACGGCGAGGATAGGAGTCGTCTTCAAGGAGTTCCAGCAACTGTTTGCCGCTTTTTCGGCAAAGGCCAGCGACGCCTTGGAGCCCGATGACCAATCTTTCGCGGCAGACTGCGAAAAGTTCAAGGACTCCATCGCAGACCTGGATGGCAAGCTGGCGGCGATTCTTTGCCAGGCTTTCGATAATTGCGGAAACCTGCAAGGCGTGTTCAAAGTCAGTAAATCGGTACTCGGTACGCAGATTTTTAATTTCTATTTTTTTCTTTTTATTTTCTTAACAGTACTTCCGCGCTTTCAGCTGATCAACATTGGAGGGACTCTCCTGGACAGACCTATAATCCGCAAACAATTCACCGAACGTTATTCCCGAATCCTGGACCTACTGAATACCGAATTGACTATGGTGGAAGTTCTTTTCAACCGAGGTACTCGAGGTGCCATGAGCGATCTCCCTCCTCTGACGGCGAATCTTCGATTTATCAACATGTTGAGACAGCGTATCGATTTACCTGTACAGTGCTTCGGCAGTCTGCAGCATCCGTAAGAGCTCTAGAATTTTAGGCATTTTTATATCGCAGCGTGAAAGAATTTAATCTTTTTTTTTTCTTCTAGAATCGTGACAAGTGCCGAGGGCGAGAACACCATAAAACGGTACGAGAGGTTGACAAATATACTGAATTCTCGAGAGGAAGGGTTTTTTTCCGACTGGGCCCAATCGGTCCCGAAGATCGTCGAAGATGGCCTCTGTCGAAATCTCTTGACAAGGGACAAACGCAAAGTGTCGTCTCTAAATTTCGATCCCGGGTTGTTCGCGGTCCTGAAGGAAGTCAGCTACTTGATGCAACTCTCGCGAACCGACATACCTCAACAAGTGATCGAAGTAAATCGAAGTTTTCTCCTTTTCTCATATTCTTCGTGATCTTCATTTTTTATGCTTCTATGGAGTACCTTCTTGAGAACAGGTGTCGGACCGTGCCGAGGATTTCCGGAAATATCGGATCCTGCTGGGTGGTACCGTGGACTCCTATAACGAAATTCGTAGGTCGACTCGAGCGGTGGAGTTCAATCTGATTGCTCCCGAAGTGAGGAAGATCGATGATTTGATGATACGAGGAGAGCGGAAACTGCAGTGGAACTCGGAAGGACTCTCTGAGTACATAGATGAGTTAGGCGTCCTGGTCGAGGACTTGTGGAAACGAGTGAAGTCTGCCCAAGCTAACGTGGAGACCATGAAGAAGGTCCTAGATCCGTGGACGAAAATCCCCTTGATCGAGCGAAAGGATCGTCGCAAGGACGCCCTTTTGTCTCTCGAGGAGAGGGCCGAAAGGGTTTCCAAGAGCCGAATCGAGATGGAAAAGGCTAACGTCGTAATCCAATCCCTTTTAGCAGAAAATGAGTCTCTTCTTCTGGGGTCAGGAAATAATCGCGACGCTCTGCCGGAATACGTGAAGTACGTAGACAGCACCGTCCTGGAATGTCTCCGAAGAGCCGCAGGATGCAGTCTGGGATACCTAGCGGAGAACATGGATCCTGCAGGCCTGCAGTCTCCATTGTTGGAAGCCAAGTTAGAGCTCAGGGAGCCGGATTTGTACTTCGTCCCATCCTTGGAGCCTGAAGACCCAGATGGGCTGGACCAGCTAATGAAGGGATTGCTAGACGACGTTATCGGCATGGCAGGACTCATAAATCGATTAAACGCCAGCTCGGAAGGATACACCGTTGAATTAGAACACGACGAAGACATCGCTGGGATGAAGTCCGAGATCCTCTCAGGAGTCTCCAAAGCCGTGGAAGAGGCCACCGATTTTTGCGGAATTTTCGAGGGTCTGTCTAGATCTTGTTAAACCTTGATTTATATTCAGGTTTTCAAGGATTCGTTTCGCAGGATACGCCTATCTCTGGCTGGAGGATCGGGAGCTGGTCATGCAGCAGTTTTTGGAGTACGGTCGTCAGCTCACTGCCGATGAAATGGAGATGATCCTGGGGCAGGACCTCAAACGACCGGTCCCATCACCTCCCAAGATGGAGCAATTTCGGGAACAGATCGACTTGTACGAAGGACTGTATCTCGAGATAGAGGAGATGGACCCTTCCAAAGTATTCTGTGGATGGTTCAGAGTGGACCTCAGGCCGTTTCGGCAGTCACTGTTGAATACCGTCTGCAAGTGGTCCAGCATGTTCAAGGAACATCTCGTGGAAAGGGTTACCACGAGCTTGGCCGGTCTTGGGGACTTCATCAGGTTAGCTCTCTACATTTGAACTTGACAAGAAGCTCTCTGAGGTTTCTATACATTTTCAGAGAGGCGGACCAGGGTCTTCTTCAACAAGTTCAGCCTGGCGATTACGCCGGCTTGGTCAACATAATGGGCTATCTGATGCGAGTGAAGGAGAGGCAACCGGTCACCGACGAAATGTTCCAGCCATTGCAGGAAACTATTGAATTGCTCAAATTCTATGACCAAGACATCCCAGAAGAGGTGAACGTCCAGCTGCAGGAGTTACCCGAGCAATGGTTCAACACCAAGAAATTAGCTCTAACTGTGAAACAGCAAGTAGCTCCTCTGCAAGCTGGTAGGACATACTCGAATCTTTGTATTCTTACGTTGGCGTCTTTTGTTAATGGTGACTTTTTATCAGGGGAGGTGTCCAGAATCCGCGGGAGAATATTCGCATTCGACACCACGATAAGTTACTATCGCGAGGCTTTCAAACGTTACGGCTTCTTCAAGTACAATTGCGAGAACCCTTACGAGCAACTGAACGAGGCTGACAAGGAAATTCGGATGTTGGAGAGACAAATGTGGGATATTCAGGAGTCTGGCTCGCTCTTTGAGGTGACGGTGCCGGAATTCAAGCAGCTGAAGCAGTGTCGAAAAGAGCTGAAGATGCTGAAGCAGCTCTGGGATTACGTGAACATTGTCAGGAGCAGCATCGAGGGGTGGAAAACCACCCCTTGGAGGAAGATCGACGTGGAGAACATGGACATCGAGTGCAAGAAATTCGCAAAAGAAATTCGGGGTAAGGGTCTCGCCCTTGAAATACACGATACCCTCGCAATAAAATTAATTCCGGGATTTTTCACAGCTCTCGACAAGGAGATGAGACCGTGGGACGTGTACGCGTCTTTAGAAGCCACGGTAAAAAACATGCTGACGTCTTTGCGAGCGGTTGGAGAGCTGCAAAATCCTGCCATTCGAGAGAGACACTGGCGTCAGCTGATGAACAGCACTAAGGTACTATCAGAAAACCTAATCATCCAGGTTTCTCTTTCCGAATGGTGACGCAAATACCTTCTCACATATTTATGGGTTAATTTTTTTTAACGATCTTTTCTGACAACATAGACGCGCTTTTTTGGATCTCCCAAGCGGGTCAGAGGTGTCAATTCTCACTTTTATAGAACGTTAGTCGCACCGCTGTATATATACGCTATCGGTGTTACAGAAATTGGGCAACATGACTCCGGAAATGACCGTAAGTCCACTGTATATATGCGCACGATACAGTATTTTAGACCAGTAGAAAGGACGCACCTGTGCCATCGATCATCGTCACCGCTGCCAATCCGCCTGAGAGTCAACGCTATTGACAGCTAACATTCATTACTCCATTCGTAGGAAATTGCGCTAGTCGAGTTAAATTCTTCACTCGTAGTAGAGAAAAACCCCTTTTTCCATTTTTCCACTTTTATACACTATGTACCCTTGCTCGGTTATTTTCCAACGCTTTGTGAAATAAATCATTCCAAAATTTACCCACCCTCGCTCCTTACTCGCATTGTTCGAAAGTATGACTGGAGGTACGTATCTATATTATTGAGCACCCCAATGGAGTATTTATTTAAGCATTGTCAGGAATTTGTTCAGAACTCTTGTACGGTGTAGGTGCGCTTCGTGATGGACGAATCGACGACTTTGGCCGACCTCCTCGAGCTGAGTCTCCACGAATGCGAGGAAGAGGTGAAGAACATCGTCGATAAGGCTGTCAAGGAGATGTCAATGGAGAAATACCTTCGAGAGTTAAGCATTACGTGGTCGAGACTGGAATTCGACCGGGAGGTCCATCCCAGGACGGGAGTGTCTCTTCTCAGGGCCAGCGAGGAGTTGATCGAAACTCTGGAGGAAAATCAGGTCCAGCTGCAGAATCTTATCACCTCGAAATTCATCGCCCACTTCCTGAAGGAAGTGTCCACCTGGCAAAAGAAATTATGCCTGGCCGACCAGGTGACGACCGTTTGGTTCGAGGTCCAGCGTACCTGGATTCATCTCGAGAGCATCTTCGTGTCCTCCGAGGACATCAGACGACAACTTCCGGTCGACGCGGAACGTTTCGACAGAATCGACGAAGAATTCAAGAGTATGACCGAAGACATGGCGAAGACCCCGAATGTCCTGGAGGCGACCAACAGAGAGGGCCTGGCTGCTGCGCTGGACCAGCTGCAGAAGGGACTCGTGCTGTGCGAGAAAGCCTTGGCAGAGTACCTCGAAACCAAGAGACTCGCATTTCCGCGGTTCTACTTTGTCTCATCCAGCGATTTATTGGACATCCTGTCCAATGGGAATCAGCCAAAAATAGTGGCGAAGCACCTGATCAAGCTCTTCGACTCCATGGCGAGGCTGAACTTCGTTGAAGTTCCCGAAGGCGCACCTATGCGAGTCAAGGGTACCTAGAATAAGAAATTAAGTAATATAGGTTTTATCCGGGAGGTAATTAAATATTGTATAATATATATTTTTAAGGCATGCACGCCAAGGATGGAGAGTACGTAGAGTTCGCCAACTGCGAGATGGTCTGTGATGGCGTGGTGGAGGCTTGGCTGAACCGTCTCCAGGATGCAATGAGGGTCTCTATTCGGCATTATTTCGGCGAAGCTGTAGTCACTTACGAGGAGAAACCTCGAGAACAATGGTTGTTCGATTACCCGGCTCAGGTCTCTCTTTGCGGCACCCAAATTTGGTGGACCAGCGAAGTGAACGCAGCCTTCGAGAGGCTGGAAGAGGGCTACGAGAACGCCATCAAGGACTACTTGAAGAAGCAGATCTCCCAGCTCAGCACGCTGATTTCCCTTCTTCTGGGCGAATTGAGCAAGCAGGATCGACAAAAAGTGATGACTATTTGCACGATCGACGTGCACTCCAGAGACGTCGTGGCAAAGTTGGTCCAGGCAAAGGTGGAGACGTCGCAAGCCTTCCAATGGCAAAGTCAGCTGCGACACCGGTGGGACGACAAGGAAAAGGATTGCTTCGCCAACATCTGCGATGCCCAGTTCAAGTACAGCCACGAGTACCTGGGGAACACGGCTAGGTATTAATGATCCTTTAGTCCTTTGCAGTGATTTAAAAAATGAGTAATTTGGACCGTTGGAGTCGTTGCATTTCAGATTGGTCATCACTCCACTGACGGACAGGTGCTACATCACCCTGACTCAGTCTCTCCACCTGGTGATGGGAGGAGGTCCTGCTGGACCAGCTGGTACCGGAAAAACCGAGACGACAAAGGACCTTGGCAGAGCCCTGGGCATTATGGTCTACGTGTTCAACTGTTCCGAGCAAATGGATTACAAGTCCTGTGGGAACATCTATAAAGGCTTAGCTCAGACAGGAGCTTGGGGTTGCTTCGACGAATTCAACAGGATCTCGGTGGAGGTCCTCTCCGTGGTGGCGGTTCAGGTGAAGGCAGTCCAGGACGCCATCCGCGAGAAGAAGGAGAAGTTCAACTTCATGGGAGAGACCATAGCCTTGGTGCCCTCGGTCGGGATTTTTATTACCATGAATCCAGGATATGCAGGACGTACAGAGCTTCCGGAGAACCTGAAGGCACTTTTTCGGCCCTGTGCGATGGTAGTCCCGGACTTCGAACTGATCTGCGAAATCATGCTCGTAGCCGAAGGGTTCCAGGATGCGAGGATCCTGGCCAGGAAATTCATAACGCTTTATACTCTCTGCAAAGAGCTGCTCTCGAAGCAGGATCACTACGACTGGGGTCTTCGAGCGATTAAATCGGTTCTGGTGGTAGCAGGCAGTCTGAAACGCGGCGACCCAGGACGACCCGAAGAGGAAGTGCTGATGAGGGCTCTTAGAGACTTTAATATTCCAAAAGTCGTCTCCGACGATTTACCAGTTTTCATGGGGCTCATTTCGGATCTCTTCCCGGCCTTGGATGTGCCGCGGAAGCGAGACGTAGAGTTTGAAAAAACCGTGAAGCAGGCTGCAACGGATCTGCTCCTTCAGCCCGAGGACAGCTTCGTCCTGAAGGTGGTCCAGCTGGAAGAGCTGCTGGAAGTGAGGCATTCGGTCTTCGTGGTAGGAACCGCAGGTTCGGGGAAGACTCAGGTCTGGAAAACCCTATTCAGAACTTATAAGAACATCAAAAGGAAACCGGTGTACAACGATCTAAACCCAAAAGCGGTGACCAATGACGAACTCTTTGGGGTCATCAACCCAGCAACTCGCGAGTGGAAGGACGGCCTCTTCTCGGTGATCATGCGAGAGCAAGCCAATCTAATCGGGGATCATCCTAAATGGATCGTGCTGGATGGAGACATCGACCCCATGTGGATAGAGTCTCTAAACACGGTCATGGACGACAACAAAGTACTCACTTTGGCCAGCAACGAGAGGATAGCTCTGACGCCAACCATGAGACTTCTCTTCGAGATCTCTAACTTGAGGACCGCCACTCCGGCCACGGTATCAAGAGCAGGGATTCTGTACATCAATCCTCAGGATCTTGGCTGGAATCCTTACGTGACCAGCTGGATAGAGACGAGGACTCTGCCTGCCGAAAAGTCCAGTCTGGTCGTGCTTTTCGATAGATACGTGCCCCCTACCTTGGAATCTCTTCGGACTAATTTCAAGAAGGTCACTCCCATGGTCGACATGGCTCACGTAGAGATGCTGTGTCACCTTTTAGGATGTCTCTTGAATCCCGAACTCACCGGTGCCCCTGACTTCACCAAGGATCACTACGAATTGTACTTCGTCTTTGCTGCTGTCTGGGCATTTGGTTCCGCCTTATTCCAGGACCAAGCCGTGGACCATCGCACCGAGTTCACCAAATGGTGGGTCAACGAATTCAAGCAAGTCAAGTTTCCCATTCAAGGAACCGTCTTCGACTACTACATCGACCCTGAAACAAAATCCTTCCTACCTTGGACCAAGAGGTTGCCGAAGTTCGAGCTAGATCCTGACATGCCCTTGCAAGCTGTGCTGGTTTATACCGCCGAGACCATGAGAATTCGATATTTTCTGGACCTGCTCATGGCGGCTAAACATCCCGTCATGTTGGTCGGGACAGCCGGAAGTGGGAAGACGGTCCTCGTCTCCGAGAAGCTCCTGCAGCTGTCGGAAAATTACTCCGTGGCCAATGTCCCGTTCAACTTTTACACCACCTCCGAGATGCTGCAGAAGATCCTGGAGAAGCCTTTGGAGAAGAAGGCTGGGAGGAACTATGGGCCTCCTGGGAACAAGACGTTGGTTTACTTCATCGACGACATGAACATGCCGGAAGTCGATACCTATGGTACAGTGCAACCACATACCCTGATTCGCCAACACTTGGATTATGGGCACTGGTACGACAGGACCAAACTAACCCTGAAGGACATCCACAATTGTCAGTACGTCAGCTGTATGAATCCAACTGCTGGGTCCTTCGCCATCAACCCCAGGCTCCAGAGACACTTCGCCGTCTTCGCCGTTAGCTTCCCGACTCCGGATTCTCTGATGACGATCTACAGTTCGATTCTTTCCCAACACCTTGCCAATATAGAACACAGGTAGCAATGTAATTAATACGCTATTTGAATGTCGCTGAGTGACTATGATTTTTCTAGGTTCCCAACTTGTGTGACCGAAATCTGCACCAACATCGTCCAGGCGGCTCTTCAGCTGCATTCTCGTTGCGCTGCAGTTTTCCTGCCGACTGCCATGAAGTTCCACTACATCTTCAATTTGCGGGACTTGTCGAACTGCTTCCAGGGCTTGCTCTTCAGTAGCAACGAATGTCTGCAGACCCAGATAGACTTCGTCAGATTGTGGATGCACGAGATGCATCGGGTCTACGGGGACAAGTTGACGGACGACAGGGACATAGAGACCTTCGGGAAGATGAAGCTGGACATCATCAAGAAAAACGTCGACGACCTCGACGAGAGTCTGATTCTGGACAAGCCTAACATTTACTGCCATTTCGCTGGTAATTTCTACTGGATACGTCTAATAGAATTTATTTTTTCTTCCGCTAAAAAATTAAACAACTCCATTATCAAGGTGGTGTTGGCGATCCAAGGTACATGCCCGTGAAGAGCTGGGCAGCGCTTCATAAACTGCTGTCGGAAGCTCTTGTCAGCTACAACGACCTGGTGGCAGCCATGAACTTGGTCCTTTTCGAAGATGCAATGATGCACGTGTGTCGCATCAACAGGATTCTCGAATCTCCCAGAGGAAGTGCTCTTCTAGTCGGTGTTGGGGGCTCCGGAAAGCAAAGTTTGGCTCGACTTGCAGCTTTCATAAGTTCCCTCGAAGTCTTCCAAGTCCAGCTGAGAAAGGGCTACGGTGTCATGGACCTCAGAATGGAGCTGGCTAATTTGTACTCGAAAGCTGGCCTGAAAAATCTGGGGATCATGTTCCTGATGACGGATGCCCAAGTGCCAAACGAACAGTTTCTTGTTCTCATTAACGACATGCTCGCCTCTGGGGAGATTCCCGATTTGTTCCCTGAAGACGAGGTGGAAAACATCCAGGCAGGTCGGTATCGTTCGCCAGGTTGAGGTATTTTTTTTTCAGATTTTTTAATCCTAAACTTCATTAGGAGTTCGCAACGAAGTTAAGGGCGCCGGAATACTGGACACCAGAGAGAACTGTTGGAAATTTTTCATCGACCGAGTTCGTCGTCAACTTAGGGTGGTTTTGTGCTTCTCCCCCGTGGGATCTACACTTAGAGTTCGGTCTAGGAAGTTCCCAGCTATAATCAACTGTACAGCTATCAACTGGTTCCACGAGTGGCCTCAGGAAGCCTTGATTTCGGTCTCGAAGAGCTTTCTGCAGGAATTGAACGAGCTCCCTGAAATCTACAGGGAATCTTCCGCGAAATTCATGGCCCACGCTCACACCAGCGTAAACACAGCAAGTCGTCAATTTTTAGCCACCGAGCGTCGTTACAACTATACAACTCCCAAGTCATTCCTGGAACAAATCTGTCTTTACGCGAAATTGCTCGGTACGAAGGCCAGTGGGTTACGAGCGAGTGTGGCCAGACTGGAGAACGGACTGGCAAAGCTAAGATCCACTGCTGTTCAAGTTGACGATCTCAAGCGAAAGTTAGCCGTTCAAGAGATCGAGCTTCAGCAGAAGAATGAAGCAGCGGACGCCCTGATCGCCATAGTGGGCGTCGAGACGCAGAAAGTGCAGGCTGAGAAGGCTTTGGGTAAATTTTCTGAAAATGTTTACACCGTGGCTTGGCAACTTATTTTTTAATATTTCTTCTTCAGCCGATGAGGAGGAATCCAAGGTTGGAGTGATAGCCGAGGTCGTGGCGAAGAAGCAGAAGGATTGCGCAGCTGATCTCATGAAAGCCGAGCCTGCTTTGCTGGCTGCTCAAGAAGCTCTCAACACGCTCAACAAGGCTAATCTCACGGAATTGAAGTCCTTCGGTTCGCCTCCTGGAGCAGTGACAAATGTCACAGCTGCCGTTATAGTTTTACTGGCTCCGGATGGGAAGGTACCCAAGGACCGAAGCTGGAAATCCGCGAAGGTGACCGATGACTTATCGACTAAAGTGTCCAAATCGGGGGAAAATGCGAGGGTTGATTTTTTTACAGCTCGTCATGGCCAAGGTTGACAACTTCCTCGACTCGTTGATCAACTACGACAAGGAGAACATCCACCCGGAAGTGATCAAGGCGATCCAGCCGTACTTGAAGAGTAGCGACTTCGAGCCCGAATTCGTCAGGTCGAAGTCGGCAGCTGCAGCTGGTCTCTGCGCTTGGGTCATCAATATCATCAAGTTCTACGAGGTCTTCTGCGACGTCGAGCCGAAGAGGAAAGCTCTTGCTCAAGCCAACGCAGACTTGGCTGCCGCGCAAGAGAAACTCGGAGTCATCAAGAAGAAGGTCGTGGTAAGTGGTCGGAGGAAAGTCAAAATTCACTAGGCGAAGAAACGTGGCCATTGTTTCGCGAATGACGTCCAGCCGTGTCGCTTCTTGTTTCCTGCAGTCTCTAGAGGAACAATTGGCGAAGTTGACGACAGAGTTTGAGCAAGCGACAGCTGAAAAGATGAAGTGCCAGCGGGAAGCTGATGCCACGAACGCGACAATAGCTTTGGCGAACAGATTGGTTGGCGGTCTCGCTTCGGAAAACGTCCGATGGGCCGACTCGGTGGCCAAGTGAGAAGCAATGAATTTTCCACGAAATTGTTCTTTCCTCCCCGTTGACGGTAACTTTCTTATGTCGTTTCCAGCTTGATGCAGCAATCCTCGACGTTACCCGGCGACGTGTTGCTGGTGACGGCGTTTATATCCTATGTCGGCTGTTTCACCAAACAGTTCCGTTTGGACCTTCTGCACAAACTATGGCTGCCGTTTTTGCGATCTCTGGAACCGGCTGTGCCCATCACCGACGGATTGGATCCATTGTCACTTTTGACGGACGACACGCAGATCGCTAAATGGAACAACGAGGGTCTGCCCAATGACAGAATGTCTACCGAGAACGCAACTATCTTGACGAACTCCGAACGGTGGCCTCTGATGATCGATCCCCAAGTAGATCCCTTTGCCTCTACTTATCGAGAAGAAAAAAATTACCCACGGTATCGTTTATTCATTTCCTTTCGCTTTATGTTGCTAGCTCCAGGGAATCAAATGGATAAAACAGAAATACGGAGATTCTCTTCGAGTGATAAGACTAGGTCAACGTGGGTATCTCGACGTGATCGAGCAATCACTGGCTGCCGGAGATACGGTCCTCGTTGAAAATATCGGAGAATCCGTGGATCCCGTGCTGGACCCCCTACTGGGGAGGAACCTTATAAAAAAAGGCCGCGCCATCAAAGTCGGCGACAAGGAGGTGGAATACAATCCGAATTTCCGACTTCTGTTGCACACCAAACTGGCGAATCCTCACTACAAGCCGGAGATGCAAGCTCAAACTACTCTGATCAACTTTACCGTCACAAGGGACGGCTTGGAGGACCAGCTTTTGGCAGAAGTGGTGAAGGCGGAAAGACTGGACCTTGAAGAGCTGAAGGCAGACCTCACGAGACAACAGAACGACTTCAAGATCACTTTGAAGAGTCTCGAAGACTCCCTCTTGTCGAGGTATATTTTTTTTTACTACGAAAAATTAACGGACTGGCTCTCTGTCCGCATGTTTCAGGTTGTCCTCAGCTGGTAGCAACGTTTTAGAAGACACGGCCTTGGTTGAAAACCTGGAAACGACGAAACGCACTGCGGCAGAAATCGAGCGGAAAGTGGCAGAAGCTAGGACGACGAGTCGAGAGATAGACGCGGCTCGCGAATTGTATCGACCAGCAGCGGCCAGAGCGTCTTTGCTGTACTTTATTCTGAACGATCTGAACACCATCAACCCTATCTATCAATTTTCCTTGAAGGCCTTTAGCGTGGTCTTCCAGAAGGCCATCTACAAGGCCGAACCTGCACCGGACGTGGCGGCCAGGGTGAAGAACCTGATAGAGTGCATCACGTTCTCGGTTTTTGTCTACACGACGAGGGGCCTCTTCGAGTGCGACAAGCTGATCTTCACCTCGCAGATGACCTTCCAAATTCTCCTGACGAGTGGAGAGATCACAACGAGCGAACTTGACTTTTTTCTCAGGTTCCCCATCACTCCACACGTCACGTCCCCGGTTGATTTCCTGTCGAACACCAGCTGGGGAGGCATCAGAAGCTTGGCCGCCAGAGACGAGTACCGGCAAGTAAAGGTTCCTTACCTAGTGAGAACCTAGAGGACGTTCCCTGGATAATCTGGCGTCCGGTTCCAGGAATTTGGACAGGGACATCGAGAGTTCCACCAAGAGGTGGAAGAAACTGGTGGAGTGCGAGTGCCCCGAACGAGAAAAATTCCCTACGGAGTGGAAGAATAAGACCGGACTCCAACGACTTTGCATGCTGAGAGCCCTGAGACCAGATAGGATGACTTACGCGGTGACTGCCTTCATCGAGGAGAAACTGGGAATGAAGTACGTGGAGAGCAGGACGGTTGAGTTCTCCAAGTCTTACGAAGAGACCAGTCCCTCCACGCCGATATTTTTCATCCTGTCTCCTGGCGTCAATCCTTTGAAGGTAATTCGAAGTTCACATTAGTGTTGATACGATATTTCATTTTTTTCCGGGTTCATGTAGGATGTCGAGAATCTGGGATGCCGCATGGGCTTCACCTCGAAGGCGCAGAATTTCCATAACGTGTCCCTGGGCCAGGGGCAGGAGACCGTTGCGGAACAGGCCATGGATATAGCAGCCAAAATGGGGCATTGGGTGGTTTTGCAAAATATACACCTGGTGAAGAAATGGCTGCCGACTTTGGAGAAGAAGCTGGAAGTCGCCTCGGAGGGCTCTCACCCGGACTACAGAATCTTCATGAGCGCGGAACCCGCCAGCACTCCAGCTGGTCACATCATTCCTCAGGTTCCTAAAGAGAAATTGGATTTGACTATTGAAGTTCCTTGCAGATCGGTGATTTAATTTTTATCCCCTACATAGGGCATCCTGGAATCCTCGATAAAAATCACAAATGAACCGCCGACGGGGATGCAGGCAAACCTGCACAAAGCCCTGGATAATTTCACCCAAGAGATCATGGAGATGTGCACCAAGGAAGCCGAGTTCAAGGCCATCCTGTTTTCTCTTTGCTACTTCCACGCGGTCGTCGCCGAACGCCGCAAGTTCGGTCCCCAAGGGTGGAACAAGATTTATCCCTTCAACGCCGGTGATCTGACAATTAGCGTCAGCGTGTTGTTCAATTATTTGGAAGCCAGTCCAAAAGTTCCTTGGGAAGACTTGAGGTACTTGTTTGGAGAGATCATGTACGGGGGACACATTACGGACGACTGGGACAGGAGACTCTGCGTTTCGTATCTGGAAGAGTTCATGCAGCCTGACTTGGTAGATGGAGAGTTGCAGCTGGCCCCAGGTGAATTATGAAATTTGTGTCTCATTCATTTTTACCAATCATGGATTTTTTGTCTCACAAAGGCTTCATGGCTCCACCCAGCACGGATCTTCCTGGGTACCACGCTTACGTGGACGAGGTGCTACCCCAAGAGTCTCCATATCTCTACGGGCTGCATCCAAACGCCGAAATTGGCTTCCTCACGATGACGTCAGAGAACCTTTTCAGGACAGTCTTCGAGATGCAGCCCAGAGACAGTGGGAGCTCCGGAGGGCAGACTGTCACAAGGGAAGAAAAAGTGAGGGCAATACTCCTGATGCGACCTCATCGAATAACAGTCACGTAATGTCACGTGTATTGTCTCTTCACAGGTGAAGCAAATTTTGGACGAGATAATGGAAAAGCTGCCCGAGGAGTTCAACATGGTGGAGATCATGGGCAAGGTGGAGGAACGCACTCCTTACGTTATAGTCGCGTTTCAGGAATGCGAAAGAATGAACAATCTGACTGGGGAGATGAGAAGATCTCTCCGAGAGCTGGACCTTGGTCTGAAAGGGGAGCTGACCATCACGTCCGACATGGAAGATTTGGAGAACGCCCTTTTCCTGGACCAGGTACCACCGATATGGGTCCAGAGAGCCTATCCATCCCTTTTAGGTCTCACCTCCTGGTTCGTCGACCTGTTGCTGAGGCTTAGAGAGCTGGAGATCTGGTCAGCCGACTTCGCGGTAAGATTCTGGAAAATAGAAACAACGAAACCAAACATCCCCTGACATATCTCCTTTTGTTAGTTACCTGCTTCGGTGTGGTTGGCTGGTTTCTTCAACCCGCAGTCGCTCTTAACAGCGATCATGCAGTCCACCGCCAGGAGATACGAATTACCGCTGGACAAAATGTGCCTGCACTGCGACGTGACCAAGAAGACGAAGGAAGAAATTGCGTTAGTAATCCCAATCCACCCGAGACTTCCGAACAAACGATACGACAATTATTCCTTATTCTTAACATCTATCGCAGAGCTGCACCGAGGGACGGGGCGTACGTACACGGGATCTTCATGGAAGGAGCACGCTGGGACACCCAGGCAGGGATCATCATGGATTCTCGACAGAAAGAGCTATCCCCTCCGATGCCGGTCATCAACGTCCGAGCCATCACCCAAGACAAACAGGACCTGAGGAACATGTACGAATGCCCGTTATACAAGACCAGGAAGCGAGGTCCGACATATGTCTGGACGTTCAACCTTAAAACCAAGGACAAGCCCGCGAAATGGACGCTGGCCGGGGTAGCGTTACTGCTGCAGACCTGAACAGATACATCGAGAGATTTTATATCAGTTGCTCCAGTACCTCGCATTTTTATGCACGTGATATCATCGCGTATCCGTTAATGTTACACTTTGTAGAGAAAAATATACTTGGACCCTTGTTGATCTTGAACGTGCGTAGCCACGGGTCGGGTGTTCGGGTTTCTAGGTTAGGTGATGGCACGAGTAGGGAGAGATTCCGCGCCAGCTAAGAACACTTCTCGGGCAGCCCGCGTTCGTCGCGTTCGGGCCGCGAGTGCGTGGGCAATAGTGGGGCGCACTGATGCGCGGAGCGGCCACTCCGCAGCGCTCCCCTTTCACAAGGATCCCATGAGACGCAAGGAGTCTCGCAATCTCTTATCGCAGTCTCGGCTTCATCGCGAAGACAACACCGACTGTTTTCCTGCTGCCCTGGTCCAGGGGGTCCCCAAGAACTGGCCTGCCCCACTGTCGGCGTCGACGACGCTGCGCGACCCGACCGCCTCGCTTTCGCTCTCCTCTCCGCGACTGTCGCAATTGAACGTCCTCTAAATTTTCCACAGCCATCATAAACCATAATCTTCCTTAATCTACACATCCCCATGCGAATCTATACTTCACTAAGCGAAGGAAAAAAAAAAATTCAACAAAAGAACTCGGACACGGTTGTTAAAAATGTCCTTTCAGGAAATCTAAGGCCGAGGTGGAGGGAAAGGGAATTTCTTGATAAAACTGCATCGTCCTGAATTTTTCATTTACAAGGTTGCGGAGTTGTATTTTGCGGTCCGTTCTGTCGATTTGCCAGCGATGGAGTTATGTTTCAGTTGCCGGGCAATGTTTTAAGGGGGCTCGTTGAGTGCGCTTTCGTGCCGCGTTGGGGATTCGTTGCGAAGGTGGCTGCACACAGACTCGCGCCGTTTATTGCGATGTTCCTCACAGATTTTGGCTCGAGTTTCGCGGCTCCTGTTTCCGATGCTCCCCTGATCCTTGGGTAGCCTCGCGGTGTAGAAACCACTCAAGGAATGCGTGTAATGCGTGTACGTACACGTCACGTTCACTCGGTCGGCTCCCGCGAATCTACGTCGGCACGTGCGGCCCGCTGCGCCTGTGTCTCCTATCGACGCGCATACCGTGCATGCAACGGATACACCATATACGGATTAATACCATGACACGGGACCTCTAACCATAAGGCTCGGAAATTAAACACCTGCGTTTATTCGTACAATCGTGACAAGTGACGCGGAAAAATAAACCGTCGCCTTGAAATAAATAACGCGTGAAACATGGGATGCCCTCTTGCCGATGCAGACGATGGAAGGAGGTTCGACATTTTTTTTGTCTCACATTTTAGCACTGGAGAGGACGAACGACCACCATAAAGGGAACTTACTACCAGGACTAAAGGTACAATCGGTGAATGTCCACGTTGCTTTCGGTGTTGGTCATCGGCGTTGATGGCTACGAGTAACGAGGAAGAGTATATACGTTTTGAACAGCGGAAAAGTTTACTTTCCCAGGAGGATTTTCCTCGTAGCGCCGAAGCTCTGCCCCGCCTGAGTAGCTCCTTTGTTCGTCCCAGCCTGGAGACCGATGAGACCCTCGCCGGCTCTCAATTGTTCCTCGGTGAAGGCGCGTTTGTTCTCCTCGGCCGGTTTGGGACCCAACCAAGGACCGCGCCATTCTGGGTGCTTGTAGGTCTGCAAGTACCATCGGTTTATTTTCTACCCCACAATAAATCGGGCCCTAAGTCCGTGTTAGACTGCCCAAACAAAATCCGACAATTAAATCAAACTCACCGTACGACCAATGGCGAAAATGGTATTCGTCACCTGAGCGATGTTCTTGCGCTCGATGAGGTCGACGGCCTGGAACAGGTCAACATCGGGGACGCCATATTTGACGCAGGCCTTCTGGAACCTGAAACGTGAATTCGTTACTTTTTCCCTCGACCTTGTGACGACCGTTAAGGTTCGCACACATTATGCCGGGGCGCATCGGAATCGTCCTGGTAACGACTGTTAATTGGACAAGGGAACTGAAGGTTTTATTTGTAGGGAAGGTCTCACCACGGGAGGAGGAAGGTCTTTCGGAGCGCCTTCAAGATGGGGAATACCGTTGAAAAAGGAAGGAGAAGGAAGCCCGAGGTCTCCCTCGGAGCGGCCAAGAAAAGAGGGCAGGGATCAGCTCCTATATTCGCCTGCTACCCGGGGCTCGTCTCCGAGGCGATGACGCGCTTTTATTGTCTCGCGCGGTCTCGGGCACTAATCGACGACGGCCAGTAATCGGCACAGGTCGAGGCATCCGAGGGCGTCTCGACGCGTCTCTCGTGCCACAGAAATGACGCCTCGCGTATCCCGGCCGACCAGGATCGCAGAAGACCCCGGGGGACGAAAAGGGCGTTCTCAAGGAATGCCGGCGACCCTCCTCGCCTTCTCTGTCGCCCCGATACTCGGCGCGTCTACCGCATATGAGCACCGAGCAACATCGCGATCTCTCGACACGCTCTTACCCGAAACACGCGTACGTACCCCGCGGCGTTGAAAGCATACTCCATGCGTTCCCGAAATCCCGAGATACACCCCCGTTTGACCTGGCAAACTGGAATAAACGAGCGAAAACGAGGGAGATGGAACGTCCTCGAGGGCGGCGCGCGGAAGCTTTTCAAAATGGCGGCGGCTCGCCAACCGCCACTCGAGTCGACCTCCGGTTGAGGAGGTCAAGCCCCTTTTCGGGGCTTTCGAGCGGATATCTCGCGTGAAGATGTTCGCTCTTTATCTGGAATTTCTGGTTATTATTTTTCTATCCGTTTTGCAGGTTAGTTCGCCGTTCGAGGGACCGAGTGCCCCCTTGCTTGCAGCGAGTCGAGACGCGATTAATTTACGGTGAGGCAGGCCAGTGCTTACGACCATCCGAGGTATCCGGGGATCACGATAGACAAACTGGTCGTAGACGTGCGGCGCGATGCGGAACGAGGTACGGACACCTCCTCGTATTCCTGGTGCTCGCATGGAAAGGGAGTAATGCGGAGTGGCCGCGCTGCGCATCATTCGCCCCACTACTCGCGAAGCGCTCGCTGCGACGAACACCCGCGAAATCTTGGAGAGAGCACGACAGCGCACGAGTAGTCGGCCACGTGAACCTCGAAGGAACGCCTTCGAGGATTACTCCAGGGAGTTGAATTCGCCTAGGATTTTTATTATTACGATATATTCCCCGGCTAAGCCGAGGAAACGCATTTTAAACCAGTGCGTGAATTTCAGGTAGCGAGCAGACGCGGAGTAGAAGGAGTCTAATGGCGGACGATCGGCATCGAACATGGCGCCGGACGTGCGTTCCGTTAGTACCGACTTCGAATTCTACCAGGCTTTACTTATCCGGCCAGCATGTTTCGAGGGCGGTTCCGGAGTCGATATTTTAAGACCGCGTTCAGGGAAGAATAGGAAATCGGAGCTGAAAGGAGAAAGGGAGAAGGAATTCGAAATGGCTTCTTGGAGTTTGGGACGCTCCTAAGCCTGGATACCGCCTGGACATCGGCGGGAAATTAGGATACCAGAATAGTCGCGATCTCGAAGACGCTCGACTATCGATAGCCATCGATTTTGAATAATCGAGAGGTAGGGTTTGCGGAATGCCTAAATAAACGAGTCGCCACGAAATGGGCGGTTCGACACCTCGTCAAGACGTGTCGTGTCGAATATCGAATCTCGAACTGATTCTCGACTTTATCTCGAGGGCGGAGGAGTCGATCGACTTTGCCGTCGATGATACCGAGCGGCAGAGTCGCTTGTCGCAAAACATTGTCGATTGCGCAAAGTCGACGGAATACCAGGAGAACACGCGACGAGAGGAGGACGCAGCTCGGAGTCGCCCGAGACGACGTAGGAGACCTCGACCCACGAAAACGAGGAAACGTGGAAACGTACCGACGTACCCTCGGCTAATAGGAACCCAGAAGATCGAACAGTCGGTCGTGTCCCTGCTCCTGAAAGTGCCTTTAAGGATACTCGAAGGGAGTTCAACCTGATAGTTCCACTCCGAAATTTCTGCAGCCGAAGAAGGCGCGCTTAAAGAGCGCCCAAGAATCCGCAAAGGTCGGAGTAGAGAACGTAAATTCTTCACCTTTTCGTTTTCCTACTTACTGATTGAGATTGTCCATCATCTTGTAGTCCCCGCCGCTGGTGTTGACTTTGGAGATGAGCCCAGGCTGGAGCCTGTTCATGAGTTTGCACAATATCACGCCATCTCTTAACGCGTTTTCGTAGCTCACGCCTGCAAGAGAGAGACATGCCATTGTGTAACGATTTAAAAATAAAATAAGGAGGAAAAGTGCGGAAGGGACGAAAGAGAGGTGTCAAGGATTTTTCGATAATGGGTGGGAAGGACTATGTGGCTATTAATGCCGAGTTGGGGCGTTTATTAATGGTTGCGCCTTAACGGGACGACTGGCCGCCGTTTGGCTCGAGTCGAGAAACAAAATGGCGGCCGTGCGGACGCTCGATGCGGAGCAGGCGGGTTTTGGACCGGTTCTAAACCGCGTGCGCAATGTATGAGGATTTTAGTTCTTTTTTTCCGCGGCCACGTACACCGCGCGTTTCAGAGCCGAGCACGTTGAACCAGCGCTCGCTTATGGATCCCCATTATGGCAAGAGGCGCGCCAAGGGGGCAAGACATTTTTTCCCCGTCTGCCACGAAAGGCAGGGCCGCTTAGCACGGCGTCCGCCTTCTCTTACCGACGTCCTATGTGCGTCTCGTTTTTCGTTCCGTCGCCATTTAAAAGACGCAACGCATCTCAGAATGCCAGGGCCACAGATCAAGCCAGGAGCTGATCGCGCCTGCCTGTCCACGCCGTATCGACGTATCGGAATCGAATGTATATTGAGCCGTGTACGTGTGCCGGTACTACTCCACATGTCACTTTTTGCCGCGCCAGCAGGGAAACCCTCGATATAATTATCGTCCTCTCTACGAACCTTAAAGGTCCGATAAATCCAACAAATGATAATTTAATAATTGAAAAGAAAAAAAATATGAACGGCGCTGGTAATCGTTGAGTACTAGTGTAAAAACGTGGCGGAAAATTTTTATTCAACGAAACAGCATCTAGTCATCAGCTAAAGTGTTGAAAATGTTGAACCGATGGTAACAACGAAGTTGCTTCTGTTGCTGTACTCGAAATACGAGTTACAAGAAGCGTAACAGCATTACAAAATCGCGTTTTCGAAAATCAGGGCTCCATGGCAGGGCCAGAGTTTCCGCATCCACGTGGGATTTAAAATTTGTACTTTGTGGATATTTTGACGATTGCATTCCGTATCGTCACAAAACGAAGCTAGACTTTAGTTTTTGTGGGCTCACTGTATTAATTTTTTTCCCAGTCCAGTAAACTTTTACGTGGAGCCATACTTGTTCACCTAGGGTTCACCCTATATTCATTTTGGCCAAGGGGAAGTTAACTAGCTGTTCGCAGGACTGTTAGCCTGATCCTGCAAGGACGTCCCGTCACGTGGTCCTGGCATGGAACGCTCGCAACATGGCGAATTAATGGCCTACCCCCAAATCTGCTTGCCTGATAGAAAACTGGTCGCGTGCCTGGATTCTCGATTGACGAGACATCGACAGGCAATTGATTGTTCGAAGGAAGTGGCCGACTTAACCACCCTTCGAACTATTTCCCCCCAGCACTGTTATTCACGAATCCATCGAAACCCCCAGAAAACTATTTCCAGAAAAATCTGAATAAATTATTTACCACCGGTATCTTCGATATGCGTTACTTATTACTAGCGTCGGTATAATTTTCTCAGTCAACGGAAGATCGTTATACAACCTTCTAAAAATAGCGAAACTACGAAGCTAAGAGATGTATGAGTCGATGGGTTTAAAAGCTGCCTTTGATCCGTTTGAAGTATTTAAAATGATATTGGAAGGTGCAACGAGTGCTAGCTTCTTGGATTCAAGATGGCCGCCGCCCCTCGACGCGACTCTAGCCAGACCTATGCGCGTTCCCGGCGAATATGTTCCTATCCCAGATGTTATCCTGCTCCGCAGACGCGTCGTCCTCGTCGCGTCGGACAACTCGACGTTAAATCGCGATTCGATAAAACTCTATTGACTCTTCGAGACTTCCATATCGATCTATCGATAAGGCGACACGCCACAATGTTCGTCGCCGATCGACTTCGTGTACGTCGTTCCAACGGCTCCCGCACACATTCGCGTGGCGCGCTCGTTCCCTTCGCGTTCGTGTGCGCGGACAACGGTCCTGAGAGGGAGACCCGGTATCGATTAAACGTCAGCGTCGTGTCATAAAGACGTCAAAGACACGGTTTTCACCAGGGCAGCATCCTGCGCCTGAATTTACGACCCGAGCAACAGTTGTTCGCTGAGAGCGCATCCTGCTCCACGCAGACGCTTTCCTCCCGCTCGAAACGACGCACGTGGGTTTCCCCTCTCTTGCACATCTCCCCGTAGAGATGGCGACGCTTCAAGCAAAAACGGAGTACACGTAAAAAATAAGCACCCATAAAAATAACCTAATTATCCCCAATTTTGCAGGGATTTTCCCTGCACCTCAAACCACGCAGAATATCGAACCCCCAAATTGTGCACCGTGTATTCGGTGCAATTCTCCTTTATCGGCGGAGCAGTAAACCACCTGTTGAATATTGTTGGTAATCCAGCTCAAGTCTGTAACCCTGATAAGTTCGCCTGGACGTGACGTCATTGATGAACTTTTGACGAGCATCTGACATCGAGGTTTTTAGTAATCGGTTTTATATTTTCAGGTTATAGGAGCATTCGGGGAAGAATCAGGAGCTCTACCGTATCTTCCTGTATCTTACTTAGAAAGTGTAATGGCAATCATAACCTATATCATGAAATGTCTAAGATTTTCTTTCCCTTATTTTCTCGCTCGACGGGCATCAACATCAAATTATTCCGCGAGGGAGGCGTTCATTGTGCAATTCGCATGAAGAAGACCTAACCTAAAACGCGGGCGCGCACGCACCCGCTGTCCCTTATCGACCCAACGGGGGCGTCAACGTCGCGACGTCGGCGGGAAGCCCATAAATCCCTCAAACGTCTGCTGGTGCCCTGGTGCGCGCGGGCATCTTGCGCCGTCGTGACGGACGGATGATTGACGTTTCCTTATCGACGGACTTCGGTATAGTCGCCTTTCCCGAATCTAGCCGGGGGGCTAAAATAGAACAACGCGAGGCCGCCGCGGCCATACGCGCGCGTCCGATATGCGTCCCTGATAAGACAACGTCTGCGTGACGTAACGCGATGAGCGCGAGACGCCGAGTCGGTCTAACCTATTCTAACCGGGAGGTAACGAAATCGAATCCCAAGTTGAGAAGTAATTAGGATATTAGGACATCGGACTGGGTACTCATCGGGTTCCGCAAAACGCGAGGGACTTGAAACCCTCAAATTGATATAGACCACCGCATCTTAAAGAATAGACCAAGGACGCGAAAAACAGTCTCGAGAAGAGGCCAACGCAATTAATTAACGACGATCATCATCAGGGGAATAAGACCAAGGCAATCGTTCTCCCTATTCCGACGGTTCTAATGGCTCTCCCGCTCCTATAAACTCCCAGCCCATCAGAGGCTGGACTCGAGGAGGTGTCCCGTGCTCCCGTTACCGAAATATTTTGCGACTTCCCTAAAAACACCCCGTCTTCCTCCTCCGAAATCCCGTATGTTTAATCAGAGCCCCTTCGTGCATAATTCCTAAGGTCGTGATCCTGGCTTTATTAAAAATGTATAATTAGAATTATCATGGAGATTTAGCGGAGTTTCAACATGGCCGGTACTTAAGCTCCCTCGTCGGTATAAACTCCCAACCCACCGGAGGCTAATCTCGAGGAGGTAACCTTAGACCCTGCCGGGTCATCGAGCCTTAGACCATCCCTATCTAGTCCTCGCATTGGGCCTCCCATTCCCAAATTTTCAATAAGCAGAATGGCATTAACCATGTCAGTGGTATACTCGTTAACCCTTTCCCCGGCAAGGTGAAGTCTATACATACACGGTCTACGATCTGATATCGTCCGATTTTTTTTACACGTAGACAATGCACAGTAGTCGTGGTATGTCCCTTCTATTGCAATGCGAGGTCTAGATCAGGGAACTTGGTAGAGTTTCGCGTGAAATGTACACAATTGCATACGTGCATGTGGTATGCGCGATACGGTGCATACATGCATTGGACGACTGGCTACGTCACGATACGCGACTCCGAGGGACGCGCTCGAGGGTCTGGGAGAGAATTGGACAAATAGGAGAAGAACTCGAGAAGGAGGTCTCCGATTGGCCGGCGGGGCCGACCAATGCCGGTTCTTCGGAGGTCTCCGGGAGAGATAGTCGCCGCTAGATGCCGTGTGCCCTCGACAGGTGCGGTGGCGGTCCACGGGCACCAGGCTGTCACCAGCCGACTAGAGCTTCCCGTCTAGGGAACTCCCTCCCCCGGTGGGTCGCGAGGGTGTGGGAGGCTCAAAGTGGGGAATGCCACGATGCACCGAGTGGGGGTGGTTTCGCCGTTTGGCCACCTCCAGCGCGTCCTCCTCGCCACCAGGACGCCAGTCGAAGGTGGAGCCTTCGACTTATTATCATTAGGCTCGACCGGAGTCGAGGAATTTCGAGACTCGCGCGGAAATACTCGAAACGTCGACGAGAATCGACCGACTCGACGACGCCCTGCGGGATATGAGCGACGTGGACGAATTTCCGAGGTCTTCCAGGGGCGCGTCCTTGATTTTAGGACTTAACCTTAAGTCCATTGCGTCCTTTGAACGGTCGTTCGGAAGGGATACGATCCGAAGCAACGATTCGTAGAACGCTTTGGTTCCTCGTTGGAATAAGATACGATTGAAGCCTCGTATCTGGGGAGATTTAAATGTCCGCAGGCACTGGTCACGCCACTTAATGGCGGCCACAACGCCGGTCCCGCGTCGACGCCCGACGCGTTTGTCTCATCAGGATCCTATGCTGGGCATGGGGTTCGATTCGATATGCTCGTCTCGCTCGACATCGTTTCCGGGGCGGCTCGCGATGACGTAACGAAGCGCGCGTTTTGCCAGGAGAGCAAGAATCGCAGAGGGTTGCAGCCGCCGCCCCGGCCGGGAGCACTCGGTTCCGGAACCTTCGATCGGCGTCCCTCCGCCATTTTCCCTCCGCTTGCCATCGAAATATCCAGTTTTCGGACTTATCGGCGATTCTTCGGAGGTAATTAAATGTGTCCAGGGAGAGGAACGCTCTCTTTCTTGAACTCTATGTCTTCAACTTCTTTAAAATTATCCCTGGGATGGGTTATTTTTTTTTTTTTCTGCAAATGTCCCTAGGCACGTGGGATATGTTCGCGGTGGCGGTGGTGGCGGCGGTGGTGGTGGTCCCCGTGGTGGTGAGTAACGTTAAAACGCTCGCGTTCACCACCTCCGAAGATCAGGAATCCATGCCAGGTCTCGGATGCATCGTGGAAATTCTATGGTCGCCACCGCTCGCCATGTTTCCCGTTCCCACCGATGTCGCGTACTTCGTGTCGATTGACCATAGACGCATCGCGTATGCACCTTCACATCCACGTCACCACGTGCGGGACGAAGAGACAAGAAAAGCGCCGTTTCGAAACCTCACCTACTCGAGTCTATATTTACTCGGTGCGATGGAAAGGTTTTCACTTGGTTTGAAATAACCTCCCACTGACCCTTGATTTTTTAATTCCGACACAGCCAGCGAGGGCGTTCCCGAGTCATTGAATTTCCCGCTCCAAAAATTTCCCGCTACCTCCTCCGGCGAAAAGCTACCCTGGTACTGTTGCAATTTTTTTGCGGTCAATGTTTAAATTACTAATTTTATTAACAATTGGGAAACTTCGTTTTTGGTCGCTAGTGATGGTCGAAGACAGGAAATAGGTAATAGGTTCATAGTGTTAATATATTCCCACCTGGATAGGTAACAATTTTGCCGATTATTTGTTTATAAACGAGAAACAGTGGGGATGGTTAAATAACGTATTTCTCTTGTTTTTAGGAAATTTCATGATCGTGCGTATATCTTGGCGATCGATAACTCCAGACTGATATCGTTTAAATGGAGTTTTGTCAAATTTCATTGGTTTGACGATTATAATTTTTATAAACAAAAAAATTACCTGGAGGGAATCTTTCCCCGATGACGGTCTCGATCCAGTGTTGAGCTTCGGCTTCCTGGCTAGCTTCGCGTTTGCCAGCGACCTACAATACAAGTTACACACCTTAGAGTAACGAAATAGTCTTAGAAGTAATAGCTTGCAATTATATTCTCGGTTAGTTATGAGAAGGTCAATACGGTTTTCTTCAAGATATATCTGGCGGTCAAAGTTGAAACTTGAACGTCACATTAAAACTGTCCGTGAAAATAATGCGTAGGAAGTCGTAACGATATCTCTTGACATTCGTGATGGAAGGTGTTGTCACCATTAGATATACTACCACCCATTAGCTGAAAATTTATCGACTGCACCTGCTCGTCGGAAGACTTTGCTTGAGGAAATTTATCAGTTTCCGTAGAAACTTTCAAAAATTGCCGTAGCCGATGGTATTTCACATCGTCATGGCGGGGTATTGGTAAAAGTTTTCAACTAGCAATAATCGCACCTCGGTAGAACCTCATTGGTTACGATATCGCCACTGCGCAAAGCTGACGATTCTCTGTCCGGAGCAGCATAGTATAAGCTCTGCAACGGTAGGTTGGTTGCGGGAAAGATAGCGACCGTGCGCCCCGCCGCGGCGAACGGCGGAACTACTCGCGCCCGCTTGTCGGCGCGCTGTCGTCTACGTAAACGGGATTTCGCGCCAGAAACTGCACCGATGTGAACGATAACGACAGCATTGAAATATCAAATAAATGCCAAAACAAATATCCATGTAATAAATGTTACTTAAAACGGCCAGTAAATCTTCCAGTACCCCGGAAAATGAAATTCAATGACGGCCGGCAAGGTCTAGGTCAGCCATTACTGCGGATAATATTTTTTTACGTGGATAATCGGGCATGTAATGCATTGCGTAATACCCCGATTGAAATAGCAAAAGAAAATGATGAATTTCGCTTTTAAGAGATTTCTTTCAGGCGCCGGGACTTTATTTTCAAGTTTTCTAAAAATAATTATGAAGGATGTGGACAGAGGTTTATTGGATCAACACGTAATTGATATTCCCCCGGGTGTTTTTTTTTTCTTTTTTTTTTCTTCTATGACAGCTCACTTAATCGACCAGGCCGATACGCTTTGGCAGCATTGGACACACCTGACACTCGGCTATCTTTGCGCAAATCAAATTGGTCCGCCACTTTTCTATTTTGACAGCGTCGTAATAGAGCCTGGAGACCTTCCCGCAACCTGGCGAAGTGTCAGTTACGATCGAATTAGTTTGCCGTGGGCTTAAGTGCGATAAACTTGGAAGAGTCGCCGATTGACGACAACTAATCTCAGTGATGAGCTCAGATTTCGAGGTCGCCACGGATCCAGAAATTATGCCACCGATATGTCGCCAATATTTCGTTCCTCCGCGAAGTGCCCTTCTCATAGACTTCTAGATTTTATCGCGAAAGAAAATACCCCACATACAACTATAGTTAACTGTCAACTTTGATAATAAATACCCATAACACCGAAATTAATTTGCAACTGCTTTAATAATGCATTAAAATAATCGTTTCGATGTGGCGGGCAGTAGACAGCATGGGAGGGTGTTAGCAATAAATTTGGAGAAAAGACTATACCGATCCAGATCGAGGGCAAGGTGGCTCGAGGGTTCTGTTAAGAGCTGGAAATGGTGCGGGGGTGTGGGAACACCCAATTGGTCCATTGCCAAAAATCCTCCGTCCGTCCGAAGATCGGTAGAATGACTTTAGGAGGGGGCCGCGGCATATAGTGTCGCGACGTCGAGCGTCCGACTTAGTCTCTACTCGGCTACGTTGGACAGTATTTTACCTCCGTACAATTTCCAGCACAAACACCCTTGCACACGATCCATAATGCCGGTACGTTTTCCCATACGACCGCCATGGGCGGTTCAGTTCCAACGGATTGCACTTCTCTTAACCATGGATGTTCTGCTCAAGTTAAATCCACTAACAGCACGAAATTCCAAAAAATTCACTACACACTTCCATAATTATTTCGATAATAATTTAACAATAATTATGAATTAATTATTTCGAGAATAATTTAATCCGATATGACCCGCTTGAACGTCCGAAGCATGTACGGGGAGAAGGTCGTTATTGCCATAATTTAATATACCGCGGTTTCTTTCGTTTCTAAAAATTCTGGTCCACTTTGACACGTGGTCTTCTGTCAAAACCGAAGGTAACTAAAACCTGAGCCTTTCGAGTACGCTTTTGCACAGGTGTCTGCCTTGTAACGGAGCCAAACCACTACTATCAACAGTAGGGACGAGAAATATGTTCACTCGCCACCACCATCAGCGATAATGATGAAGAACAAGCCCAAGCTATAAATCGGACACTCTAGATTTAGAAGCCTCGAAGCTCTGAACTCGATTTTAATACTTCAAAGATATAATTCGCTAAAGCGTGGGAGGTGTGCCGAAAATACGTCGAGTTCTGAAGAGTACCTAGAAGCATATTTCCCTCTCGGGTCGCTTTTATTCCGGGGCTAAAATCGCCGATAAAAAAAAAACCCCTCTATGACAGACCCTAGTTTTTCGAAGATATACGGTTACCTCCGGTTATGTAACCATCTTTTGCCAAGTATTGGCAGCTGTTCGGGGAAAACTTCATTTCCTAAAATACTCGGGACTACGTAAAGCTTGCCACGAAAATCGTCCTGACGCGCGTTGGTTTATTTCTGTTGTAAACACGGACATTCGATCGATCACGAATTGTTCCCGTGGCGAAAAGCGGAAGAACCGAGACAGGAAAAAAAAAAATTCTCCTAACCTGAAGCCAATAATTGTCTTCCTAAAATTTGCATATCCGCGAGGCGAAAGCGAAGGGGATTACCTCGACGTTATTGGGCCCATAAATTAGACATCGTTTATTTTCGATCCAGGTTTAATACGTCTGTAACCTAATGCTGGGTGTGCTCTATTTTCGTGCAGCATACTTTTAAACCGTAGAACAGATTAGCGCTCTTCGAGAGACGTGGATGCTGCTCTCTGACATGATTATGCGTCTTTCGCTCTCGAGATGGGCGGTGATAGAGACGAGAGGAAATAAATCGAACGAGTGCCTATTTTTACCCTGTTTAACAAATGTTCCTTTTAATATTCAGCCCCGCAACAAGGAACAGGAAGCCGAAGTGTTGGCCTGGATCGAGGCAGTTTTAGGGGAGAAATTGCCCCCCGGAAATTACGAGGACATCCTAAAAGATGGAGTCGTTCTTTGCCAACTCATCAACAAAATTGCCCCAGGCTCCGTGAAGAAGATCCAATCCAAAGGGACGAACTTCCAGCTCATGGAGAACGTACAAAGGTAGAAGTGCCTCCGTTAAATTAATTATTAACAATTCCTAATGCTATTGACTATACATAATTTTTTCCTGGATTTTCAGATTCCAGGCGGCGATCAAGAATTACGGAGTCCCTCAGGAGGAGATCTTCCAGACCGCGGATCTTTTCGAGAGGCGCAATATCCCTCAAGTGACCCTCTGCCTTTACGCCCTTGGAAGAATTGTACGTAATTTATGTTTTCTCTTAATTCTTGTTCTTGATAAGTTCTCCATGGTTTTCTTTTGTTTTACAGACGCAGAAACATCCCGAATACCAGGGGCCTAGACTGGGGCCAAAAATGGCGGATGAGAACAAGAGGGAGTTCACGGAAGATCAGCTCCGGGCGAGCGAAGGCCACCTTAATCTCCAAATGGGTTACAACAAAGGAGCAAGTCAATCTGGACACGGAGGATTCGGCAACACTAGACATATGTAGATTTAAGGGGATTTCGATTTTTTTTTTTTTTTTTCGAAACATCTGAATCGAGAAAGGAGTCACTCTGGAATACCCCGCTTCCATCGGGGTGATCGGTTTTCACGATGAAATTTTCATAAAAGCTTTCACGAGCCCGAATAATTAGTAATACCAAATTATCGCGGATAAACCAGTGCTTTGTAAGGATGAGAAGTCTCGAAAGGGCATTAATGATCTTTCACATGCTCTGCTGTTAACAGAATTTATGCTTGAACATACCCTTTCGAGCGGAGAATAGAGGAGGAGCTTTTGTACTCTGACGAGATATTAACGACATACCGAACCACTAATTATTTATTGTCATCTCGACAACGTCACCGGCATCGTTACACCCGAGGCGAAATAATCACCGAATAAAGCTAGCGCTTATATTTTCTATAGTACAAAAGGGTTCCCTTATTATCATATAAACGACCCTTTTACGCGGCCACCGAAATGTTGCGGAGCGCTCTATTAATAAATCACCCTCTCCTAGTTTCCGCGACCGATCCTCTCCTCGAAATACGTAACGAAACCAAAACTATGAAATATCCACCACAAATTGCAGCCGGGCAATTATCACGGTTTCAATGTTGCAGGTATGCTAATAAACGACGATCAGTGGTCACAAAGCGTTCCTGGGAGGCAAGGAGGGAATTCCGTCCCCCAAAATTGGACCGCAGCCAACTAACTTTACTCCGCTAGAAGCTATTTCGCTAACCTTAGGTCCAGGGAACAATAGCCACGAATTTCGAGAGATTCGGTACTATTCCGTTGTTCCGTCATCCTTCGAGTTCGCGAGTCGTTTAACGCCTCGCCCCGCGGGAATATATGCATCTCATTTACAAAATCCGCGAGTACGTCTATACGACTTCAAGGGGTGACGTCAGCTCTTTAAAGAGGAATGCAACGGTGGATGATTCTGGCACACCGTGATTTGATTCAAAGTTTTGCTTGGCTTGGCACGTCCCAGTGCCTCCGAGTTATTCCTGGACATCCTCAGCTTGGTCTGGCCATTGCTGGACTCGAAGCCGAGGTTTTGCCAGACTTCTTAAGATCCGCGCCGGTACAAAGCCCGCACGTTGGAATGTAAAAAATGAATTCATATACCATGTCTTAACGTCGATCGAACCAAATCGCGTCCCGTAAAAAAAACCCTGACAATGAAATATTTCATCCGTGTCCGCGCATCGTAAAAGTGGGTGACTCACTTCCGAGGAAGCTCTCGGATATTTTCACGGATGTCGAGGGAAAACTCGTGGAGGTGTTATAGTAAACAAGAATTCTGACTCAGGCCCCGAAATAGACTCCGGGCACAACGAAAGTCACCACGCTCTTGGGTAGGCCCTTTTGAGAACGTTGTCCCTAGGGTAGAAGAGTCGTTATTAAAAAGGAAATTATTAGATGTTAACTCGTAAGTTGAACTGTTGGAAAGGGTACTGCAGTGCCAACGAAACGTTAGGAATAATGAGAAGCAGCGAAACGAGCACCCGACAGTGTAGGCGCAGAAATTCGGAGAACCGCCGAGCACGTAGGTTGTTTCGCGAATGAAACTAGATGGCCTCGTCGTTATTTTATCCAGACGGTGAGCGCAAGTTTGCACACCGCCCTACACCAAGTCGAGGTGTCTTGGGCTCGAACGGTCGCGAGTTGTCAAAATCAGCTGATCGCGCGCTGACGGTCATAGGACGCGGACGTGCGTTCAGCCTCAGCGGAGTTGCGGACCAAATGGTCAAATAATGGAGAAAATCCCAGAAAAGGGCAAAACTACAGCCGTTGTATAAAGCGAAGGAAATCTAGCGATCGAACTTACTTGCCAAAGGGGACGTCCAGGCATTTTAAAGATGGGTTGACCGTCAGGGTTCGAGAGAACGGAGTTATCCGGCGTTAGCGCAAGCAAGCACAAAAAGTGTCCGGCGCTCGCTTCGTGCTGCGTATATATCCGTGACAGGTCTTTCGTGGTGTTGGTTTCCACGGGGGCGTTTCTATATATGGACCACTTACTCACTACAGGCGCGCGCCGGCGTAAAACCCCCCCGGGTAACTGGAGATACCTTACCACGCGTTTCTGAAAACGCTCCAGATTTCGCAAAACTTATAACGAAGCTTTATTTTCGCTCGCCGGGGAGAAGGAACGCCGCCAACGCCCGCCATGGTTCCGCCGATGAGTCGTGCCGAGAAGTACGCTCTGGATCGCTGGACGCCATCTTGGAAACGCTCCTTCCCCGCTATTTCTCGACTTCCCTCTACAACTTAAAAAAGAAATAGAAAGACATTAATTTTAAGCTTGATCTACGTCTAAATAAAATAGAAATATTCAACAATACCATGCCATGGCTATCCCGTTTGAAGAACGCGAAGTTGCCCCTCACAAGTTTCGATGTGCGGACGTCCTAAGGACATAAGGATAGTTCTCGTCATTGAATTCAGAATTTCGGATAATACAAGTTAACAATTGCGTAGATTTATAGTAATGCCGAAAGTGTGCTGGAACATTCTCCACAAAGCGGTTCTAACCAACCGGTAGCGTGGCCGAGCGGTCTAAGGCGCTGGTTTAAGGCACCAGTCTCTTCGGAGGCGTGGGTTCGAATCCCACCGCTGCCATCTTTTTTCCTGCCAAAAGGCACGGATTGGAAACTGAAACTCTCCAGGAAGGAGGAGGCAGCGTCGCGCCGTCTGCGATTGCTTTTTGCCCGACCTCTAACCCTTGCGGAATAAGCTATAAAAACCATGGCACCGCGCGGCCCGAGGTATTCGCGCGACGCCTCGAAGGTCCGATAGGTTGCGTCGGCACGCGGCGCCGTGGTTCACACCTACTAGAGACGCATGACATGACAAGAGGTAGCACGGCGAACGCCGCGCGTTTAAATGGCGGCTCCTCATGAGACCCGACCTAAATCTTACATACTCTTATTTTTAGATTACAATATTGTATACCTATGATAGTACTGACTATTTAGAAAAATTATGTAAGTTAAAATTAAATGTTAGAACACCGTTCTCCCTAATTGTCCATATTTCTGAGATGACAATTACCAATGGAACGCGCCAGGTGTTTCGACGCATCAAATGGGTCCTTGGCCGGATTTCAGGTAGGGCTGACGTCTTTGGTGAACAGCGTCCGTGATCTTCGAGTACGGTCCCTTGCGACGAGTAATACCCACGTGGGCGTTAATCCTCTAAAATTGATCACTTCTATTTTTATTCTTCGCCGGTCCGTGCAAGAATATGAAAATTAATTTTGCAGAGCCCAGCGAGACGCAGGGGATATTAATGATGGTGGTCTTGAAACGAGATGAGCGTAGCTCGACTCTGGAGTATCGTGCTGCCCTGGTAGAGGTTCCACTTGGAAGATGCCACCCCGGACCACGCCCCTGGACTGGAACTCGTTCCTCTCTCTTCTTTTCCGGCATAAATTCTAAAACTGTTATCTCGTCGCTAAAAATATGAGCTTACTTCCCTTCCAAGATTTTATGCTAATGTGAAATCTAATTTTACATTGCTCGTTAGAATGGGAGTCGTGAAAATCAGTTACTCTAGAAATTCAAACGGTTCTCCAATTGTCTTCATGCTTAGATTAAAAATGTTACCACTTATTTCCAGGCGTGTAGAATTTAAGGCACGGCTTAATCTGGGGGAAAATTGGAAGAGGGCGACTAGGCCATTGGCTCCTCTCCGAGGAAACTTTGAAAAGCGAGTCAACAAAATTTTCCTTAAAAACAAGTGCGTCATTTGTTATTTGCAGAGTACTCGTCAGAGTCTCATGAATGAATCGTGCAGTCATTGCATCGAAATTCAAGCTTATCATTATAGTGTGTACCATACCTCTTCAGGAAGGAGTTGTCACTGTGGCATTTCTAGGGTGACGTTGCGATGCGTGCTCACATCCCGCACGAGAACCGTCGGTTACCAGGATCCCAGAAGGCGGATTTCTCCTGTTCGGACCGACCGAGCGACATTCGCGCGGGTTGTCTCGTTTAGCCCCTCCTTACACCAGGATAACATGCCCTCGAGGAAGCGACTCTCTCGGCGTGCCCAACAGGCGCCGCCGTATTGACGTTCGTTGGAAGGGAATTTTTTCAGCAGGATCGCATGAAGAAAATTACGCCACGAGGTATATAATCGGAATCGATCCCTTTACCTAACATATCTAACCAACAAAGCTAGGAACAATAGGTTAAATCTAATTTTACAAAATCCCCGTACATTGGAAACCAACGTTGGTAACCCAGGGTGCGATCATCGACGGAGGAGTGCGAGATAACGTATTAGATGCTTAAAATAACCGTCATAAAATCGTTCCAGTGACATTAATTCGACTCTCCGTTTATAAGACTGACAGAGCGTTCCACGTTATCGCGAGTATCAGGGCGATATCGACGACTCGAGAGCGGCGCTTTATCAAGGCCTTGGAGAGCCTAATCATCTTGCCCACTTCTTCCGCCTTATCGCGGGGCTCCTTCGTTCCACTACACCTGAAATTCTGCTTCCCTGGTAGAATGCACCAACTGATTGAGCCTAAATGATTTCGATTGTTAATCATTGAGTTGCCAGAACTCTTAGTACGGTAATTGTGTCACTAGAACGAGACCCTGGGTGTCAACTGGCCGGTCGGTCCCTAATATGCCTCCTCGCAATAAATTACGCTGCTTAAAATAATTGGTCACAACAACGCCCGGTTCAAATCACTAACCATAATCATTTATGAGCTTGATGCTCCTAGCTGATTTTCCCTCCCACTCGAATCAAGCTATCCACTTGCGAAGGTACTCCGAGGTCTGCATCCGAGCTCCTTTAAGACCTCCCTTCCAATGAATACCTGTAATCCAATTGCCATTATTTAGCGAAAACTAGCTCAATAATTAAATTAGTCAATTTCTACCTCTTATTAATAATGGCGTAGTCGGGAACAATCATTACTCATTGTGAGGGTGTGGGAATTTGTGCAAAGTTCATTTGCCTGAGAGAGAGCGTTGCGTGGATTCGTCTCGAATACCCACGTGTCCCACTCCTCGCATTTAGAGGTTATAAGCCCGACATTAAACGCTCGTCTTTTTGCCCGCGCTCTAATCTCCTGGAGGGATAGTAGTAATCTGCAGTTAGTACGGAGAATGGACATAATCAACAATTTAACCGTCTGGCCACTGGGCAAGTATGAACGGCAGTAAGTAGCCGCGGCGCAGGTACGTTCAAGACCTCCGTGGCGTCCATGTTGCCCGGGGATCGGAAAGACACAATTTTGAGGAAGAGCCGCGCGGACCCTAAGCACCTCTGTGACGTCGCACCACACTATTGGTCTTCGGCAGCCTCTTTCCATTCCCCCTGCGGTTCATTGACTCCGGCTTGGATGAAATTTGGCCCGGGCTACGCGATTATCGCGTCCAAGATGGCGGCCTCGGCCCGCCTCGCGGCCGGGTTCATCCGGCGGCCGTTCCGCCTCGCGCCGCGCCGCCAATTTGAATCGCGAACGCGCCGCTAGGGACACTGACACCATTTTCCCCAAAAACAAATTGTTAACGTCTCCGGGGGCAAGGCCGCCGATTTCTAGCTCCCACTTCCTAGGCATTATTTTCTCGCGTCCGTGTGTACACCTCGCCGGCGAGTCGCGAGAAATCGCCACCTGGTTAACCTCTATTCTCGAACCTTCCAATTGCCGCGCTTTCCCCTAAAATTAACGTCGTAGGCGAGGGGGAGAGGGGGACGCCGTTTGCCGACGCCTCTTGGAACTGCGCGCGCTCACTCACGGTTTGTTGACACTAGCGCTTCTATCGGTGGCGTCATGGTATTACGGCGGCCGCATGCGTTCCTGTTGAAAAAATTCCTCACGGGCGAAAGTCAAGGTATGACGGAATATCGCAATAATACTGCCGGCGGAGACCTACTCGAGTGTTCTGAGCTCCTGGTACTAGGAGGGGCTCGCCGAGACAACCCGCGCGAAACTCCGCTCGGTGTGCACCGCTGCCAACTTTCTCGACTCGCCTGCTCTCCTGATCCCTTCGAGCTCGTATGCGGGATGTGAGCACGCACCGCGTGTTGCGAATGTTGCCGGCGAATCGGTACGAGCTGCATACGTGACACTAGAGGAGACTGCGCCCAGGTGTGCCTGCACTCGTGGGAAGCAGCGAAAATTGGAGGAGACACGTTTCGCTGGAAAATGGGAGGTGTGTGAGAACTTTCACCCCTCGACCCCTCACACCTTCGAGAAACTCGACTACGTGCCAGCCTGCTCTCTGCTCGTTTCGATAATTATTTAGCAATTAAAAATTAAATTTCTTACTTTTTAGTTCATTGATCGGGAAGAAGATAAAATTGGGAATTTTGGATTTTAGAATTCCCACCCTCCGGCGTTTAATTATTATTTAATTGACTTGTCGTTTTTGGGCCGGGTTACGTTTTCAGATGATTTTCTGGTATTTTTGCAGTAGCTGATAATTTTATTTACTGATCTACGGGTGGAGATGATAGTTGGATTTAAAATGTGATTTATTGTCATTTAAATAGTGAATATTTTATTGGGCCTTATAAGGTTACTTTACAAAAGCTCCAACAAGGACTCCGTGGCGCAACGGTAGCGCGTCTGACTCCAGATCAGAAGGTTGCGTGTTCAAATCACGTCGGGGTCAAGGGTTTCTTTTTTTTTCTTTTAGTTCTATCGAGTGGGGTTCGAAATTGTTTTTAATTTTAAATTCATTATTCTTATGTAAATCTAAAGGTATTGAAAAAAAAAAGTGTACGTCGATATTTCTTTTTTATTCCGATGCGATGATTTAGTAGTTCACGTGCTCGGGCGTTGTTCAACAGGTTTATTTCACGTTATGAAGGGGATGTTAGAAATATAATTTGATAAATAGATTATTTTGCAATGCAATTTGCAGTTTATAGAAATGCACCTGTATAGCAGTCGTGGCCGAGTGGTTAAGGCGTCTGACTAGAAATCAGATTCCCTCTGGGAGCGTAGGTTCGAGTCCTACCGACTGCGAAGTTGCAAATTTTTTAATTCTTTTTTTTTTACGTTTCATTTGGCACTCGGACTTATTTGTCAGACAGTAGTAGAGAAATTGACGCTATTTCTTTAAGCAACTGCGAAATAACGTATTTTTACCACGTTGTATTTTTTACGCTCGCACAGTTAGAACAATAAATTGCTAGTAATTTATACAGTAATTATTAGAGTTTCTACATTTACAGTTTACTAGGGTACAAATTAATAATGAAATTGTATTGAAGATTAAAAAAAATGAATGTAGCTTGAAAGGAGAATTATTACTCTACCGAGAGAGCACCGCAACGGCGCCGTGGCTTAGTTGGTTAAAGCGCCTGTCTAGTAAACAGGAGATCGGGGGTTCGAATCCCCCCGGGGCCTCGTTGGTTGTAATTTTTTTTTGCAAAATCTTTCAAAGATCTCGATTAAGTGACGACGTACAACTCCAAGTACTTTCATTAAGGTCCAAAATTATAATCGTCAAGGTGACGATAGGAAAATTAGATACAGGATAGCGGCATTCGTCTTATCCTCCATTTAAATGGAATACATTCATTTTCATTCAAGGGCGTAGACATAATGGCTTGGTCAGCAGATTTCGTAATGGCTCCTGGACAAATTACGGGTTGCACCGATTCAAACCTATAGTTGTTTAACTTTCCGCTATCCAGGCTGACCAACTTTCGCTTTTGCTTGTCAGTTTCCTCGTGACTGGCTTCCCTAGAGGTAGTCTGCAAAGAAATAAAGCAGCAGCGAACGATTCTCGGTGAGTGCTCGTGAGAAAACGTTTCGTCACTTGACGTTCTCACCATTTGCACATTTTCTATGTAATTAATCCGTCTCACAGTGGACGCAGATTCTGATACTACAGTATGGTGCACCATTCCAACACCCTCGCGAAATATAGAAGGACTTGTTCCCTGGAGTTGAATTTCAGTTTCTTCGGAATTTTCAGGAGTTTTTGGTGCTTCGTCGGACATCTCTTTTGACGTCACGGTTTCTATCTTTGACACTTCGTCGCTGATCCATTCTTCGATTTTCCTGGAGGAATCTTCGTGGTGGAATTCGTAGGTAGTCGAACGGGTACTCGTGCCAGGTATAATTCCCTCATCATTTTCGATTAATTTAGCAGTTTCTTCTTCACCTTTGACGGAATTTTCCTCGATGACTCTACTCAAAGTGATGCCCTGGAGGGAAAAATCGGAAAACGGGAACTCAATGTCGAAATCGAAATCCTGGAATGGCCGAAACTGGTCGGGATCGATGATCGATTCTAGGGAAACGTTGGAATGTCTCATCTCGGAGGAATTTAGATTAGATTTCGGAAGTTTGTAAGTCACGGCGAGATTATCATTCGACTCCATGTTTGAAGTTCCCGGCGCTGGAATAATTTTCTCGGTGTTATCTTTTACACTTGTAGGTAGTTCATGCCCAAAAGTTGTGTTATCCTTCCGTTTATTTTTCATTTTACTTCTAGGGCCTTTCGAACAGCGTGCTTGACATTCATTTTTAATTTCCAGGCCTGAAATTGGTGGAGTAGAGGAGATGGCAATTTTGTGGGGTTTTTTAGAATCGGAAATTGTTGTATTATCAGGTTTTGGTTGGCTACTTAATTCTAAAGTATCCACAGTCAAGATGTCGAAATTTTCAGGCTTCGTATCTTCAGAGTCAGCGTCTTCCGATTTAATTTCAGACACAATCTCGAATTTATCAGGAACACCTTGGATTATTTCTGCACTCTTTGCAGGAATTCTGCCAAGGATACGAGAAATGTGCTCCATGTATTCCTCCACAGGTGTTAATGGCCTACTTTTCTTACCGAGGTCACTCCTTTTTGAATCGACATTGGTAGGTTTAGTTTTGGACGTGGACGCAATGGGAACTTCTTGAATTTTATCCAGTCTGTTATATTTTTCTAATTTTCTACCTTTCGAAGGATCATCCGGTGCCTCATTTTGCCAGTGAATATTTTTCTTACTTTTGGGGTTTTCAACATTTTCCGTATTTTTCAATTTTGTGAGGCCTTCCTCATCCTCCATTTCTGGCGTAAATTTCTTCGCCTTATCGGGTAATTCTTGGGATTTTTGCGAGATATTTGAGAGTACGCTTGAACTTCGATAATTTCTACTTAAAGGGGCTGAATTGCTATTTTTCCACGGTTTTCGCAAATTTGTCGCCCCTATTGATTCGTGAATCCACGAAGACTCCGGAATAGTACTTCCAGTGCTTTGCCTTTGCGATTTTCGCAAATCTAAAGAGATGTCAAAACTGTTGCGCTGCTTTCTAAGAGATTTCGAAGCGATTCGTTCGGCTCCTTTTAATTTATCGACGTTTTTCACGTCCCTGGAGTCACTGTCTTCTCTAAAATTATTATTCCATGTATCTTTATATCCATCCAGGATTTTTTTCTCCGAAGACATCACTTGAAATGGCCTTCTTATTTCAGGTTAAATATCTTTAAAATTCCTGCGATTTTAGGAATCGCGGGGAACCATGACTTCACCATTTTTCGGCGGTTTTCTTTGAAGAAAAACACCTCACTGCATTAATAACTTGTATTTATGCTCGATTGGCACATTTTTGACATCTTTCTTCCAAGGATGTGTCAAAGTTCTTTAAAAAAATTCGCTCCTCGATTGTCAATGCGTCCTATTAACAAATGCTTCCTGATATCTAAAATTATCATACTCCGTGTATAAAATGTTGATAAAAAAAATATGAATACGCAAACGATTTCTCGTATCAATTTGCAAAGGTAATTTCCTTATCAGTGATACGATTTCTCAAAGCCGACCCGCAATTCATTTGAAAGCCGCATTTGTGGGAGCTTCATTTTAATTGCTAATGCAATTTACCACTCCCTGCCGAGTTTAGTTAATATTTTTATTGTTACATTATTGTCAGCATCGCTAGGAATAATTTATTTTATAAAGCAAAACGTAGGCTCGACGAGGATGGGATTCGAACCCACGCGTGCAGAGCACATTGGATTAGCAGTCCAACGCCTTAACCACTCGGCCACCTCGTCGTACAAGAAATCTTCTTGGAATATCACCTAATATAGAAGTTTTATAAAAAAAAGTCTACTACAAAAATTATATTCACATTATTGTTTATACCTCGCCTACATATATCCAGTATCATCATTTGTAGGTGGCGAGACGATCGATAAGGTCCTGGAAAATTTTTCTTTGTTCCTGTACCTAAAGTACATTGAACGATGCATGGACTCTTATCAGCTTAATTTCATAATACTACCAGTGATAATTGTCCGAAGCACTTCATAACGAGAAGCTTTATCTGGTTCGCGATAACAAGAAGGAAAACAATCTAGATTATTTTGTTTGATTTTTAAACTCTACATGTTGAAATTGCCTGCTTACCTAGCGGATGTATCAGTGCTGAAAACATGGCTGAAGTGCAAGACTATGTATAATGTATTTTTAGTCGCTTGTTATTCTCTTCTCGAAGAAAAAACTAGTGTCTCGATTACAGTTTTTTGCGGGCTTACGTAAAAACGTGGTCACATAAATTAGAATAATTACCCGCTTCTCTCTTGTAATACAGTTTCTGACATTGGCTGTAATTTATCCATAATTACGCGACGTTATTCGAGATAACCATCGGTGATTATGGTTTCGTTGGGTAATTCATTTCGAATCTTGAATTGCGCAAGAGGAGGCATTACCAGAGAATTACAACAAGCGACGTTACAACGTCGCGGGACGTCATGGAAGAAGGATTCTTGCCTTCGTACCAACCGGTTTACGATAAAGAGATAATTGAAGGTCTGGATCAAGAATTTTCGCGACTGAAGGGTGAGTCACTTCGTGGCCCCTGACGGCCGTCGTGAGAACTAATTTAACTATTCGTGGACTCCGTGCGTGCCTAACCTTCAACTTACTCAATAATTTATCATTTTCTTAATTTTGGATTTATAACAAAAGTCATTGTGACACCGTATTTAATTATTGGCAATGAATGTTAGTGTTGTAGGAATTTTATTTGTGCATTATAGACGAGTGCTACGTAGACCATGCAGGAGCTACTCTTTATGCCGAAAGCCAGATTAAAAGAGTACAAGAAGAATTACTTTCGTCGATATACGCAAATCCACACTCTATTGGTACAGCTGGTAATGGTACTCAAGACAATATCGATCGCATTAGATTTAGGTATGTTGACTTTAATATATTTTTTATACTAGGAAAGATTTCTTCGAGTCATTTATTAAATGGGTTATTTACGGTTTTTTTAGGATTTTGGAACATTTTCATACTTCCTCGGATGAGTACAGTGTGGTGTTTACATCGGGAGCGACAGCCTCCTTGAAGACTGTTGCCGAGATGTTCGATTTTGAGAACAGTGAACTTTCTAGTTCTACAGAATTGGGATGTTTTGTGTATGTGCAAGATAATCACACGTCAGTTCTTGGTATGAGAGAAACGATCGCTCAAAGAGGTGCACGGGTCATTTGCCTTAGCCATGATGATGCTTTTAAGACACTTACATGTGATAGTGCCGATACAGACGATGGACTATGGCAATGCGGAGATTCTCTATTTGTGTACTCGGCACAGTGCAATTTTTCTGGCTTAAAGTACCCTCTTAATTGGATCGAAAAAGTTCACAATAAAAGGCTGAGCAGCGTCACTGGTAATCAAGCTTCTAAATGGTATGTCCTATTGGATGCAGCGACTTTTGCTGCAACTAACGACTTAGACTTATCTGTTTATAAGCCAGATTTTGTTTGCATATCGTTTTACAAAATGTTTGGCTATCCCACTGGGATTGGAGCGTTACTAGTTAAGAACTCCAGTGCCAATGTTTTGAAGAAGACATACTACGGTGGTGGTACTGTAAAAGTTTCCTTGAGTTCAGACATGTTCCATGTTAAACGTGACATTTTACATGAAAGGTAATAATTTGTAAATAGTTTCAATAATTCAGGTTCTTCTCTTTCAATTAATGTAACTATTAATTAAATTGTTCTTTCTTAGATTAGAAGATGGTACACTTCCTTTTTTGTCAATAATATCACTTCGCCATGGTTTCGACGTGCTTTCTAAATTCTCACAACAGAAAATTTCTGAACATGTTTTCTCTCTTGCGAGGCATTTACACCATTCCTTACTAATGATGCATCATCGCAATGGCAAACCGGTAGTAAAATTACTATCGGACACAGATTATGAAGATAAAAATTTACAAGGTGGCATTGTGGCTTTTAATCTCCTGCGATCTAATGGGGAATGTATTGGTTATATGGAAGTCCTTAACATGGCAGCTTTGTATAAGGTTCATCTTAGAACTGGTTGCTTCTGTAATCCTGGGGCATGTCAAAGACATTTGCATTTGACAAATCAAGAAATAATGGAGAACTACGATGCTGGGTATACTTGTGGAGGTGATAGAGACTTGATAAATGGAAAACCTACTGGAGCGATAAGAATCTCACTTGGATACATGTCCACAATTGATGACGTACAAAGAGTATTATTGATGATCAGGAAATGCTTTCTAGATGGACCAGAAATAACAAAAACTCCGAGGTGGTGGTTTGACTATAGGATAAGAATTAAAAAAAAATATATCGATCATTCCACTGGACTTAAAAATGAGAAAGTGAAGTCTGCCGACAGATACATTCACGTTGCTGAAAAATCTAACGAGAACAGTCCTTCGTTCCTGAGGCTCACTCAAGGCAATGATTATGAATTTGAAGAAAATGATCGCAATCCAGCTGGCAAACCAGTTGTCTTGAAACGTGTGTTTATATACCCAATAAAATCATGTGGTGCATATGAAATTAAAAATTCATGGAAGCTAGGACCTCGTGGATTACAATATGATAGAGAATGGATGATCGTCACATCAGCTGGCGTAACATTAACACAAAAACAGCAGATTGATCTGTGTTTGATCAGACCTGTTATACACGAAAATAATGATATTTTGGAACTTACATATCCAGGTGTGTATCAGTGCATATATTTTGAGTAATTTTGCTTAGGCTGTGAATAATTTGATTTTTAATATGTTTAGGAATGCCATCTGTTCAGGTACCTTTAAATATATTTCCTGACAGTACCTCAGAAGGAGTAATATGTCAGGGAAAAGTCTGTGGACATAAAGTTCAAGGAATTGATTGTGGTAGCGAAGTTTCTGAATGGCTAAGTTTAGCTCTGCGGAAACCGGACTTGAGGCTTTTACGGCAAAGTAAATCAGAGGATTTCCATAAAGGTAGAGTCGATTTGACTATTGGTCTAGAGCTAATTATAAATAATTCTGCATGTTCTGTATTAATCGTATTGTTTTCTACAGAGAAAATCAATAAACCAGAACTATCATTTTCAAGTCAAGCTCAATATTTGATGATTAACGAAGCAAGTGTGATGTGGCTATTTGATAAAATAATGGACAAAGATTCTGGCTGTCAAAAAGATACCATTGTACATAGATTCCGAGCTAACATAGTGATCAGCGGAAGTGACCCTTTTCAAGAGACAAAGTGGAAAAGTGTTAAAATTGGAAACAATATTTTTATGGTATGTTTCTTATTTCTAGATTTAATTGGAAAATTTGGGAGATAAATGCACCGAGCAATTTACTAACGTAACAAAGGTAATTGAAATGAAAGAAGAATAAACTAGACATTTTTTATTCAGGTGGATGGTCCATGTAATAGGTGTCAAATGGTATGTATCGATCAATTCACTGCTAAAAAGACGGTAGAACCACTGAGAACCTTAGCGGAGCAATTTCATGGGAAATTGAAATTTGGCATGTATCTTTCGAGATTGGAGAAGGATGGAGGAATTTTGAACATCGATGATCAAGTATACGTTACATGATTCTTTACAAGCAAACTTTGTATCATATGTATATAGAATCAGTAAATTGAATTTTACACGGATCTTGGATCATTTAGGTATAAAATATAATTTTTATATGTTACTTAAAATTACTGTTCGCATTTTGGCAAAGGCTGGGATCAGAAAATTCTCCAACCAGTAGGTAACAGATATGAGTTCTCTGGTAGGTAACGTATAAACCTGTCGCAGGCAGGTGTGGAACGGTTTCAACATACGGCCGATAGATGACTGGGGCTTGCTGATAACAGCGAAACATGGACCAAGGGCGCTCCCTGCTGCTTTCTGCTGGAGGTGCTTATCGCGCATACGTGTCGTGTCCTCGGCGAAACTTCATAGCCAATCACGGTTTTACGACCTACTTCAGGAGGGTTCAATTCGTACAAGAACTGCTGACATGTGTGCGTGACTGCATGGCTGTATTTAGTTGTATTCAGTGCATGCGTACACTTGGCGGAGAGTGTACACGTAGAAGTTAGGAGGGATTCTTCCAACGATGAATTTAGTGTCGACGTTATAAAAGTCGTAATCGGTATTATCATTATTAATAAAACACATTGAGTCAATGCTAACAGCCGACAGCTGTCAAAAGGTGTGCCTGCCAGTTCCGCGCGAATCTTTGAAATCCACTAGCGAAAGCATCAGGTGTCAGTATTTTATATCTGTGATAACAACTCGTTCCATATGCGTCCAAGTGTTTTGGACGATTATTAATTCTTCCTGCTTTGCCACAAAGCGATCGACTAGAAGTCTATGCAATGGATTACGATTATTTGATAAAGTTCCTAGCTCTGGGTGACTCCGGCGTGGGGAAAAGTAGTTTTTTGTATCAGTACACCGATGGGACGTTTAACTCTAGATTCGTATCGACAGTGGGCATTGACTTTAGAGAAAAGAGAGTGGTGAGTAGGATTTTCTTGACTGCGTTAGGAAATTATGATTTAAATATTTTTATCTATCGAGGAAATTGCGTTTCGTAGGTTTATCAGATGACAAATGGCAGGAGTCAGAGGGTGCAGCTGCAATTATGGGATACAGCTGGTCAAGAACGGTAGTGTATTGAGATAATTAATTGTATGTTAATACGGCGATACTTGGAGTAATTGTATGCGAGGAGTTTCCGTTTGCATGAGGTATTAGGCTACTAATGAGTAACATAACTCAAGGTGTTATTTGAGGTAAATTATTCACTAAGAAAAGTGTCAATAATGTTTAGATTCAGAAGTTTAACAACAGCATTTTATCGGGACTCCATGGGCTTCCTTTTACTGTTTGATCTTACCAACGAGCAGTCGTTCCTTGAAGTCAGAAATTGGCTAGAACAGCTTAAGGTATTTTTATATCGATTGTATAATTTTTTTCCAGACTAATATATTTAATAACTTATGTGAAATTGTTCTTACTTATATATGAACCAGACTCATGCTTACTGCGAAGATCCTGATATAATTCTGTGTGGAAATAAGTCCGATCTTGAGGATAAAAGAGTCGTCAGTGAATCAAAAGCTCGAGAACTAGCGGAGAAACACGAGTAATTAAATTTCTATCTATTTAAAAAAAAATGTAATTCAGGAATTTATAAAACGTAAATTTGTCATTGTGTATTCTCCAGTCTAGTTTATTTAGAAACCAGCGCAGCTACTGGACAGAATGTCGCTCGAGCAATTTATGTGCTTTTGGAACGTGTGATGCGAAGAATGGAGCTAACCATTGAAAAGTCTGTGCTACCTCATCAACGTCGATTAAAGTGTCACGAACCAGAAGCTCCACCTGACAGAAGGTGCTACTGCTGACAGTATTTAAAAATGTTGCCTTCGATTTATTCCAATAATGTTCAAAATGGTATACATAACTATTTCCTCGTTCCTTTAATATAGTACCTATAATTTATATTTCAAATCACTAGTCCAGTTTAAGTCATGTACACATAAGGATACAAATCTAAGTGCGTCTTCCGATTTTTCGAACGGAATCGATCGTTTTTTCTGTCTGTTGTTTGCACGTAATGCTCAACAAGGGGAGAACAAAAAGGAATACCTGAGGAAAATTAAAAAAAGAATATTAATCTACATCACTAATGAAATCAAAATGCCAAATGAATTAAATGTGATTAAACAGCGTAAGAGGATCTTTGTCTGCAGGGGTATTATATGTACTATAAGAAGTTTGTACCACGTGTATTTCATTGGTACGATTGTACATATCACTAATATATTTTTATTGGAAAGTTTATCAGAAGTCGTTTGTAAGGAAGGTTACATTTTTAGAAATACGGATAGAAGGTAGTCCGACGGCTAGATTTGTTGGAGACGTTAAGTACGTGGAGGCAGGGAATTTCTGAAAATATTTCGCTCCAGCGCACAATTTAATCCGAACGCAAATCTGTGATGTAGTCACGTGGTTATAACTCCATTGAGTCAAATATGATCAAATGGCATTGTTAACCCAGGGAATCAGTATTCCAGTTATATCGTACTTCTGATAAACTATTAATCGTTTTATAACTATTGTACTGAACTGTCTTGTCATACTATCGCCTTCGGGGTAACCCCCTAAATCATGTGTTCGGCATCGTTACGTCTGTGTATTTTCAGATGGTATTGTTCTTAACTCTATGTGATACACAAAGTACCATGTGTTTGCGATATTGAATCGTACTGCAAAATATATTGTATTATCGATTATCTACTCATTGTAATCCGTTTGTACTGTCCCTTTCCGTTGTTATTAGTTGTTTCAAGGCAAGAGGTCGCTATGGCGACCGTACCGATCAAACTACAAGGAATAGAGCTATATGAGACTTGTCACCAAGTCCATCAGACCAAGTACAGTTTCTGAATGAAAAGTCAGCCATCATCCCTGAAATAATCTTGCGATGGATGGATGCTTTAATTACACCGAATTAAAAGCTCTTCAGGAATTACTATCTCCCACGAAGGAAGACTCAGAGCCAGAAGATGACTTGCCTCAGGCGGGTGCACGAAAATTAGGTAAAATGGCCGTCTCGCCACTTTCTTTGTTCAATTTTTTTTTCACGGTTTTTTATGTTCTTTTTTGTGTAAAAGGCCCTGGTGATATTAGTGTGCAGAAAGAAGCTGTTCCCACTCATACAGGACCCCATGCAGCCCTTGCGTCGAATAATGATAAGGATATTTGGCATCCTGATGAAGTGGAACCAGGATCACGCTGGGACCCTAGATCTTCGGATCCTCGAGCTACTCCGGAATATGAGATGAAGTTCAAACAGGCAGTCACCCCGGAGGACGTCTTTCTCGGGGTAGAGTAATACAAAAAATAATTATAGGTGGTAACAATATTTATTTTTTGCGTGCTGACTCCATGAAAATATTAATTTTTTTAGATGAGCTTCAAAAGCCCTGCCAGCGCTTCGTGCGAATGGTTGACGCTGCTCGTCAAACTCCCCGGAGAGATACGAGAAAAAGTCGAACTTTCCGTCGAATCGGAACTTGTGGATATACGTAGTCCCAAGTAAGAAATCCCCGGTATCAAACATTTTTTGAATGAACTATTTTTCTGTGAAAATATGGCTTTTAACGATTGCAGATACCGCCTACACCTGCCGACACCGCACTCGGTCGAACCCAACTCTTCTTCCGCAAAATGGCACGAGAGCTCTTCCACCTTGGAGATTTCCCTGAAACTTTCTCGCGAATTGGATGCCCTTAACTTTTAGTCCTTTCTCTTCGATCGGATTAAACAACGTAAGAAAATGAATCCTCTTGATCACGATCACGGGGAAAAAGTATAGCATTTAAGTTTCCATTAATATTAATCAGAGATTTCCTTTTCAATTAGTTCCCACGTACCTGTAATTTCACGGACAGTAGTTCAGATTCCATAGCGTGTGGTGTATCTTTTTTCGCCGAGTCCGTAAACTTGTTTGAAGATCAGAAGACACGTTTAGAGTAGCCAACGGCTAGGAACAAATTTCAACCGGCAGCTTATGATGGCTTCATGGGAACGGGTTCCCGGTGAGAACGGTGACAACGGTGACACGATTAACAAGCTTTGGGAGAATCGACGAATGTTGGGAAGTTCCTTACACTGGGAGTATTTCCAGTTTACCGGGAAATCCTCGGTGACGTGATACTTCCTACGGCGGGGATATCGACGGGTCCTTTCAGCGCGACACATTAATCGCGTTTTGCTTCCCTCGTTTTTCCCTCGAATTCGCCGGCTAGAACCTTCGTCGAATCAACGTGTATGAACCATTTATTCGGGCCAAGGCTCGGTCCTCGATTTCTTTCCTAACCCGCGACCTGTTCGCGAAGAGAGCGAAAACTGCGTCGCGCCGACTTACAAAATGTTTATTTCCGTCATATATGAAAAACCCGGGCTCGCTGTACGAGCCGAGGACAGTCGGGCTTACGATAAACAACCTATTTCACACGGAGTTGCACAAGGTCGCTCTTTTACGGACTTATGCTAGGAACGTGGACGCGTATTATGGGACGGTGTTTTGTGGTTGATCCCTAGACCCCGGGCTCATTTTCCGGTCCTCTCCACTTCGATACACCAATCCACCTGTCTCGTGGTTACCCATCCACTCGTCGATCTCCCCGTCCACGTGGTAGACCCATTTGCTTGACCATCGCAGTCGAGGTCGAGTCACTCCTAGCCGGAGTGTCACAGCTAACCGTCCTCAAAGATCCGTAGCTCGGAACAAGGTCTTGTCCCGCCTACGGTAAGAAGTCATCCGCCAGTCTGGCAATGCGCATATTGGTGTACACAAACGAACGAGTCTCTATACACGCGTAACAGACATGCGGCCGGACGAATGGAGCCGAGCTTCACGGTCGGATACGTGCAAACGTAAGACGGAGGCAATGAAAGTGGCGATTTTCCCACGCCCTGCAGGAGCGACTCGCGCTATTACGCGACACGAGTCACGGAATCGCGCCCCACCAAGGACGTCATCAACTGGACACGCGTAAACGCACCTTTGCGAAATAAATTTGACTAACGAACACGGGAACACGTTTTATAAATTTTTTTTTCTTTGTTTCCAGGTTCGCCGTATCATCGGATCTTCCGGTGTTCCTGTTTTAACGCCGCCATGAAAAAATCTGCGACCTTGACACAATGCCCCAAACGAGTGGTCGGCACATTTCCTACCCCTCCAGGGTGAAATTAACCCTTTGAGGGCGGCAGGCGCCTTGTTTCGGGGAGGTTCTTCAGAGGGTTCGCCCAGTCCTTGTTCAAGGGGAGTCTCTTCAAGGAAATCCGGCAATCTCGAGTCGTCCTGTGTACCTACGTCTTATGACACGACCGCACGCTCGATTTTGAGTACACCCTCGTGTACGCTTCCACTGCCATACTCTGCAATTACTTTCATTGACATGATTTTTTAGCGCTAGGGTGACCGATTCAATTGCGACCTGGTCGGTCGGATTCTTAAGGACTATCGCGATACTCAGGAGAACTTATGCACAAGGTGTAGCACAAGGTGTAGCACTTATGGCGTAGCTCCCAATGTCAATAGTGCGATGCGACCGCACTGTCACCGGCCATTGTACGGAGCTATTGTCGACGCAATCGCGACATGCGAAACGACCTCCGCAAACCGAGGAACCCCTTTATTCTAAAAGAGCCATCGCGTAAACCGCGTGTTCCTTTGGCGTTACGCAACCAAGGAACATGTATCGTGTAAGAGTTTCGCATTAGCGACCGAAGGTCGCACATTCGAGTGCGTTAGCTCATCGCTAAGGGCGATCCGCAAGTGTAGCAAGGGAAACAAGACCGTGCCCGATAGGGATTCGCGGAGATACCGGAATGACTCCATTATTGCATTTTATACCCCATGTGCCAGCTTACTCGTGCCTAATTAAACGCTCACGCATATGTGCGTGTTTTTGATGAAATAATCCCAGACGGGTATGAGAAAAGATTATGCACGATGTGTCAGAGAAGGTGTGGACAACCGATTGTTCACTTATGCAAGCGCGGTGACTAATCCCGTGAGCGATGGGTCACTTCGCGAAGAGTCGTTACGTTTCGACGGTCGCGGAAACGCACATCAATGAGGCGCGCTGCACTCGCTAATTACCGAGGGATTCGGTAGCGCGGCGCTTCTAGGTATCGGCGCATCTATTAATTCCCATTATTTATCCCTTTCCTCGATTTTCTCTTTCTCTCGTAATAATCCGATCCCGCCGTGCCGACGATCGCACTTGTAAACGGACGTTAGGCGATTGTCTCGCCATTTTCCCAGCAATTACGGCTCATTCCGGGGTTGTCTATCGCGCCGTTCCGCGACAAGGTGCTTCTTCTTCTTTCTTTTTCCCCTTATCTTTACGTGCAGATTTAGGCCGCGCGAACGGCGAAGGTTGCCGCTCCGACCGCGGCCGCCAGAGTGCATCGACAGAAAGAGAGGGCGAGAGGCGCGGCCTGTGCGCGAAAAAGAGATAAGAAGTGCCGTGGGAAACCGTGGCGTAACTCCTCAGGCACCACCGCCCTCACACGTGCCGCCGTCGTCCAGGTTGTTTTCCTTATTTTCATGAGGCATTTTCCGCACGTCAATTCCGACTCTTCCCTTTGCCGACCGCTCCCTTTTTCTGTCGTCACTCGCGTCCTCGTCCCGACTCGGGCCTATTTCTGGAAGGAGTCTTTTCTTTTTTTTTGTATCATGGAAATGCGCGTTTTGTTCCATTTTTCTCTCTTTTTAAGGTGAATAGGGATGGCCTCACTTTCTCGCCCATAACGGTCGCGATACCTTTGTCACCTTCCCCCGTGGTTATCCATATTTCCGCAATCTATCGCTTCCGCAAACGCTGCCACCTCCCTCGGTGTCGCATATGCGGCCATGGGACACCTTGCTCCGTCTTCGCCTTGGCCGACCATGTGAACAACAGGTGTATCCCCACTCCGTGGATGACCTCTCGCGTCGTTCGAACTACTCGCAGGGATAAATGTGTATACCCACCTCTAGGGTCCGCGCCTCGTTTTAGCGTTGACATGAACAATACCTCCGCGAGTCTCGCGAAGTGAACCCACCTGCTCCGATCGTTTGCCAAGTTCCTTGGGGTAGCGACTTCTTAGATTCGACATGCAGCTCCGGCGAGCTTTCGCCTCTTTCGTCGATTCTGACAGAACGAGGTGCATCGTAAGTTTTCGATCAATTAAACTAAGCCTGAAATTGTCATGAACTTCCGGCGAGTGGCTCTAAATCTACCGAATTGATACCATGGCGGTAGACAGTGGAGAACACGGGGTCGATTTTTTTAACTCATCATTCCTGCGGAAAATTTCCGAATTTTATTTTTAACTCAATTAGTCATTCACCGCGAGTGTAATTGATTTTTTTTTCCCTATCGTTTTAAAAGGGAGCACCATGCGGGCATTTCAACATGGTCGAGAAAGTTAATCGAAAATTAGATAACTGAGTACTTGGGGAGAATTCAATGAATTTAGTTGGGTATACTTTTCCGTTGTAGCTGATCGCTCTGGCGACTTCGTTGCTGATTTCTATCCCTGAGGTTTCGAGTCAGCTGGACTTGCCGCCTTTGCAAGATGATAGACTGGACAGAGACAGACAGACTGGGAGATTAAACCCGCGAGTCAACGTGGACAATGGGAATGTCCTGGCCCAGCTTGAATTTTTGGGCGCAGGATTCTGCGGGGAAAACGTTGCTGCCCAATGGGCTTATGAGACCAACTCCAATGAAGCAACGCAAGCACAAGCGGTAAGCATCGAAGGGAACGAAGGATTCTCGAGGAATCGCGATGGGCGTCCTTGTTGCATCGCCTTCAATAGGAAAACCTCGTAATTGTTCAATGCACCAGAAAGTTACAAGGTTCTGCGAGTAATTGGATATTATCGAGATGATCGCTCCAGTCTTGCGATATATGTGGATCGTGGTACTTGTGCATAATATGCACAGGGAGTACATCGCGTAATCATCATCTATGAAGTGTAAGGACACTCCGTGGTTGTTATCGTTACCTGTACGTTCGCACAGTGCAGGATTCTTAAGAGTACCGGTCATCGATTTCATTGCGCTTCCACGCACTATTTTTTTTTTCTTTTTCTTGCATCGTTCACGTCGACGTCCGCGATCTCATTATCGACATCCTTGGCGGAGAACGCCGCGAAATTCCTGCATACAAAAGCCATGATTTTTAGAAGATTTATACTTTAATGGATAGTTCTATTTTTTTTTTGTACAGCTGGAAGCGCAGCTGCGTTATGCCGAGTTCCAGCATCACTCTTGGCGTCTTATCTCGAATTTGGATAGAAGTAATATCCAAAATCCGGCAATTTTTCGACGCCTCGAGTACTTGTCCGTAGTTGGTCCTGCAGCGCTTCCGCCAGATCAGTTGAACAGAGTGAGTGTAATAGAGATGATTTTTACTTCCTTCTTTGGGATGATTTCCTCGTTATTCCTCCGTCTTCCGGTTACAGTACAATCGTATAATCAACGACATGCTTTCGATTTACAACGACGTTACGATTTGCTCTTACAACGACCCGTTCAGGTGTGATCTGCGTTTGTATCCAGGTATGGCAGTGTATTCTTACTCATATCGTTATTCACTCGATTACTCATTTCGTTACTCATGATTAAATTATATGCCCGTCGTTAATAAGTGACTATTTCGCGATCGTGTCATCGAGCTACTTATTTTCTTAAGATATCGCTCAAATTATGGCGAAAAGCAAGGATTGGGACGAGCTGCAATACGTGTGGACAGAGTGGAGGAGGCGAAATGGGGTTCGAATGAGAGAACTGTATCAGCAACTTATACAAATTAACAACGACGCCGCACGTCTGAACAGTAAGTGAACATTTTCAATTTTAACAGTGGAGAGTAATTAACAATGGACTGCTGGGAAACTGAAAGGAAAATTTTTTTCTACAGATTTCACCGATGCCGCCGAGTACTGGATGTTCCCATACCAATCGGCGAATTTCGAGCAAGAGATCGAAGATGTCTGGAGAAGCATTCGACCTTTATACACAGAACTGCATGCCTATGTTCGAAGGAAATTGAGGGACCTCTACGGCCCTGAGAAAATAAATCCGCAGGCTCCATTACCGTCTCATGTGCTCGGTACTTATTTTTCCTCATTACCTCATTACGTGCATGCACCTCTCTGAAACATGGACGATGATTTTAGGAAACATCTGGGCTCAATCTTGGACCAACATTCTGGATCTTACAATGCCTTATCCCGGAAAAGCTTATCCAGACGTAACTCCAGAAATGCGAGCACAGGTATGCCTCCACGTTCCCATTTCATTCGACGTTGTCCGTTCAATTGAATATGACAATTTATTTCTTCAGGGTTACACTCCGATCTACATGTTCCAAGTGGCCGAAGAGTTCTTCCTGTCCTTAAATTTAAGTGCGATGCCTCCAGAATTTTGGGCAGGAAGTATCGTCGAAGATCCTGGCGATCGGAACCTGATCTGTCAGGCATCGGCGTGGGATTTTTGTAATGGACTGGACTACAGGTAAACGTTCGTATAAATATTCCTGCTCTCCCTCGGGACATCTTTAAACGAGGGGATTCGGTTTCAGGATCAAAATGTGCACGAGGGTGACGATGAAGGACCTCTTCACGGTGCATCACGAGATGGCCCACATTCAGTACTTCCTGCGGTATCGTCATTTGCCTCGCGAGTTTCGAGATGGTGCAAATCCAGGTAAGCATCCAAAGTGGTTCAATCGATATTCAAAGAATTATTATCAGCTAATAGCCTAATTGCTCGCAGTTTAGAAGGCTGTATCGACTCCACGCTAACTTTGCGCGATCGTGGCTCGGTTATCAGCGTAAAGGCACCTGCCAGTCCTAGAGACCGAAACGTTAATTATTTCTCGGCACATTCTGGCCGATATCAATCGATACCCTTTTCCAGGGCGCGTCAGGGGGGTATAAATCATAAATTGTCCTGGAAATATATCATGCCTTTATTAATTCATCAGGATTCCATGAAGCTGTCGGAGAGGCGGTTGTACTGAGCGTGTCGTCGCCGCGCCACCTACAAACCCTAGGACTCGCTACAAAGTACATAGACGAGCCTGCTGCCGACATAAATTACCTTTTCGCCCTGGCAATGGAAAAAGTCGTGGGTCTGCCGTTCGCCATCGCTATGGACAAGTGGAGATGGGACGTATTTCGAGGCGTCGCCAACAGGGAGAACTACAACTGCCATTGGCATCGATTGCGGGAACGGTACTCAGGGTTGAAGCCTCCAGTGCTGAGATCCGAGGACGACTTCGATCCTGGCTCGAAATACCACGTCCCGGCCAACGTCCCATACATAAGGTAAGGACCTCTTTCGTCACCGTCAAATTTATGGGGGGCTACAGAACCGATTCTTCCAACGAATGTTCTACAGTTTGATAACACGGTAACCGAGATACCTCTACCAAGCGCGTCTCCTAAAATCCACGGATGCCCTCGCAACAATTGCAGGACGTAGTTGACAATTAACCACCCGCCGCAACGTCATCGAGTAGCAATTACTATTCGTTTATCGCTCGTTAACATCCGAGCCAGGAATTAATTCCCGTCGAGGATGTCCGAGGGTCATCGTGTCTGCAGATTTCTACACGGTGAACGATCTCGCTAGAATCGTTACGTGGGTTCGCAAAACCCTCGCAATAGTATCGGTAACTCGACCCAGGCAGTGACGGTAATTGCTGGGTAAATCGCAGTTCCTCCCCCCACCTCGAAGGAGCGTATGTAAACCTCGTAAACGTAACGCCGTAACCGTTACGATCCTGGTTGACAGATTTGCGGTATTGCAAAATATTGCGGAATATTACAAAACGTTGCAAAGTATTGCACTGCAGAGCGTGGATGGGACCAGGGCGAGGATGGGAACCGGCATAGAAGAAATGCCCGGCACCACCTCTGAAGAAGGCCAGCTCGCGCAACGCGCCTCGCCAATCCGGAAATCGTGTGCAGTTCTTTGGCTTTATTTCAAGACGGACGCGTCCTGGGGTCCCTGGTCCTAATAGTGAGACTGGGAGTATCCCGATTCATGGCCGCCCTCGAAAGATCCGCCTTCGGACCCTTGCTGGTAGCCCTGGTCGTACCCTTGGTCATAACCCTGGTCGTAGCTCTGATCGTAGCCGTGTTCATGGACGGGCACGGGGACCGGCACCTTTACGGGCACCGGGACGTGCTTCTCCACGTGGTAGGGCACGTGCTTGGTGACCTGCACGGGAACGGGACGCTCGACGGGGACCTTGACGGCATAGGGAACGGGTTTCTCTACGGGGACCGGGACCTGCTTCTCGACGGGGTAGGGCGCGGCCACGTGGACCTTGACGGGGTACGGCACGGGCTTCTCGATCGGCACGGCGACGGGCCTCTCGACGTGCTTGGTGACGGGGTAGGGGACGGGTTTCTCAACCGGCACCGGGACGTGCTTCTCCACCGGCACCGGGTAGGGCTTCGGTAGATGCACCGGGTAGGGCCTGTCGACCGGCACCTTTACGGCCACGGGGACCGGCTTGTCCACCGGGAAGGGCTGAGGGACGTGCACGGGCACCTTCACCGTGTAGGGGACGTGTTTCTCGATGGGGTACGGCTGCGGCACTGGCACCTTCACGGTGTAGTGGATCTTCTTCTCCACCGGGTACGGCTGCGGCACGTAGACCTTGTAGGGCACCGGTCGCTCCACCGGGACATGCACCGGGTAGGGTACTTTCTTCTCCACTGGGTAGGGCTGAGGAATGTGCACCGGCACCTTGACCAGCACCTTCACCGGGTACGGGATCTTCTTCTCTACCGGGTAGGGCTCGGGCACCGGGACCTTCACGGGGTAGGGGATCTCCTTCTCCACCGGCACGTGGACCTTCTTCTCCACCGGGTATGGGATCTTCACGTTCTTCACGATCGTTATGTGCTTTATCCTGCCCTCGTGCCCGCCTTCGCCGCCACCTTGGCCGCCGCCATGGCCCCCGAAGTTCAGACCTCCACCGTCGAGTCCGTGGTAACCGTAGCCCTCGTCTATCAGACCTCGCTTTTCTTGCCTCTTCTCGCCACTTTCAGACCCCTCCGAAGTTTCCCCCGCGTTCTCGGCACCCTCGGATTCCAGAGTCGCTCGGTGTTGCTGCGCATCTTCCGATGTCGCTCCTCTGCGCTCTCTCGAGGATGCTGCGGAGTCCTCGCTAGACACCAACACTCCCACCCCCAGCACGGCCACCGTCAGTACTACCTGTACAGGGAAAAATGATTTTAATGCCGTTAGTCTGTGAATACCATGCGTAAATCTTCACCCTGCCACACTTTTTATGACCGAGCGAACGCGATTTACGCACGAGTTGCCGATTTTATGCCGCCGGGAATTTCGCGCCCGCTGCGCAGAAGGGCCAGAGCCGTTCGTGCGCAGGCTTACCACTGAGATCCGCATGCTCTCGATTCCGGGCACGTCCACGGGGTGTCTTCTCCTCCCCGGTCTCCTTTCTTCGCGGTTTCTAGTTCACACTTTGTTTTTAGCTTATCACTCGCAACTTCTGTCTGCCGTCTCGACGCACCACCGGGTCGTCCTCGTTTTGCAGATTTTTCCCAAAAAACGATCGCCAACCCGCGGACGGTCGTCTTCGAGGCCGATACTAGACTGGACGTTTCCCACTCGGATGTTACCGTCTTTATAGCCCACGGGCTGCTTTCCCCGCTGAAATTGTATGGGTTGCAATCGAGGCGCGCACCGTTGAAAGTGAAATACGCATGGTCGTGTGTGGGCCCCATCTCGCGTGCTCGTACAGTCGTACTTGCACGCAGTTACGAGTGCCGATACGAGACCATGACGAATTCCGACACCTTGCGCGAGTTTTCCTCGCCTGTCGAAGAAGTGGTGGGTCGCGAGTCGCAGTTCGCTATGCATGGCATGGTCGACGTTGCGATAGATCCAACGGGGTTCCAGAGGCTTGTCTCTGGGCCTTAGAGAGATCGATAAACGGAAGTTGATAAGACACCCTCGAGGTGGACAGATGGAAAGGGTGGACGGCTAATTTAATGGGAAACGACTCCTTCTGGCGCAAGATGTCGGTATCGCGACACGCACCGTAACCGGAGATGCATCTCGTGCTCGGCCTTGCTCCAGATAAATCGATCATTGACCGATCATTGGCCGATCATTCGATCATCGAGCACGCGAGTCGGCGTCACCCTGCCTATCGAATTCCCCGGTGGAGGATCAAGGGGGAAAAAAATGATCTTCGGCATTTCTCGTCCGGGCTCGACCTTGCGTTAGATAAGGACCACTCTTCAGGTTCGCTTCAGGTGCCCTCGGCAGTTTCCGGCAACCGCGGAAGACGGAAGTCCATCGCAGGTTAATGTATACCGTAGACCGGTTAAGAGACCTGGAATGGCTCGGAGCTGGGCTCGAATTATCGAGGGTGAAAGTGGACGTAGAGGAGGACGCCGAGGCGCGATGGACCGATCGAGGATCGAAATCTCGCGTCGTCAGTGGGGAAGATGAAAGAGGTCGGTCTGGCTGGTTCTTTTTCTCCGTTCGATTTCATGAGTCTGGGGAAAAATGTCGAACCCATCGAGGGGCCGATCGGTGAGAGTGTGCTGGCCGCTCTGGCGGAGAGAGAAGGAGCGAGCTAGAGGGGCAGGGAAAGGAGCGGTAACGAGAGAACGCTCCGGAGAAATTTTCAAGGAAACGCGTAGATGCCCGTAATGGCTCGTTTCTAATGTTGCGCCCGCTCGATCATGCGGACGTGCACCGGGGGAATAAAATCAAACCGAGCGCCGATGTTATGCGAGCAATTTTGCGCGATAACTCGTAAGGAGTGAGCGGCCTTTCCGGGACGTGGAGCGAGGTTCTCTAACCGGATCCCCCGAAGACCACCCCGAAGGGGAGTAGAATTTCTTATCCTGGATGTTTGCAAAATTATTCCAGGAGTTAGCGTTGCAAATCGCTGGACCATTTAGATTTTTCCAAGCTTTCGTAGAGCGCAGTCATCCTTCACCGAATGTGAGGCGGTGTTCCCCGGAAGTCTTCCGCGCGCTTCCGGAGTTTCGACCCCACCGGAAGCCTCCTCTCTCCGGAAGTTAACGCCAAGCCGATTATTCAATCCTGGTATCGTGATCGCCCGCGAATACCCGCCGATCGGGATCTTCGGATTCGCGGACCGAGTCGTTTCCACGCGTGTTACCTTTGGACGGGTTCCCGAGATTAGAAAGTCCGGAAGTTGGTCGCCAGTCGAGGTAGAAGTTGTCTTGGCGGTAAGAATAAGCAGCCCCGGGAAATTACGAAATCTTGTATCAGGATTAAATTTGCGGGAGTTGAGCAGACGATCTTGATCCAAGGAGAATTATCGTTTAAATTACCCGCAGGTCGATCTAGGATACGCAGTCTTACTTTTATTCAGCCCTAGAAGGCTCGTTCGGTACATTGGTCTACAAAGTGCGTTCATGTCACGGGATGGGTATTTACTTCTGGATGAGTGAAAGAGTAGCTCTCGGCCATTCGCGATCTTCGAGTCGCGCAATCATGGCGAGCTCGATTTAATCTCCACTCCGCAATCGCGTGGTGTAACCCATTTTTAACCCGAAGAACGGGAAAAATAAACCCCCCCGAATAAATGCAGCACCTCGACGTCAACAATAATCCTCGTCGACAGTAAAAAACAACAAGTACTCGTAACACAAAAATATAACAACGGTGTTTTCGAGCCCTGGAGGGCCTAGCACCTCCTCGCACCACCTTGCTCGTCACTAAAACTAGTCCTCAACATCCGAGTGGATTTTTTACTCGGACCCTATCCCCGTTAACAAGTCCGATTCTCCGAACATAGTCCCTAGATTTCCGGAGAAGCGCTTCTCGTCGAACCTCCGCAATCTGGGGATGATGGGCAGCGGAGGAATCCGCTGGTAAATGGAGGGCGAAGGTCTGGAGCCGATGGGCCCGACGTCGATCTCGATGTTGGTAAAGGGTCTTGGCGAGGGGGGTCTCATTGCTATCAGCAACGCCTGCTGGTGCTTCTGTTTCTGGTGCTGGCGATGGTGATGCTTCTCCTGACTGTCCAGGAAGGAGTCCAATCTGGGCCCCGTTGGTGGGAACCTCTCCTCGCTACTGGAATGGCGATGTCTATGGGAGGTGCGAGGCACGTCGATGAAGCCATCCGGACTTCTGGCCACCGGAAGTGGCGGCATCTTGGCCTCTGGGGTGGTCGAGGTACCCGAATGCCGACTCCTTTCCGAAGTGGTCGAGGAATTCGAATGGCGATTTTTTCCCGAAGTGGCCGAGGAACCCGAGTGGCGACTTCTTTCCGAAGTGCTCGAGGAGCTCGAATGGCGACTTCTCTCCGTGGACTCTTCCGACTCCTTCGGGATCGGTTTCGGGGTGGTGGTCACTGGCACCGGAAGTGGCGTCGCGGGTGGTGGCGACGTCGACGCAGGTGCATCTGCTGGCACCTGCGTGGAGGAGTTCTGGTCCTCGACGATCTCCTTTCGCGGAGGTGGTGCTAGCCTGGTGTTCTCGTAACTCTCGTTGACCGTCTTCGTCTCGGTCGTGGTGTTGTGGGAGGTGAAGTTCCCTGCTTCCAGGAGCTTTTCCACGGCTCTCTCCGCTGCCCTCTCGGCGGCCCTCTCGACGGCCAGCTCGGCGGCTCTTTCCAGGTCCTCCTTCCGGCTTGCGGAACTCGTCAGAGAGACGAGGCCCAGCAGGCAGGCAGCAACGAATAGCTGGAAAGGAAACAAGGAGTCAGAATATCGGTCGAGTCGATCGCGAATAAACGAGGTCTCCTCCCTATCGATTCGTAGAAGAGGACACCTCGTCCGTATCCTCTCGGTCAGGAGTCATGAGAATCGCGAATGGGGTTTGTCATCGAATCGACTCTTGAGAGGGCCCGATCAGTTAGCGGATTCGACCACGTTGACAAGTTTTGCGCCCACCAGGTATTTCATTGCGATGCGTCCGAGAGCTGGAGCTCCAACGAGAACTGGATACCGATTGAGAGGTGTCGAGCATTATTTATACCAACCATCGACTTTCGCCGGTCGCGCAGCCCGGTCCTCCTAGGACGGCCGTGGTTTGTTCTCCTAGAGTGCCACCTAGAAAATATCGAATGCATCTACGAGCGAGTGGCAGTGTCTCGAAACTTCTCTCCGCTGGCTCGGGAATTAGTTTCTTGCGAGCCTGCGGACCGATTTCGGTCGAGCCACCCTGCCGTGGAATGGGAAAATTTAACGGGGTATCTTTTTTTACCACTCCACACCTTCGATCTTCATCCGGTTGCACGTGGGAGAAAAGTGCAACTATTGCATCCCATCCATTTTCTTTTCCCCGCGCTTTTCCGCAAGTCTAGTCGAGGCGGTTCCTGAAACTCTCGTTGCACATAGTTTTGGAAATTCATCGCCGGTGACTGGGTTCGCGAAATCCAGTCTTGCGTGGCAGTTAACTCGAAGCTGGCGGTATATATCTCGAAGAAACGAGAGGGCGGACACGCCGGCTAATGGCTTCTTCGAACGAGCTCGCGGCGTCCGGTCGCGATCTCGCGGAAACGCGGGAAAAGAGCCGCGACCCTCTCACTCTTCGTCGGCGAGCGTTTTTGCCCCGAGTTTTTTCCCCCTGCGGATTTCTCGCACGTTTCGCGTTACCCTGGGTAGGGGGACGCCAGAGGGGGGCAGAAGCTCGCAATCGGTCGCACCTGGGACGAGGGAGTAAATTTAATAAAACGGGGATTTCTAAAGAATCCCAAATGCTTTCTAACGTTAATTAGACTCGGCGGGTGTACAGAGGATGCACGTAATCGCGGCCAAATGGTGATGCTCTTTGGGAATTCCACCGTGAACGGAGCCATTGCGTTATCCCTCGCGTTTGTTCCACGCAGTGGAGGTACGACGTGCGTTCTCGTCCTTATGTTATTAAATTACCAAGTCTTTCGCGAGTCGCACCGAGGAGGGCGGAGGAGAAAACCTCTCGGCGGAAATTCTCACTCAATGAGCCACGCGACTCCCTCTCCGGGATTTCCTTCCCTTACGTAAGAGCATTGAGAAAAACTACTCGAATGAACCGGCGTGGCGGAAAAAAAATTCAGCTCTCATTCGCCTCCGCACCGAGACGTGGAGTTACTGCCATGGGCGGAGTTTCACGGAGATCGGCTCGCCATTTTCGTGGCTTTTCCGAGTCTCTGCGGACTCCTGGCCGTAGGTGGTGTCAAACTCTGACTGGCTCGCCAAGAACCGGGACTCGGTATTTATTGGCGACTTCAGCCACCGCTTATAGAGAAGGCTCGGTTTTTTACGCCGTTGCCGAAATCGGTGACAGGGGCAGAACGAGATTTAACAGTTATTGGCGTGATGGTAAACCTGAAAAAAAATGGCGATTACGCGATTCACTCCTTGTCGAGCAAGATGGCGACTGTCCAGGAATAATTGAATCGGCCGTAGGAATTCCTT